ATACATATTAAACTGCAACCAAATGGATGTATAACACACAGGGTAATCGAGGGTGAATCTTCTAATAGGCTATACTTCAAAGTTGTGTGCACTATCTCTGTCATACTCCGCATTATGTCGGAAAGCGCATGTTAAATCTCCAAATCATCATCATCATCTGTCATACTGTTCTTCAAGTTACTGCTCGCACTTCCTTGGAACATGGGCGGTGGGGTAGCCTAGTGGTTAAAGCGCTGGCTCGTCACGCCGACGACCCTGGTTCGATTCCCCACATGGGCACAATGTGTTAAGCCCATTTCTGGTGTCCCCCCGCCGTGATATTGCTGGAATATTGCTAAAAGCGGCGTAAAACTAAACTCAGTCAGCCCTTGGAACATCCCTGTTTCTAGTTTGGTGCTAAACGATAATTAACTACCATTATCATGTTTATACATGAGACACTGTGTGAGAAGTCATACATCCCTCTCACTGTGAATGCATTAGAAACGTCGGTATTTCCTTTGGCGTATTTAGATTCTGAGTAAACAGAGATACGAAAATATTACCAGACAAAAATGATTGGAGCTATCAACGTTTCAAACCTTACCTGCAAGTGGCAGAGTATGACAGAGATAGTGTACACAGCTTACAGCTTCGTGTGTATTAAAATATGATTTTACTTATATTGTATTACGTTGGTTCAGTAGCCCAGCTGATAGAGTGTTGGATAATCAGACATGGGTTCACGAAGCTCCGTCTCGATGTCGCCTACTGTCATGGCCGCCATATAGCTGGAATGCTGCTGAGTGCGGCGTAAAACTAAACTCACTCACTCACCCACTCCTGCCGTGATGGTGTGATGGTTTTATCAAACCACATTCACCCACCCACGAATCCCCGATTGGCTCCGCCAACGCAAAAACATATTTCAATGTGATCTTAAGTCATTTTCAAAGGGGGGGGGGGGGTCCGAACCCCATGAAAAAAACACACACCACCCCCCACCGCCAATGATTTACGTTCAGCGTCTAAGGATGAACACGACTAGCTCTGACATCACGTACACACCGGCGCAGTTGTTTACGTGTAAGAATCGAATTATATGTATGTTATAACAGTGTTGGGCACGTGGTGTTTTTGTTGAAATAAGAATCGTTCGAGGGGAAAAAATGTCGGACGAGAATAGTGATCCCCTCACCACACATGCTCTGGGCGTATACAGACACAAGCCAGGGTATGCTTGTTGATTGCTAGCCGATAGCAGACAAGATATGTCTAGGGGGTTTCGTTGCACGTTATTACGTTGCTATGTACTACCCTAGCCCTTGCAAACAACTGTCGGAGGATAAAATGCTTTAGCAGCAGTTATCTATGTTAAAACAAATTTATCTTAAGCGTTCTTCAGAACACATCTCAAGCCTGTGGTCGTCTGTTTCAATAATGAGATATGTGTCACTCAAACCGAATTGAAAACCCAGTTGTGTTGTGTAGATACTGTATTTTCGTAAGTGAAGTTTACCATTGCATGCATATTTTTTAAAAACGGGTTCGACTCCCATCATGGCTTCGGTGTGTGAGGTCTATTACTGATGTTCTTCGTCCTGATGGAATATAGCTCAGCCCTAGTCTGTCTCACAGTCCCTCAACGGCATTACTTTCCATTCTGCCAAGCCCGTTCTGTGATGCTAAAGGTCACTGTAATGCTAAAGGAGCCCTAAATGAAGCAAGTCTAGATTACCTTCTGAATCTCCCATTACCCTGGGGCACCATTTCAATTTAAGTGGAATTATTTTGTTTCTGTTAAAATTAATTATGTTCAGAGATTAAACGTTAGTCTACCCCAGTCCCTGAATAGTTTTATTTTCCCTATCGCTCAGCCCTAAATGACGCAAGTCTAGATTTCCTCATCTGAATTTCTCATCTTACTGGGGCTCCGTTTCAATTTAAGTGGAATTATTTTGTTTCTGTTAAAATTAATTATGTTCAGAGATTAAACGTTAGTCTACCCCAGTCCCTGAATAGTTTTATTTTCCCTATCGCTCAGCCCTAAATGACGCAAGTCTAGATTTCCTCATCTGAATTTCTCATCTTACTGGGGCTCCGTTTCAATTTAAAAGGAATTATTTGTTTCGGTCACAATTATATAAATTCAGAGACTACGCGCTAAGTCTAAACTTACCCCATACTCCGCCGTCTTCAAGATTAGGGTCGGTGGTGGAGTGGTTATGGTTTTGCCTCCTTACGACAGAGACCGGGTTCGAGTTTCCAGTTGGTTGAATGACTTGGATAAAGAAAAATATAATAAACCGCGTACACGTAGCTGAACTGAACAAATCCGTATTTTGGTTTCACGATTCATGCTGGGGGGGGGGTGTGTGTGTGTGTGTGTGTTTTCAGTAAAATGGACATTGACAGGTTTAGAACAACTGGCCCATTAAAGAACATCTTGAAGATGTCTGATCTGGATTTGCTTTGCATTAAGCTAAACAAAGACGCATATTAAGGAATGAGATTTTGTACAATTCTTGCTTTTTTAATAAAAAAAAATGTTTTCGGAACCGACAGTGTAGCTCGGAATGCGCTGTCTGTCAGCCCGGGGCTGCCTCCTGTAATTGTGTTACTGTCTGCCTGTTATCAAATTTCTCTTAGGGGAAGGGGGGCGAGATACGCGCCGCTCTCTAGCACGTGCGGCGGTGAGATGGATTTATATTGGTGGTAATTCGTAGCGAATATCACCACGAGCTGGCTTGTATCTCAGGCTGACCCGGAAACGATAGCCCGACCCCTGACAGGTGCGCGAGCATTCCAGTTCTCTGGTTGCAGATTGGAGATGGGTTTGAAATACAAGCGCTCGTTGTGTACGAACTCGAGACGAGCGAGGAAATAGAGAATTAAAATAAATGGAGGCGCATTTGGCGATAACCATCACATTCTCTTAGTCGTATGTCTTAAATCTTGGCATCGTGTAATTGAGTGCGTTTGGTTTATCGCGTGGTTTCGGCGTCAACGTACAGAATAACGTAAACAGCGTCATACTCTTCCTCTAGCCTCAACCACTGTGTGTATTTCTTAGGATTTATTTGTTTGTAAAAATGGCACTTGTGTTAGAGATTATGTATTACTCTGTTTGTTTACTCTGACAGTTCTGTACACAGAACATACCGTAACGTTCCGTGAAGCGCCGACACACTGATTTGTAAACAAAGTGAGTGAGTGAATGAGTTGAGTTTTTCGCCGCTTTTAGTAATATTCCAGCAATATCACGGCGGGGACACCAGAAATGCGCTTTACACATTGTACCCATGTGGGGAATCAAACCCTGGTCTTCGGCGTGACGAGCGAACGCTTTAACCACTAGACTACCCCACCCTTGAAAACAAAGAAAATATTTCCGACTATTTGTGAGTTAAGAGTATGTTACTAAATTCGTTACACAAGCCTGTAAGGTAATAATTAATAGTTTAATTGAAAATTTCTAAAACATATATATAAATAACAGACGTCCACTTATCTCGACTTGCCTCTTTGAAGGATAGAATTACTATACATGCATGGGCTTAGCATTCAGTATAGCCCTGGAGCAAGGCTAGGCTTTAGGCCACTTGGAGCAATTTGACAGCCGAGGACCCAAGAAATAGGCTTCACACATCGGACCCATGTGGCGAATCGAACCCGAACCTTCGGCGTGACAAGCGAACACTTTGAGCACAAGGCTACCTCACCGCCCATAGTATTACTGAGTGACATTTTTTGAAGGTTCATCTACGGAAATTGAGCCTCTACATGGATTTAAACATGATTTCTGGTTGTTGTATTTTCAACGTTGTCTTCCCCAATGATTCTAGACTTTAACGAGATTCCTTTTCGTAATATATTCCTAAGGATCTCAGAGACAGATTAGCATAAAACATTCACACATTGTAGGGAATCGAACCCGGGTCCTTGACGTTAAGAGCTAACGTTTTCACCAGTAGGCGTCATCAACTCCCCTTATGTCCCAAGCATCGATCAGTGAGTGAGTTGGGTTTTACGCCGCTTTTAGCAATATTCCAGCAATTTCACGGCGGGGGATACCAGAAATGGGCTTCACTCATTGTCCCATGTGGGGAACCGAACCCGGGTCGTCGGCGTGACGAGCGAACGCTTAAACCACTAGGCTACCGACCCGGAAACCCCCACCCCCCACCCCCACGCCTTGGATCGATTAGGGTAGGCACACGGCGTGGATATATACATGAAGACGGTTCGTCTCTGTTCCGATTGCAGGCCTTCTATGATTCAACTCTCGATTACATGTAAGTCTTTAGTAACAAATATGAGGCGTTTTATGACATAAGCCTACGAGGCAATAAAACATATCTATTTACTTTACCCTAAATCCTTCGTCAGCATTTTGAAAATGTCAAGGCCTGCGTACGATATGTAACCCTACCTGTACTAATACAATGACGTCACGGTGTCTTGTTCACAAAGAGGGAAATGGAACACAGTATTGCTTCCAGCTCGAATGTTCTCTTACTGGATGTATGTTCACTCGCAACACGAAGCTTGTGTCAACAATATTAATAATAATAGCTTTAATAATTTATGTGTTCCCTTTATAAACAACACGGTATTCCGGTTTTCAGACCATAAACGTATGGTGCCATTTATTATCATTATTATTGTTGTTTTGCTGTTTATAATCATGATACCCAATTATGGGTGTGAGTTGCATGCCCCTGACTGGATAGCTTGAGGAAGCAACGTGAATTTCAAGGCTTTAGACGTTTGGGCTTCCCCGTATACGAGAGAGGTCGTTAATCCGAACGGTACAGTTCCAAACACTTTCATCCATGGAGTAATGTCCGTTTGTTAAATGAAATTGTACAAAGCAAAAAGTGTCCAGATTGGGGAATTTCTGGACAAACGAGGTCCCAACTATCGACGTTTTAATGCAAACCCAACCAATACCTCAACGAAGACAAATCGTTGACCAACGTCAACACCGTGCAATATTTAAAGTTACGTTTGCGTTACAGGATGTGAAAACCTGGATAGCGGCGTGGGCATCTATGCTTGTGACCCAGAGGCCTACACGACGTTTTCTGAAGTCTTCGACACCGTCATCAAGGACTACCACAAAATCCCAGACAACAAGCCAATCAAACATCCAAACTGCGACTTTGGCGATGGCGATAAGATGAAACTAGAAGACCTTGACCCCGAAGGGAAGTACATCATCTCCACCAGGGTCAGAGTTGGAAGGTCACACGATGGACTCGGATTTCCGCCAATTCTTACCAAAGAGGTTCGGGTTTTTCAAAATTTATTTTTGTTTTCTATATAAATGTCTGTTTATTTAGGATCAGACGAACATTGGTTTGCCATTATTGATATATCTGTACTCTAGTGTTGGGAATTGGTTAAAATCTCGTAATTGATGATTGGTTCATTACAACCGATCAATCATCGAAAATAATTGGTTAGCGTCATTTATGAAATGTGTTAATGCACACAAAGATAAGGAAAAAAACATGTAGTTCATTGGGGGTTTTTTGGCAAAATTTCACATCTTTAAAGGATGACTAGTATGGAGGAACATAAATTTCTTAGAGTCTTTAAGATAAATTCAATCATGACGTGGAACGAGCTTGTAGTGCTTATGAAATGTAACAGACAAAACCAACCTAGTGAAAAATACTGTTAATGAAAATAAGTGTTCTAGAATTGTTTGTGTTCGATTATGAGAAAACATGATCGATTGCTTGGTCGTTTAGTCATTGCGACCAATCTTCGATTATTTCAATTAATCGGACCACCACTACTGTACTCTATGCCTTTTCGATTCAGCAAAGAGAAGAGATGGAGAAAAAGACAGTAGCAGCCTTTGACACGCTCCCTGAAGAACTGAAAGGAACATATCACCCACTGACAGGCATGACACCGGAAACACAAAAGGAGTTGACAGACGAACACTTCCTGTTTAATGACCATGACAGGTATAGGTTACCTCCCTTATCTTTCACGCCTTTCTCTTTCAAGGTTAAACAAAACGAAATATTTTCCCATTGACTTCTAGAGTAACGTTATATTTTTTTTAAATTAACTAAGATATCAACAGCTATTCCATGTACACGTTTGCATAGTCTGGCCTTAAGAAGCAATAAAAATATTAAATATGAACACTTTAGACTGTTCCTTTTCCGAGTACAGAAAGCTAAACAGACCAACCCAAGCTCCGCACAAAATGTCAACTGCTTGAAAATACATGTGGTCACATTCAGTATAAGTCATCAGTAAAACAAGACAGCACTGAATATTAAAAAATATGGTCAGTTTTAATTACTGTATGGATGTACATTTAAAAAACAAAAAATATCTTACACAAAATCACCCAATCACAGCTGTCAGATGGTTCAGTCTGCACTGAAGGTTCGGGACGAAAAGTGCTTGGTAAAATACGGATTCCGATTTGGTGTAGTGTAGCCTGAAGTGTCTGAGTCACAAGGGTTTGTATTGCTGAAAATAATACGTCCTTGGTCCAACATTCGTCCACTGATACTAGTAGCCATCTAAATATAATGAAGTACTTTATATGTAGATGGCTATCAGTGAACAAGTGTTCACGTAGGACGTATTATTTTCAGCAATACAAGCCCCTGTGGTCTCATATAGTTTCATTACTACATCATTGTAAAAGATGCATCAATTTTCGATTTTTTGTGGATTTAATTTTCAAAAGTGAAAATTAATCAATTTTGCTAAAGTTATTTATTAAACATGTTTCAGATTTTTGCGTGCTGCCGGCGGCTATAACGATTGGCCTACTGGCAGAGGCATCTTCTACAACAACGACAAGACCTTCCTTGTGTGGGTGAACGAGGAGGACCATCTCCGTCTCATCTCCATGCAGAAGGGCGGCGACTTGGGAGCTGTCTACAAGCGTCTAGTAACGGTAGGGGATATTAAATATTACTTCCACACTTTCAAGGGGCGTTGGAGTAGCCTAGTGGTTAAAGCGTTCGCTCGTCACGCTGAACTCCCGAGTTCGATTCCCCACATGGGTACAATGTGTGAAGCCCATTTCTGGTGTCCCACGCCGTGATATTGCTGGAATATTACTGGAATATTGCTGAAAGCGGCGTAAAACCCAACTCACTCACTCACTCGTATTCACCGATTACGACTAAACGTTTCAGTTGTAACTCTGAAACACACAAATACGGGTAAATATACTTTATGGTTTTATCACCAGACAACCAAATATCACCACACCAACAATAACATACATATAGATATATACAACTGACGCTGTCAATCAGTGTCATTAAGAACCATCAGAAACTGATATAAACGTATTTATCCTGTCCACGTCAACCTTGAACTCTATGACCACTACCACAACGGGTTGTTAGTGAGTGAGTTTTGACTTACAATGATTGTGATAACACCACTACCGTAAAGAAACTAGGCTCGTGTCAGAGTGATTGAGTGAGTTAGTGAGTAAGTGAGTATGGTTTACGTCACCTCTAGCAATATTCCCGCTATATCGGGGCAGGGGAAACATAAAAGGGGTTCAAACATGATGATGGGCAGTCGAACCCGGGATCGGCGAGGCGAACAAAAACTTGAACCACTAGGCTACCGAACGCATGGACTACCATGTCAGAATAGCAGTGATGGTGACACAATTATGTTATGTACATCTCCTTTCACAATAAACATTCATTTCCAGGCTGTCAAATCCATGGAACAGACGCTGAAATTCGCCCGGAACGAACATCTTGGATTCCTGACGTTCTGTCCCAGCAACCTGGGAACCACTCTACGAGCATCTGTGCATATCAAGATCCCAGCCGTCGCTGCCAAGCCCGACTTCAAGGAGATCTGTGACAAATACAACCTTCAGGCCAGGGGTGAGAAACATACAGAATCGAATCTGATACCATCCTCGATGATCAAGGCAATTTTAGATTGTCTGATAAACCCCTTGATGAAAGAGTTGCAAAGCTGAATTGATATCGTTCACTTACCGATGATATATTATGTATACTGCTCAAAACAAGATAAGGAACCCCACATTCTTCATAACTATTGAACCCGTGAAGATCCGGGTTAGAATTGATCTTCAGTAACCCATGCTTGTCGTAAGAGGCGACTAACGGGATCGGGTGGTCAAGCTCGTTGGCTTGGTTGACACGTATGTCATCGGTTCCCAGTTGCGCAGATCGATGCTCATGCTGTTGATCACAGGATTGTATGGTCCAGACTCGATTATTTACAGACCGCCGCCATATATCTGGAATATTGCTGAGTGCTGCGTAAAACTAAACTCACTCACTCACTATGTTATTTTTGTTTCCATAATAAATTAAAACCTCTGATTTTTCAGGCATCCACGGCGAGCACACTGAGAGCGAGGGTGGCGTCTACGACATCTCCAACAAACGTCGTCTTGGTCTGACGGAGGCGCAAGCCGTTACTGAAATGTACAACGGCGTGAAGGAGATCCTGAAACTGGAGAAGGAACTGACTTGGTGAGAGTTTGTTGGCTGGCTCAGTTGTTCGTGCCGTCTACTGCTGGTCGAATCTAATGCTTACAGACTGCCGTGATGCAGCTTAAATAGATGTTACGGCGTAAAACAACATTCAGTCGTTTGCTAATATAATTCATAAATAGCTAAGCCATTCCAGTGACCCTGACTGTCACGTTTCGGTGTTTCAGGAACCCAGATAGTCTGGAGGCAATGTACGACCACGTGTCCAAGGCTAAGAACTGCAAGTCTTTGATGAAGAAATACTTCAGCAAGGATGTCCTTGAAAAGTGCAAGGACAAGAAGACATCCCACAATGCAACACTGTCGGACTGTATTATGTCAGGTAAAAACAACAACCAAGTCCGCAAAATATTCTTTCTTTCCGTATTTAAGAGAAGCTCCAGCTCTGAATGTTATTAAATCGAAAAATAGTTTCCCCTGGCAAACTTGCTAGGTTCTGAGCAGGCCCTTGAATTCGCGGTCTCGTTGTCAGGTTTCTTTGTAGCTAAGCGTTAGGTCAACTCGAGATAACACGCGACTGTTTCATGACGCACTGAACTTTAGGCTGATTGTATGCTACTGTCCGAAATATAGTACACGTTAGTGATGTTTGGAGCTTAAGGGTACCACAAGTAAAGAGTACCACAAATATTTGCACACCCAGTATAATTTCTCTAATCAGAAACTAATACAAAGCATATTACTGAACGGAAGATGAAAACGAACATGATTCCGTTCCCCCAGCAGTGAATGGGTACCCGGTAGTTTGGGGCTTACGCAGTCGAATGCCTTTCAGCGTCTGAAAAGGCAAACTGGGTAGGTTGTATATTGCCAAGTAGCTGAGTATGAAATTCTGATAAATACTGATACATTTAACAGGGTGAGAATGATGTAGGTTGATTGCATTTGCTTGGTAATTGGCCCGTCGCATTAATCGTAAAAATTGGTATCATCAATGTCATCATCATCAGCATCATTATCAACATCATCAACATGATTATCAGCAACAGTCGTATTATCCTTCTCCTCCGTACATCATCGATAGTGGGGCGGTGGGGTATCCTAGTGGGTAAAGCGTTCGCTCGTCACGCCGAAGGCCCGGGTTCGATTCCCCACATGGGTAAAATGTGTGAAGCCCATTTCTGGTGTCCCCCGCCGTGATGTTGCTGGAATATTGCTAAAGCGGCGTAAAATCAAACTCACACACTCACTCACTCATCATCGATAGTAGCTGTGTCATTATCACCACCATCATTATCATCATCAGCATCATTATCCTTTTCCTCCGTACATCATCAGCAGCATTGTCACCATCATCATCATCATCATCATTATCAATATGATCATAAACAAAAGAAGGCACTTGGGAAGGTAGAGATGCTCGTAATTTCATTTAGTTTAATTTCATTGCTAGTAGCCCTGTTGCTTAGTTCATATCTAACGGAATGTCTCCCTCTCTCCCCTACCAGGAGTGAAGAATCTAGACAGTGGAGTGGGCATCTACGCAGCTGACCCAGAATCCTACAACACGTTTGCTGAAATCTTTGACCCGGTCATCCGGGACTACCACAAGCTGTCCACCAAGGAGCCCATCTCCCACCCGCCGTCAAACTTCGGCGACATCGAAAACTTAGGTTTCTCCGACCTTGACCCCGAAGGTGACCTCATCGTTTCCACCAGGATCCGCGTTGGAAGAAGTCACAAGGAGTATGCGTTCCCCCCAGTTCTTACAAAAGAGGTAAGAGAGTTCACGGTGGATCCTTCCTGCTGGTTAGAGAGAAGGTTAAGAGATCCTGGGATGTAGTGCAGATAAGATCATGGAAGCCACAGCTGTCACTGATGAATGGCAGGACGCCATGACACTTTACGTAATAACTGAACCGCAATAGCAGTCGGTATTTCGGTCTTTTTATTATCTGATGCAGAGGTACTTCAAGCCACAATTTCAATGATAATGCTGTCAACAACAGACATGCCGATTGAGCTCAGATATTGCGGAGGCGTACTTGTTGATTAATGTTGCACTATTTCATCCTTTAAGAAGGCCTCTAGTTCGTAGAGCAAGTATCTCATAACTCGTTATTGTTGAATATTTTGAATTACGAACACTTAATTCAAGATAAGATCCAAAACTCGGGTCCAGAAGTACATTACCTCACTGACTCACGCTGGCGGCCAGTGATTTCAAGATGGCGACTAGTGTCTGCTTCCGTTTATAACATACCTCTAATGATTAGTCAGATTAAAACATTCCATTTACAGTAAAGGCTTGTTTGAATCCAAGACACGATGAAAGACTGTCGCTGAAAGGGTCGTTGTCGGCACGGGTACTACAGATGTGTACCCCAGGTACGTTTCTGTATACAGAAATGTACCCTGGCCATAATCAGAATACAGAAATGTACCCTAGGACGATTCCATTCTGCATTGTTGAGTTTTCTTGATCGGAACTGTCATACTGTTGTATTAGATGCACTTTATATAACAGCATACACAGTATAACGAATATTTCACGGTGCACGACGTACACCACTCGCAATGAGCTGAACTGGAATAACTACATACGGTTTCGGTATTGGGTCGCGGAATATGGACTCGTCCGTCGTTTAGGGTACCGGGTACGTTTCTGTAGTTTGACTTTGTTTAGGGTACATGTCTGTATACAGAAACGTACCTGGGGTACATATCTGTAGTACCTGTGCCGACAACGACCCCTTCAGCGTTACTGTCACAGTGGCTGACTACACTGAATGTGAACGTTTAACCACATTGGAACTTCACGCGGTCCCAAAACACCACCTCCTGTATCCTCCTAATTGCATTATGCCTGCTCTGTGTTACACTGTCATATGACCTGTCCTTGTCCCCAGGACCGCGAGGCTATGGAGAAGGAGTGTCAGGAAGCTCTGGGATCCCTGGAGGGCCAGCTGAAGGGGTCCTACCACCCACTGGCGGGCATGACGCCGGAAATGCAAGACCAGCTCACCAAGGATCACTTCCTGTTCAACGATCACGACAGGTGAGTTCCGTTGACGTTGTGTTTATTGTGGTGAAATGACGTAGGTTCTTGTCAGTCAACAAATGATTATATGAAACTCTTTCATTATCAAAGGACCTGTGAAGATCCGCGTCAGAATTGATCTTCAGTAATCCACGCTTGTCGTAAGAGGCGACTAACGGGATCGGGTGGTCAGGCTCGCTGACTTGGTTGACACATGTCATCGTATCCCAGTTGCGTAGTACGATGCTCATGCTGTTGATCACTGGATTGCCTGGTCCAGACTCGATTATTTACAGACTACCTCCATATAGCTGGAATATTGCTGAGTGCAGCGATAAACAACGCAGATAAACACATAGAACTTTTCTAAAGTCAATGGAATCTGTTTTGGCAGAAACTTTAATAAACTATTCTCTGGCGTTGAATGTTTTATAATCCGTACTTGCTCAAAATCGTAATTGGATCCTTTGTAGGTTCCTGAAGGCAGCCCGTGGTTACGACGACTGGCCAACTGGGAGAGGCATCTACTTCAACGACGAGAAGACCTTCCTTGTGTGGGTGAACGAGGAGGATCACCTTAGAATTATCTCCATGCAGAAGGGCGGTGACATTGGAGCTGTCTATAAACGGCTAGTGTCGGTAAGTTCCTCTCCAGTGATGGTCCACAGTCTACTGAGAGTTGGATTCAACATACCTTGCACTGTATTTCACAGCGTGTAAGCTCATATTGGTAGTCGTTTATCGTATTGGTAAACAACATACCTTGCACTGTATTTCACAGCGTGTAAGCTCATATTGGTAGTCGTTTATCGTATTGGTAAAATCTGCGAGCACTGTCAAGGAAAATATATTGTTAAGGGTTATTTCCAATATCACCGGACTCTGGTGCAACAAAGGGACGCAACTCCAGATATTTACGGGTTTGATCTCAGTACGCCTGAGTGTGCACTGATAGACTAAGGCTTAGTCTCTGAATATATATAATTTTGATAGTAACAAACAAGCCCATTTATATTGAAAAGGAGCCCCAGGGAGACAAGAGATTCAGAGGAAATCTAGACTTGCTTTATTTAGGGCTTTAGCACTGCAAAGAGGGCTTGGCAGTAGGAAAATTAATGTGGTTCAGGGACTGCGAGACAGACTAGTGCACTGACTATAACCCTTGTTTTCTCAGGCTATACAAGAAATGGAGAAGAAACTGACCTTCGCTAGGGACGAGCGGCTGGGCTACCTGACCTTCTGTCCCTCCAACCTGGGCACCACCCTCCGTGCGTCCGTCCACATCAAGATCCCCAAACTTGCCGCCAAGAAAGACTTCAAGAACATCTGTGAAAAATACAAGCTGCAAGCAAGAGGTGGGTGAAATACTGGAGAAATGAACGGGTTTTAGCTTTACTTTTGTACGAGAACGTATGTTTTTTGCGGAAGAAAGTCATCTTTACAAAGCATAGAAATAAAAGTGAACGAGAATAGCAAAATATTATGAGACAAAATAACAAATGCCTCACTTCATGCATTTTACTAAGGCTATGAATTTCAATAAAGAAGCACGCTTGAAACATGTGGTCTCACCTTAGGCAAGTGAGTTTGTTCATAAATTGCCTCTGTTCACCCAGCAGTGATTGGGTACCCGGTCGGATAAGTCATATGACTGTTAACCCTCTAGCGCCTCACAGGAGCTTGGGTTATCCGGGGTAATGATGTCTCAGGGCCTTGAGCATGCACAACATAGGCGGGGATCCTTTTTGTCCTGAAAGTTTATTAAATGACCATTGTAACTCTCGCGAAAACGGGTGAAAATGAAATGTTCACACACACACCCACCCCTTTCTCAAGAGTGCGCACGCACGCACACACGCACGCACGCACGCACACACCCCTTTCTCAAAAAGCTGTATCCGCCCCTGCACAAGTGCATGGATACATTATTATATCTATGATCATCATTTCTTCGTTGTTGTCCAGGTATCCACGGCGAGCACACCGAGAGCGAGGGCGGCGTCTACGACATCTCCAACAAACGTCGTCTTGGCCTCTCTGAAATCCAGGCCGTCCAAGAGATGGTGACAGGAGTCCAAGAGATCATTAAGCTGGAAAGGGAACTCCAGAAAGGAAAGGGGAACAAATCATCATCATGCGCCATCTTGTAAGCTCTCCCCTCACCCCTTGTAGAGGCAGCCGCCATCTTGATCCAACCAGCGTATCTGTGCAGCCGCCATCTTGAAACCATTGGCCGCCATTTTGATTCTACCAGTACGGTGATCAGGCCGCCATTTTGAATGTACCAGTACCTATATACGGATATCATTTTGAAACGTCACTCTTACATGCGCCCTTGAACATCATTTCTGTAGTCAAACAATCTTGTTTGTATGTCTATTAAAACAAAGACGTTTATGTGACATAATAGACATTTTTATACTGTGGCGGTATGTTCCGGCTTCAAAGTACCACGTGACATTCATATTTTCTAAGCGTCACCTTTCAAGATTCAGAAATATATAGAAGTCGGCAGTTATAATCCGGACATCATCGGTATGAAAATGTCTATTGTTTTACCGGGCTGGTGTGAGTGTGCAGGTGTATATTACAAGTCGTAATGTTATCGATTATTTTTCAAGCATGCGCACTGCTTGAATCGGTGACGTCAGTGCCAAAATATATATGTATGAAACACCAATGATCTTCCTCCAAGTTAGATATTCTTCAGCCAAAGATAACTGTGAATAAACATCAATGCTCTCTTTACGCTAATGTCGCGAATGCTTACAGTAAGTACTTCAATATTATAATGTGTTCGAGTAACAATGCTTATATGCAATAGATTATTATGCAAGTAAAGCTAAAGTGAAAATATGTTATTGTTAATATTGCAAGGAGCATTTGATTATTACACTCAACGAATACGCTTTCATTTGTCGCTGGTGTAAAAATGGATATGTGATGAATGTAAGCTCTTCATAGTCGCCGCTTTCAATACACTGTTATTTATTTTTATAACCTATATTGTATATATAGGTTCGGCGCCTTTGACACAAACCCAATGATACTGTGACGTCATCATTAGTTACAGGAGGCAACTGGTCTCAGTAACTGTAGCTGCGAAAATACAACCTTTTTTGACACCGATTATTACAGACACGTGTGTCAAAGAACGGTACAGATTAAAAACAGCCTTCGGAGGACCTTACGTAGTCTGTCTCATAGTCACTGAACTACGTTATTTTCTCTACTGCCTAGCCCTCCCTGCAATGCTAAAGCCCAAATGAAGCAAGTTTAGATTTCCCCGGGTTCAGGATCTGAATCTCCCAACTCACTGGGCTCCTTTTCAGTTTAAATGGGTTTATTTGTTACTATCAATATTAAAATATATATCAATGTATATAATTCAGGGACTAAGCGTCAGTCTATAGGTCTTACGCTGAACCACCCGTTGCCAGCAAAATAGAAAGTTTGCCTTTCCCAGAATACCCATTACTCTGCCCTACAGGTCATGTGGCGAAATCTATACTGTTATAATATACCAACAGTTACATTTATATGCATGTGATCAAAGATAAATCAGTAAACAACGAAGACGATTATTTGAATATCATTTGCCGAGCCTTGTTCAACATCTGAATAGAGTTTGGGGTCGAAAGGTTGTATTTTCTCAGCTATGGAAGTTCTGCTTTATTGTGTTGAGGATTATTTTTCTACCACAATATAGCTCATATTTTTGCTCTGTTGTTTTATTATTCATTATACCAAGCGCCTTGCGTCTGTATTTGTAACCTTTGGTGGCATTTTTGTCTCTGGTCGCCTTCATTTCCGCTCATGCGCAGACGGTAACATCGCTCAAACAGCGTATATATTTATGGATATGTATTTTGCTATTCTTCTATATTGGTATTTCACTTTTATAATACTTTTTGTACATGATGGTTCTATTTTTAATCGTACCAAACTGAAAATTAGAGAATAATTTTGTCCCTCTTTCCCTCTTTAATTGTTCATCCTGTAAACCGGAAGAAGTCATCAGGAGTATTGGGACTTTGATAATTATAAGTGTTTAGGATTTTTGTCAATACATACAATATTAGTTTTGAAAATATGCAAAAACACAACACTGTCCATTTTTTGTAAACAGCTCTTCAAGGAAAGACATTTATGAGCCACGACGCGCTTAAGAACAAAGTTGTATCTTTTATGTATGTTGTTTATGACTAAATGTCTAAATGGCTTGGTTGATAAACGGAGAGAAGGTCTGATTCTCTCAGTAAAGCCATGATTACATGAAATATTACCTAACTCGTTGTGTCGACTGACGTTGGTTAAGTTGGTGCAATACAAGCAGTTAGTCCTGTTGAATGCGGTATGTTCAATGTGGAAGCGTTTCTATTTATTCCCGTAGGTTGTAGATGCCAGTAAGGTCGGCACAAGCGGTATATAGTATCTCTTTGTATTTATTTATTGCCGGAATATATGTGATTTTTGTATTAATAATCTCCGAAGACATGTGATATAATGATAAGCCCGTCTCTTGTGAACATTACTCAAAGCGTGTTGTTTCAATAAAGGATGCGCGTTGTGTAAAGGCGTCGTGTAATTTATTTGTAATAACAGCTAGCATGCTAAGAATAAAATGGTTGAAACTTCAAAAAAACGTTTGTTATGTCTGTTACTTTTACACAAGATGCAAAATAGTCCTCAGTTCATGCTGTTGGGGTAGTGGGGTAGCCTAGTGGTTAAGGCGTTCGCTCGTCACGCCGAAGACCCGGGTTCGATTCCCCACTTGGGTACAATATGTGAAGCCCATGTCTGGTGTCCCCCGCCGTGATATTGCTGGAATATTGATAGAGCGGCGTACAACCCAACTCACTCACTCACTACACCAACAATAGCACCTTCACAAACTGTTGTAGTTTCAGTACAATCTGTACAATGTATTGTCGCAGCTATATCAGGGTTTTAGAGCATCCGTTGAATGTATGATCAAAGACCCCAAGAAAAGTGCACGAGGTGGAACAGTTTTGACGAAATGCGACGGGATTTTATTTTTGTTTACCATACAGCGGTAATGTCGTGAAGGATACTACCGATCAAATCGAGCAAATGGATTATCCTTCCAAAATATATTGGGCCTGTTCCAATGTGTAACGAAAGATTTATTGGTGGAGAAAATATTCACAGACTCGCAAACCATGAAACAGACACAGATCCTAACGCCGTTATATTGTAAACATCCACTAGCGACCCTTAACAAGACCTGCCTTTGGTGTCCGGACATACACAGAGTGAACAACGGAACGTAACACTTGGAAGAGAATTCTCAGTATAAATCTGTACTACTGTGCATACATATTTGAAGAGAGCATGTTTGCTGCAAAGATATAAAGCAAGAAAGTACCCAAGGCGCAAGTGTTTGAAAGAGAAAGGCGTGTAATGTAAGGGAGATAACTCTCAATATTCCGGTTTCTTGCTCTGATGGCAAAGGAACTTTCCGCTGAAACTCATTTTGTACCTATATACATGTATAATCAACGCCAGAGACTAATCATCTCGATTACCTGCCGAAACGGATTCCAAGGAACGTAAAATCAGTGAACATTGTATGAATCACTGAAAATATTTGATGACACAGGTGTTCGCGGTAGGGCTGGGACGGGTAACCCTAATACCCGGGTCGGGTGGGTATTGAGTTGGACCCGGGTACCCGTCTCAATACCCGGACCCGTTATGATCATGTGACTAATAGAATAAACAATAAAAGGTTGTATTGTCTTTGAAGATTTAGACATAATTACAGTCACTTCTCTTGAATATAATACATGGTTAAGATATTGAAAACCTCGAAATGTTAGCTTCCGAGCTGAAATTACAAATTACAAATTTGATGTCAGGAATTAACATAACGGGTATCCGGGTAGGGTAGGGTAAGGTGTGGGGTACACGGGTAGAAAATTTGGACCAGTACCAGCCCTAGTTCGCGGGGAGGGTAAACTTTTCCTGTCCTACCGATAGCACCCAGCATTTATACAGTAATATATGTGTCATATTATGGCGACTGTTTACAACTACAGTAAGAAATATCATTGGGAATGTTAATTTAAGACCCTGACAGCAGTATTCCCGCTCTTTCGTGGCGGTTTGTAAATAAATGAGTCTAAGACAGCAAACAAGGTGTTGACGGCATGAAAAACTACTCGTTGCCTTTGAAGTACAGCAGCACTCAGATCACACGGTATCTGCACAACACCTCAGTGTAGTTGTATCATATTTGAATATAATCGAAATATTGGGTAACCAAATATTCTCTGACCGGCTTGGGTGACCAAATATCACAGACCGACAGGGGAGCAAAATAAGAAGTTCACCTTTTGTTCTCAGGGATTATCGCGCTACACTGATGTAGAACCTTTAAACAATAGGTGCCGGACAAGTGGGAAGACCCCGTTGTATGTTACGGTGAACACGGGTTACTGGGGCCTATTCTATCAAAAATAACCCCGGAATAACGAAAAAAGCTTTTGCTTTTCGTCTGTTGGTTTGTCAGCAGTATTCCACCTACAGTACAGCCAGAAATTATTGAGAATTTAAAGATTGTAATTTTTTTTTTTTTTTTCACTCATTACTCACGTATTTAATGTGAATATTAGCAGAACATAACTCCAGATTCAAAGACAGGTGAACAGTTAGTATTTTGTCAAGTCACCGTGGGCAGCAATGCAGGCTTCAATGCGGCGGGGCATACTACTGATCAAAGAAGTTAGAAAGTCGTGGTCCATGCTGTCCCAATATCGGACCACCTCTTCTTTCATTTCAGCAATATTTGTCAGATTTTTCTTATTGACACTTTCCTTCATAAGTCCCCAAACATTTTCTATTGGATTTAGGTCAGGGCTATAGCTCTGCCAATCTAATAATGTCATATTTTGGGTCCGAAACCAGGCCTGTGAATGCTTTGAACGATGTTTTGGGTCGTTGTCCTGCTGGAAAATCCAAAACTTTCCAAAGAACACGTGAGCAGATGGAAGTAAATGTCCTTCGAGAATACCTGTGTACCGCTCACTGTTCATAATCCCTTCAAATACACAGAGGGGCGTTGCCCCTAACACAGATATGCCACTCCATACGTTAAATTTCGGACTGTACTTTGGGCGCTGATACAAAAAAAATTCAGTTTGTTTGGTCCAGAATTTCAGTGTATTAGGAAACAGACACACAGAACTGAGAAAGTCACATTGTCCCAGTTAAAATGTCTATGCTGTAAGCACCAGTTCAACCTTCGCTCCTTTTGTTCAGGTTTCAAGATCGGTGATGGAATTCCTCGACTTTTCTGCCAACCCATTGCATGCAGCTCAGTTCTAATTGTCTCCTTACAGACAGCCACAGTTCCTCTATCAATCATATCCAGCCTTAAGTTTTCTAAACTCCTTCGTTTGTTTTTAGAAACAAGAATACCAAGCCGCCTCCTGTCACCGACAGTCAATTTTCTGGGCCTACCTGCGCCTCCCTGGTGCTCAATGCCATATCCATTTGCAATATTTTTCAAAACACGATAAACAGTGGACAAAGGGATGCCTGTTCTACTTGAAATCACTTTAGCTGATCTGATGTCCTTGTTATAATACTCTAAAATCAACTTCCTCTTCTCTAAATCATCCATACTGAGGATCACTGAAAATGTCGTCTGCTAGCAAGTAAACAAAGGGGGATAACTCTTCACAAACTAATGAAAAAGGATTAACGGAGTTGTCTCTCTTGAATGAAACCAAGCACTTGATAGCTGGTCAAGGTTGTTTATACTAGAAATCCAATTAAACATATTCCTAAAATTCTCAATAATTTCTGGTCATACTATATATGGCGTCGGTCTGTAAGATCCAGTGATCAACATTATGAACATCGATCTATACAGTCGGGATACGATGGCATGTATCCTATGTATACATGTATCATGTATATGTAGGTTTCTTCTGTTGAAGTCCGGGCGGTGGGGTGGCCTACTGGTTATATGCTGAAGACCGGGGTTCGATTCCCCACATGGGTACAATGTGTGAAGCCCATTTCTAGTGTCCCCCGCCGTGATATCATTGGAATATTGCTAGTGTCCCCCGCCGTGATATCATTGGAATATTGCTTAAATTGGCGTAAAACTAAAGTCACTCACTCACACTGTTGAAGTACCTTCCAGATTACACTTGGCTCCAAGTCCATGTATAGCAACAAGCAAACCACTGACCTCTCCTGAATCTTAACATGATCAACGTAACACAATTTCAACATTGTTCAACATTACATGTTACACCATGTGTACCCTGGGCACCGACCAGCGAGTCCTTAAAATCAGCATTTACAAAATGTACAGTTGCTCGTGAACGAGTTATCTCCCCTCTTAATCTCTACGATCTTCGGTCCCATAACAATTATCAGACAGTGAGTAAGTATTTTTACCCATGTGGAATGGAACCCTGGTCTTTAACCACTAGGCTACCCCACCGCCCCCAAAGATCAGATAAAATACATAATTGTTTCTGTGAAGTTCATATCAACCATAAGTGTTATCATCAAATTACTTCACGGATTGGTTTTGTGTGTGTCTGAATTTAATTGTTTCGGTCTTTATATTTGCGTTCTTGTTGTAAAGTGGGAGGCAGTGGAGGGAGGTATTATAAGTGGTTGTATGTTAATTGTTAACGCATACACGATCAATTGATTGTACAGTACTAATTGGGAATGTCCATGCGGAAGAATTGATCATTTATTTATTTACCTTTCATAATGCACTTCTAATACTAGAGCTCTGAACCAACGCTTGAAATCCATTTGTTCCTTGTTCGAGCATGATCAGCGATGCTCAATGTTCACTGTGATCGCGCAGATCGATGAGTGGGATCGATCAATTCTGTATAGTACCAAATGTAATATTCAATATATATGTCTTATAGGAATCGACCTGGTGTATGAAATATTTTAGAGCATAAGGTTTAAGTGTAAAAATTAATCATCAAACTTAAAGGAAGACTGTAGGCTCGTCTCAGTTGGTTGATTTGATTCAAGCCTGTATGGTATGTCTGTAATTCATACTGTATGGCATGTAACCCTAGCAGCGTATGGATGCCCTGAATACACAAAGGGTATGCATCTATTTGGCACAAACCACTAATTTATTGTCTAGACCAACCTTCTGGCGCCCTTAGGCAGCTTGGGTTGTATATTCTCCAGGGAGTTGAGAATGATAATTGGTTTGAGTGAGTGAGTGACACCGCATCTGAACAGATACTAGTAACGGGATAATTGGGGTACAGATATGGTTGTGATGAGTGAGTGAGAGAGTTAGGTTTTACGCCGCTTATGAGCATGCGTATTCCAACAATATGGTGCTAGCCCACCAGAAATGGGCTTCACAAATTGTACAATTGTATACTGGGAATCAGAACCCGGTACCAATTAATGCCGAGCGGCGTGTATTTTAGTTTTGGACGCGGTTTAACCACTTCCGCTACCACTAACCTACGCCCGGAGGCGGTGATGATGATGATGATGGCGATGATGATGATGATGATGATCACTTACAGCGATGATGATGACGTTCCGCGGTGGCTGATGACGATGATTTGTCTGACTTGAGGGTGTGCGTTCGACCCGAATGGGAATCAACCAACAAAAGTACTAGAATCATGTGTTATATTTGACAACTTCATGATGTATTCATGAGTAAACGTTCGTCTAGAGCAGTGCCGAAAATGGATAGCCGATCGTGGACCAAATAATTGGCATCCAGTGTAGGCGGGTTAATTAAAACGACGGCGCTAAAACGACTTGAAGTTGGAGTTTTGTTTCCCTTTACAGTCCTGAGTATTATCGTTCCACCTGAAATAACAGTGAATCAATGTTAATTACGTTTGGTGGCGGGGACGAACGGTCTTTAGGTGATTTCAAATATCCGTGTGCATTGCACGTGTCATTTGTATTGTATGTGAGTTTTGCTATTTTTTCATCAAACAGTTCAAAGAGTTTTACCTGTAAAAATCAATAATACGGGTCGAGTTTGCGTTTCATACATATTTTTGTGTGCGATTACAAAGAAATTAATTTGTTCGATTCTTCAGCTGATGAAACGATTACTCAATTTGCACATTGATCGCATCGATTACGCTTCTACTACAAAAAATTCACAGTTAAGACATTGATAAAAATGACAGGTTCGAGGGAGTCTCACGTGCTCCCATGGTAACGCTGACCACCACGTGACTAAGCATCGAAATCGATCGCGAAAGCAACGCCGAGTCTTGGAATCAGCTCATTAATAATTCAATCGGAAAGCAGGAAACAAAATGGCGTGAGGGAGCGTAGTACGGTTGGATCATAAGCTGTTTCGGGGCTTTTGGCTGACAGTCCACCTGTCCACCTCTCCGTCCGCTTGTCCACAAGGATACGAGATGGATAACTATACGTTCTCTTTCTCCACGCCGAGCTGGCCTAACAAGGTCCGAGCATTTCTCACCCAATTTTCCGATTTCTTCAGCGCCTTCGCTAAGCATATTGCGCCCTCGTATCACCATGACCGCTGCGAAAGGTAAGAGTACCCGGAACGTTGATAGTAAACGTACCCTGTGATGGGTATTTGGAATATTTAACTTTTCTTGTTGCTTCAAGATAAAACAACAACCACATTTCCCATACAGAAAGGAAATATTCCGGGTATACGGAATATACTGGCGTTGTGCCAGGGGGTGCATATATGTTATGGGTAGATATAATAGTATTTAATATTATATTTTTACCTTCTTGACGTTGGTTATATTTTATTGTCAAAAGCAACGCTTCTGTGTACGGATGACATCATTTATAGTTTATATATATTTAGCGTGGTATGTGTCATTGTATATTTATGTTTAACAGGTCCATTGTATAATATATACATGGGGTATACATGAATATTGGGATGCCTTTGCAATATCTATTCATACGTATTGATAGCCCGTTTACACAGATCACGAGAAGTTACAGAACACTCGTCTCTTTTACAATACAATGGTTATATTGTAATACGTAACGGCATATTAAATATACTGAAGTTAATCTGTTATATCAACATTGATATGATCTTTAAAGTAGTATAAGCACACACATACATGCACGCGCACACAAAAACAAACAAACACGCACGGCATGCACACACATGAATCGATAAACCGTTTGAAAACAATCTTCTTTTTAAACTGCATATTACTATGTCAGATTATCAGGTTTATGAATTGGGGATCCTAGGCCTGTTATGTGTTATTTACAAGTTATTTCAGCTATTGCTTTACAGTAATTATCAGTTCTACATGCAGATAGGCTGTAGCAATACCCTTCTTATATGCAATATGTTCTTATATGCGAACATTTTAGTCTTCCTGGGGTAATTTTCTTATTTCGTGACTCTACCTCTGATCTAATGCTATTATATTTCTGATTTACATTCAAATGCTATTATATTTCTGATTTACATTCAAATGCTATTATATTTCTGATTTACATACGTTGTGATGTTGACGAGCCCATTGTACTTCATTGAGCTGTTTACAATAGGAGGTCATTCCACTACATCTGCCCGAGGGAGAGGTGTCAACTATTGTTCTGTGAAAGGTGTCATCGCAGCGCCGTTTGGGGCTAATACATTCCATTGTATGCCCTCCGTGTTAACAATACCTACAGTCCTAAATCCTTATCATAAACATAATTATGTCATATTTCGTAATCAGTCAGTCACTGTTTATTGTTTCAAGGTCAACTGTACAGTCACAATAGTACAATACTTTTCGTTATTGCTAATAATGATGATGATGATGATGATGCCATTTTCTTTGTGCTTATAATATAGAAGAATTTAAGTTACACGGGCTATGGCGAAGCCGACATATGTTATTGATGGCAAAATCTTTAAAATACTATAGGCCTGTTAGCAACTCATATCACTATTTCATGTCTATTTTGTCTCAGGGGCGGTGGGGTAGCCTAGTGGTTAAAGCGTTGGCTCGTCACGCCGAAGACCCGGGTTCGAATCCCCACATGGGTACAATGTGTGAAGCCCATTTCTGGTGTCCCCCGCCGTGATGTTGCTGGAATATTGATAAAGCGGCGTAAAACCAAACGCAGTCAGTCAGTCAGTATTTTGTCTCATTCTACGAAATGGGGCGGTGAGATAGCCTAGTAGTTAAAGCATCCGCTCGTCACGCTGAAGACCCGGGTTCGATTCCACACTTGGGTACAGTGTGTGGATCCCATTTCTGTTGTTCCACGTCGCGATGTTGCTGGAATATTGCTAAAAGCGGCGTAAAACCATACTCATTCACACACTCTATCATTATACGAAATGTCTATCAAACAAATCAACTCCGTTGATTTTTATGAAATAATACTATCGTATAACATAATGACTGAGTGAGTTGGATTTTACCCCACTTTTAGCAATATTCCGGCAGCATCACGGCGGAGGGACTAGAAATGGGCTTCACACATTGTGGGCCTACTTGTATGGGCCTTTCTTTATCCACCGCCTCCAATAACATAACGTCTTGAACAACGCATTTTGACCTGGTTTCTCGTGAAGGATTGATTTTATTCTTCCATTGTATCAGTTAAAACCATTTTGGAGCTGTTAGTATTTTCCCCTTTCGGTTATCAATCGATAATTGCAAACCGCACTTGATGTCGCACAACCTATGGGTTCACGGTCCATACATGGCTATTTAGATCTGCATATATTCACAAACTATATTTTGATGAAAAGACGTGTCATCCTTTTAAAAATTGATATATACACATGAAATGTGTTTCAATTAAAGGATACGCATTTGTTCGGCTCCCATTTAGGGTATCATTCATATACATGTGATTCATAATCGACAGCTGATCGATTTATTAACTCGCGTCGTCTGCTGTCACGTGGAGCCTGTCTTGTTCCGGTTGAAAGGCGCATGCGTCAAAAGAAATTGGTGTTGCAAACCAAAACATGCCAACATGGCACGTGAAATTGAATCGTAAGTGCATTGTTATGTATTATTTTAATTACATACAGTGTTTGCATATTTTGTTGTTATTTAGTCTGGCACGGGAACTCATAATTATGTTGCATTAGTCCATTAGGTAGTTTCTCGGACTGATGTAGGAAACGTCACCTATTTTCGTGGTATCATACTTGTTTCTGCACAAGGAATTCGTCTTTTCCTTTTGACAAAACGTACAGATGGCCTCGCGTGTACATTATTTGCGACATTACACTGACAATTGTCAGTATATTATTGTAGACAGATCATTGTTCATTTGTTACATATATCTAGATTACCTACTGTAATCACACTTGTGAATCAGAAATTCTGTCACTGAAACTGTCATGACTGCTTATCTTTGCAAACAGTTATTTGGTCAAGATATTGTCGACAGATTTATAAACATGCCACCCTACTATTGTCAGTGTGTAAGTACACTGAGTACTTTCATTTAGGAGGGTAATAATAATATCGATTAATCCTCAGCATAATGGGTGGCCGTGTTTGACAGCTTGACTGGGAAGAGCTTGGTAAGAGTTCCTCCCGTTCCCCCATCCCAAATAATATTTATAAATATACTAAAATTATTAACAAAACTTAATACAACAATTTCTAGAGAACTCACAAAATGACTAAAAGTCCAAAATTTAAGTTAGGTTTAGGGTTAGGTTTAGGGTTAGGGTTGGGGGAATGGAAGGAACTCTTTCCGTGCACAGAGTATACCTCTTTTCACGCAGCATCCTCTGGATACCTGTTTGGATGAGATTGTAATGTGACAATTCTAGTGCAGGTGCTCACTATATGCAAATAAATAATCTGTAATCACTCATAAAATCAATTGTAAAAGCAAACCCCACCACAAAACTCAAGTGGGCAATAATGGGACACAATCATAACATTGTGCATATTAAACATGCACCAATTAATACTACGATCAAGACAATCGAAGATACTACATGTTGAGACACGCATGAGAAATATGTTGTTTACATTGCAGTTTTATGAGTCAGTTGTTTATGTCTTGATATAACAAACATAATATTAAGAAACATACTATCTAAAGTTTGATTTGATGTTAATTTTTATGCATATTGATTAGTCTCTCAAGTCCATCAATAATCACTGACACAAATGAGATCAATCAATTGACTGATTATGCGATCAATGGTTCATGGCCTCGAAAACTAAATTCGGGGACGTATCTCAGTTGAATGAGCATAGCCTTGGCGGTATTTGCAATGCAATGTTATGGCAGCATTAACATAGCGTGCCTCACTTGGAGTAGTGGTGGTCCGATTAATTGAAATAATCGAAGATTGGTCGCAATGACTAAATGACCAAGCAATCGATCATTTTTTCTCATAATCGAACACAAACAATTCTGGAACACTTGTTTGCATTAACAATATTTTTCACAAGGTTGGTTTTGTCTGTTACATTTCATAAACATTACAAACTCGTTCCAAGTCAGGATTGAATTTATCTTTAAGACTCTGGGAAATTTATGTTCCTAACATACTAGTCATCCTTTAAAGATGTTAAATTTGCACATGCATTTTGTGGAATTTGCAAAAGACTCATAAGAACTACATGTTTTTCTTTAATTCAAGTAACAAAGATAAGAAAAATTCATAAATGATGCATAATTATTTTCACTATTGATAAACCTAATGAACCAATCATCAATTATGAGGTTTTATCATTCCCAACACTAACAGAGACAAATTACAAGGAAAACAGGATTGCCGTGAACACTCTTTAATTTGGGCACATATATGAAAATATGAATAAAGTTATTTACACATTTTCAGGTCTATTCTTCATATACGTTTTCTTTAATTCAACATTAAATTATAATTCTCATATTAACACTATATAAACCCGTTGTCACTAAGGTTTTCATCACAATAACAGACTACTGTCAATGTACTTCAAGTTTCCTGACGGAACAACAGACGATTTTGTGTCATGCTATATTTGCGACTTGCCTAATTCTCAAATATAAATTGCAACTGTAAGTTCTACCTAAAGTAAATCCAATCACATATTAAAGATTGCCAATGATGACAAAGACATCACCAAAGCTGTTGATCTCCGGACAAGTGTGATGAAACCTATCCATGCCCGTTAGATGGTGTCGGCCAATCAAACGGTCCCTAAAGACAAAGAATTATGTTGTGTGGCTGTTTACTGCCTTTGACCAGCAAATTGCATCATGATATTTTTGTGAGCTCAAGTCGCTCACAGTTTTCACAAAAATATCATGCTTGCAAAAGTTTTGTGAGTTAGAGTAGATGCTCTTGTGTTTTTCTAATAAAATACATCTTCTCATTTCACTTAAATAAAGTTCTAACCAAGCAATGTTTGAAATGATTATCCCGAGATTAACTCGGATACATTGAAGATAAAGAACTCTAAAATAATGTGTGCACACTACTAAATACAAGCTTCCCGGTAATTATTCACTGTATCTTTAGCCTTGGCGGTACTCCCCTACTCCCTGGAAAATTAGCTTTTCCGGGATATCCAAAATATATATTTTAGCCTTCACGGCATGACACCTGATCAGTTGCTCAGCACTAAAACTTTCTCACAGGTAGCTTAGGTTGTATACTCCAAAGGAAGCCTAGAATGAAAATGACTGATCCATTGGACAGGGTAATGAATATGTGGTGATTGGAATCTGACACATTATATAAGGTGTTATCATTATAACATGACAACTCTTACTCAAACCTAGGGGTAGCCTAGTGGTTAAAGCCTTTGCTTGTCACACCAAAGACCTTGGTTCAATTCCCCATGTGTACAATGTGTGAAACCCATTTGTGGTGTCCCCAGCTGCGATATTGCTGGAATATTGCTAAAAGCGGCGTAAGACTAATCTCACTCACTATGAATGATGCCTACTGATCTACAGAAACACAGACCCTAACAACAGTGAGTGAGTGAGTGAGTTGGGTTTTACAGCTTTGTGCAATATTCCAGCAATATCAATCATGGGACAAGGATAAATGGGCTTCACACATTGTGCCCATGTGGGATTCGAACATTTTCGATCAGCAATAGCTGATAAACCATTAGGCTACCCTACCGCACTCTAACAACAGGTGATAGTGTATCTATACCTCAGTACAAGGTCGCAGTGGCAATAATTCAAAAGGATTGGGAAAGGCAGGGCCATTTGCCAGAAAATGGTTCATATTGTCCAAGCAGAGGCCCAGATAATTCAGAAATGGTTAATAGCCTGCAGAGGCTCCAGATAAGCTGCGATCCGGTAAAATACACATAGAAAATTTTCAACCCATTGAAAAATAATTGTATGCGTTACCAATTCATGCATTTAAAATGTTAGATACGCTAAAATGTTTAAAACAAATGCGTGGACGGAATATATTTATAAAAAATAAACTTGCGTAATGAAAAGACATGGATTGCTATCAAGTTGTACTGTTAGTATAGGACTAGTGTTGTACTGTCAGTATAGGATGAGTGATTTTTTATGAAATCATTTCCATTATATTTAAGTTGGTTTTGATTAGGTATGACATAAGGCAGAACATACCTGCTTAGTAAACTTACTCAATGACATAATACTTAGGTGAGTAAAATGGCTGAAATACGCACATATTTGAAAGCAGTGGGTAGCGAAAATGAAATACCCACTCAACATTCATAATACCCACTCCAAAAAAATACAGTGGGTACGGTACCCAAATGAGCTAAATCTTATCTGGAGCTCTGGTCCTGAAAATGGCCCATTGACAAAGTTCTCTATCCCACTGCCTGCCTGTCCCATGATATTGGTGGAATATTGCTAAAAGCAGTGTAAGACCTCATTCAAACCTCAGTGACATACAACTTACAGGTGTTGTTAGAGTCACAAACTACTAACCCAATGTGCAGCTTATCTTAATCAATAATCATTAAATGTGTGTATTTAGCCATTAGAGCCGTCTTTGTCATTGTAAAAGCACACGTGAAAGAACACATGATGTCAGGTACAGATTGATTTCAGGATGGCAGCAGCTGTTAACTACACATACAACTCAATATGAAGAAGACGAGAAGATGAAATGTAGTTTGTTATTGTGGCACATGCTGAACTACAATAAAAGGCATTTAATTGTTCCAGGTATTTAAAACAGTATCAGGCCCAATATCCTATGAGACACAAATATCACAGTTAGGCCACATTATAAATATTGTTGTTTCTCATCACTTTTTACCAAAAAATATGGGTCGGGCGGATTTTATTTTTACATTTTATTTTGTTTTATGTCCAAAATCCCTTGATTTCTGTGGAAATTTACACATTTTGAGAGTCAGTGTTGCATTTTCTCAAATGTAAAAAAATCTAAAAAATCTCAAGGTTGGGTAGAATTTTTGGGTCAGGCGGTAATGAGAAATAAGAATATTTTTATGTATGATAATGATATGATAATAAAGTCACCCCAACACATACACACAGCGCCAACCCCACGCACTCTCTCTCTCTCTCTCTCTCACTCACTCTCACTCACTCACACACACCACCACCACACGCTCATTTCTGTTCTTACACACTAAAAAAGGATAAAATATAAGATAAATGAATGCTGACAATATGTTGGAGGGAGTGTTGAAACAAGAAGAGGAAGTCAAACAAAATTGATAGTGTACTCTGGTACAGAGGCACATGGAAGCACTTGCTGATGTGACTTAATTTTATAAATCTCATTAAAATCATATTCTTTTTCACTCCAATGTGATACTTTGTGGTGATCTCAGAACACCTCCATCAGAGGTCATTTCAGGTAAAGATTATGTATGTCTGATATCTGTATTTTCGAAAACAAAAGTAACTGGGGACTTCCAACAGGACCAAATATACATTGAACTATTGACGATAAACACAATCTTGCATAGTTTGAATAATTGTGATTATCTTTTTGAAATACTAGAACCACTTGACATTTTCCTCTTTGAGAAAACCTCTTAATTTCTGTATGTGAAACCTAGCAAGACGTATTAGATTTTATTTTTTATGTTTCTTTAAATCGTGAATCAAGGTTACAAATGACGTGACAACATAGTTCAAAGGACAAACTTGTTTACTTTTATTGTGAGTAGAATGTAACCTATTGTAAAATGGGAATTTTTTCCTGTATTGTTTGATATTTAATGGCCTATTTGGATACTTACCTGGTAGTTTTGTTATTCTCATGACTTTGTTTTGACGATAGATTATCTGAAAATAACACATTATGTAATAATTACTTATCTGTGTGTTTGTCACTAAGGTTCAGTTGTTTGACATGTTCTGTTTTGGCTTCATCCCAATGTTACACGTGAAGATCCGGGTTAGAATTGATCTTCAGTAGCCCATGCTTGTTGTAAAAGACAACTAACGGGATCGGATGGTCAAGCTCGCTGACGTGGTCAAGCATGTCATCATTTCTCAATTGTGTAGATTGATGCTCATGCTGTTGACCACTGGATTGTCTGGTCCAGACTCAATTATTTACAGAATGCCGTCATATGCTGTAATATTGCTGAGTGCGGCGTAAAACTAAACTCACTCACATTGCAATGTGGAAACTGGTTCTCAATTTCATACATCCTTGGAGTTGGGACAGAATTTATGAAAAGCCATTTCACATGAAGAATGGGACACTGTTTTTGTATGACCAAATGGCTTTACTTTTTGCTCTCATCCATTTGTATTCCGAACTTGCTGATATTAGCTGATATAACTACAGGGATTAGCACAAGCCTGCCAGTTCAAACCACTTCGGACTTGATTCACAACACTTGCCTTACAACAACTGACTAATATCGTCTTGAAGTACTCATATCAATTCTTGAATCTTGAATCACACTGATTGACTCACAATAACTGACTCACAATATTTCACCTCAGTACTTGACTTACAATAATTGGGGTGGTGGTGTAGCCTAGTGGTGAAAGCATCGACTCCTCAGTCCGTAAAATACAGGTTAGATTCACCACATGGGTGCAATGTGTGAAGCCCATTTCTGGTGTCCCCTGTGGTGATATTACTGGAATATTGGCGTAAAACTAAACCCACTCACTCACTCTACCCGTGAAGGTCCGGGTTAGAATATCGATCTTCAGCAACCACATGCTTGTCGTAAGAGGCGACTAACAGGATCAGGTGGTCAGGCTCAGCTGACTTGGTTGACATATGTCATTGGTTCCCAATTGCGCAGATCGATGTTCATGCTGTTGATCACTGGATTGTTTGGTCCAGACTCGATTATTTACAGACCGCCTGCATATAGCTGGAATATTCCTGAGTTTGGTGTCAAACTAAACTCACTCACTCACTCACTCAAAAATAATTGTCTCACAATATTTAACTCTCCGTACTTAAGTCAGTGTTTGACTCACAATAACTAACTCACAATTCTTAATCCTTGGTACTTAACTGACCGGTCGGAGGGGTAGCCTAGTGGTTAAAGCATTTGCTCGTCACACAGAAGCCCTGGGTTCGATTCCCCACATGGGTACTATGTGTGAAGCCTACTTCCGGTGTCACAATACCAGACAACAATACTTAACTCTCAGTACTTCACACACAATATGTGACTGATAACACTTGCTTCACTATACTTGTCTCACAGCATATAATTACTTTGTTTCAGGTCAGTCCAGATGCGACTGTATGCCCTCAACAAGAGGCAGTTTGTTCTGGTGTTCATCTCATTCTTTGTGTGCTTTGGTATCAGCATCCTCATCGGTATAGCAGGACCACCCATCACAGACAATGTCTCCAAGGACAGCTCCTCCCTCATCCCTAGACCTAATGACACAAAGGTAACACTGTTATATCATGTATTTACACACTCATGCCATTTGCTGATTTCTGAGAGACTAGTAGTTTGAAAATTCTTCCTGTTAGGCATTAAAAATGTTTGATGTTGGGAATGTAGGAATATGATTAAACATTATTATGATGTATGCATATTCAATCTGGAAGTTTGCAGTATGGAGGAATTCACTTGTGACAATACAGCATTTATTCCTGCTATATGATGGCAGTATGGAGTTCTTTTAATTTGTGGCTTGAATTCATGCTTGTGACCCTAATGGTGATCTACCTTCAGTTGTTAGCAATCTATAGCCTGTTATTCAACTATAGCTGTTTTATATGATGTGATAATCAGTTATTTTATGTCCCGTGAAGGCATATAATTTACTAACTTACTATGTGTACCAATTAATTGTTAGGCACTATGACACTGACATCATGAGAATCATTCTCATGGAAATAACTTTAAAATTGATAGTATATGATGGCGTAGTCAACCTTGCCCTGATATTTTTCCAGAATACCAACCGTTGCTGATTTTCCAACATAATCATTGGAAAGTCAACTGGACACCGGTACAGTTGTGAAATGCCAGTGGACTTTAAATTTCCAGATTCTGTACATGAGTTAGAGCGTTAAATGCCAGAAAAGATCTAGGATCTTACCAAAAGCGCAGTCTTAAAATGTTATATTCAAGCCCCATATTCTACTTTGCTACGTCAGATGTTATCACATTTATCGCTATAGTCTGTCTAATGTTGAGTCAAGGCGACAGTCTCTTTGGTGACATCATTTTCCAGAACAATTACTCATCACATCATGGTCACATCATCATGATCAATGGAGGCCTTCATTGTTAGTCTGAAGAAAATCAACCATTCGCTCTCTAAATTTTGATGCATCTTTTACCGATATGTAATGGATGGATAGGTGGATGGCTAGTAGGATGGATGGATAGGGATGGCTAGTATGATGAATGGATGGGGATGGCTAGTAGGATGGATGGAAGGGGATGGCTAGTACGATGAATGGATGGGTATGGCTAGTAGGATGGATGATAGTAGGATGGCTGGATGGGGATGGCCAGTGGATGGCTAGGAGGATGGATGGATGGATGGGTATGGCTAGTAGGATGGATGGATGGGGATGGGCTAGTAGGATGGATGGGGATGGATGGCTAGTAGGATGGATGGGGATGGCTAGTAGGATGGATGGATGGGGATGATAGGATGGATGGATAGTAGGATGGATGGAAGGATGGCTAGTAGGATGAATGGATGGAGATGGCTAGTAGTATGATGAATGGATGGGGATGGCCAGTAGGATGGATGGGGATGGCTAGTAGGATGGATGGATGGGGATGGCTAGTAGGATGGATGGGGATGGCTAGTAGGATGAATGGATGGGGATGGCTAGTAGGATGGATGGATGGAAATGGCTAGTAGGATGGATGGATGGGTATGGCTAGTAGGATGGATGGATGGGATGGCTAGTAGGATGGGATGGGGATGGCTAGTAGGATGGATGAATGGATGGGGATGGCTAGTAGGATGGATGGATGGGGATGGCTAGTAGGATGGATGGATGGGGATGGCTAGTAGGATGGATGGATGGATGGATGGCTAGTAGGATGAATGGATGGGGATGGCTAGTAGGATGGATGGATGGGGATGGCTAGTAGGATGGATGGGGATGGCTAGTAGGATGAATGGATGGGTATGGCTAGTAGGATGGATGGAAGGGGATGGCTAGTACGATGAATGGATGGGTATGGCTAGTAGGATGGATGGATGGGGATGGCCAGTAGGATGGATGGCTAGTAGGATGGATGGATGGGGATGGCTAGTAGGATGGATGGATAGTAGGATGGATGGATGGGATGGCCAGTAGGATGGATGGCTAGTAGGATGGATGGATGGAATGAAATGGCTAGTAGGATGGATGGATGGAGGATGGCTAGTAGGATGGATGGATAGGGATGGCTAGTAGGATGGATGGATGGATGGGTATGGCTAGTAGGATGGATGGATGGGAGTAGGATGGATGGATAGGATGGGATGGATGGATGGATGGATGGCTAGTAGGATGGATGGATGGCTAGTAGGATGGATAGATGGGGATGGCTAGGAGGATGGATAGGGATGGCTAGTAGGATGGATGGATAGGGATGGCTAGTAGGATGGATGGATGGGGATGGCTAGTAGGATGGATGGATGGGTAGGATGGATAGTAGGATGGATGGATAGTAGGATGGATAGTTGAGGATGGCTAGTGGATGGATGGATATAGCTAGTAGGATGGATGGATGGGGATGGCTAGTAGGATGGATGGATAGGGATGGCTAGTAGGATGGATGGATGATGGCTAGGGATAGTAGGATGGATGGATAGGGATGGCTAGTAGGATGGATGGATGGGATAGCTAGTAGGATGGATGGATGGATGGATGGATAGCTAGTAGGATGGATGGATGGGATGGTAGGATGGATGGGTGATAGCTAGTAGGATGGATGGATGGGTATAGCTAGTAGGGGATGGATAGGGATGGCTAGTAGGATGGATGGGATGCCTAGTAGGATGGATGGATGGATAGTAGGATGGATGGATGGATGGCTAGAATGATGGATGGATGGATAGTAGATGGATGGCTAGTAGGATGGATGGATAGGATAGCTAGTAGGATGGATGGATAGCTTATAGGATGGATAGGATGAGGGATGGCTAGTAGGATGGATGGATAGTTGGATGGATAGGATAGCTAGTAGGATGGATGGATAGCTAGTAGGATGAATGGATGGAGATAGCTAGTAGGATGGATGGCTAGTAGGATGGATAGGATAGCTAGTTGGATGGATGGGAGAAGACTGAGTAGGATAGAGATACCTAGTAGGATGGATGGATGGATACCTAGTAGGATGGATGGATGGAGGATGGCTAGTAGGATGGATGGATGGAATATGGCTAGTAGGATGGATGGATGGAGATAGCTAGTAGGATGGATGGATAGGAGATAGCTAGTAGGATGGATGGATGGAGATAGCTAGTAGGATGGATGGATGGAGATAGCTAGCTAGGATGGATGGATAGGACAGCCAAGTAGGATGGATAGGATAGCTAGTAGAGATGGATAGCTAAGTGGATGGATGGATAGGATAGCCAAAGTAGGATGGATAGGATAGCTAGTAGGATGGATGGATAGGTATAGCTAGTAGGATGGATGGAAGCTATAGCCAGTAGGATTGATGGATGGAGTATAGCTAGTAGGATGGATGGATAGGGGATAGCCAGTAGGATGGATAGGGATAGCTAGTAGGATGAATAGATAGGTATAGCTAGTAGGATGGATGGATGGAGATAGCTAGTATGAGGATGGATAGGATATCTAGTAGTGGATGGATAGTAGATGATACCTAGTAGGATGGATGGATAGGTATAGCTAGTAGGATGGATGGATAGGAGATAGCTAGTAGGAGTGGATTGATAGGGATAGCTAGTAGGATGGATGGATAGATGATAGCTAGGAGATGGATGGATAGCTTACTAGGATGGATGGGTGGAGATAGCTAGTAGGATGGATGGATGGCTAGTAGGATGGATGGATATTGGATACCTAGTAGAGATGGATGGATGGATAGATGGATAGTAGAGATGGATGGATAGAGAATATCTAAGTAGGATGGATAGAGATACCTAGATAGAGATGGATGGATGGATACCTAGTAGGATGGATGGATGGGGATGGCTTAGTGGATGGATGGATGGGAGATAGCTACTTGATGGATGGATGAGATGGCTAGTAGGATGAATGGATGGGGATAGCTAGGAGGAATGGATGGATGGCTAGTAGGATGGATGGATGGGGATAGCTAGTAGGATGGATAGGGATGACTAGTAGGATGGATGGATGGAGATAGCCAGTGGATGGATGGATGGAGTAGGATGGATGGATGGATGGAGATAGCTAGTATGAATGGATGGGGAGATGGCTAGTAGGATTGAGGATGGATACCTAGGATGGATGGATGGATGCCTAGTTGGCTAGTAGGATGGATGGATAGGGATAGCTAGTAGGATGGATGGCTAATAGGATGGATGGAGGATGGCTAGTAGGATGGATAGGGATGGTAGGATGAATGGATGGGGATGGATAGGATGGTATGGATGGATAGGATGACTAGTAGGATGGATAGCTAGTATGGATGGATAGATGTCTAGTAGGATGGATGATAGGATAGCTAGTAGGATGGATAGCTAGTAGGATGGATGGATAGGGATGGCTAGTAGGATGGATGGATGGCTATTACCTAGTAGGATGGATGGATGGAGGGGATGGCTAGTAGGGATGGATGGATAGGGATGCGCTAGTAGGATGGATGGATAGGATGGATGGATAGGATGGATAGGATAGCTAGTAGGGTGGATGGGGATGGCTAGTAGGGATGGATAGATGGGGATGCCTAGTAGGATGGATGGATGGGGATGCCTAGTAGGATGGATGGATGGCTAGTAGGATGGATGGATGGATGGCTAGAATGATGGATGGATGGATGAGTGATGGCTAGTAGGGTGGATGGATGGGGATGGCTAGTAGGATGGATGGATGGCTAGCTAGGAGGATGGATGGATGGAATGGCTAGTAGGATGGATGGATGGAATTGAAAATGTCAGTGCTTACAAATGTCTGCAATGTATTGTCTATTATAACACAGATTGGCCCCTTCTATCTCAAGTCTCCTCCCATGTCCACCTTCCACCAACAGCTATGGCTCACAGCCAACATCGTCACAGACAACAAGGGAGGTAAGTCACTATGTTTGAACAAATTAAACTAGTGTCAGAAATCAAAAGATCACTCATTGTACAATGTTGTTACTAAATAAGAACTATACAATGACTGTATTGATGTAAAAACTCACTGAATCAATGTATGTCTTTATTCCTAAACATCCAATGTTAATGAGTAAGTGCTCTTGTTGGCACAGTGAGATAACCTTATGGTTAAAGCATCCACTCGTCACGCTGAAGACGTAGGTTCGATTCCCCAAATGGGTACACTTTGTGAAGCCTATTTCAGGTGTCCCCTGCTGTGATATTGCTGGAATATTGCTACAAATGGCATAAAACCATAGTCTTTCACTCACTCACTCACTCACTCACTGTTATTGGATTACCCTTATTGCCAAATGACAGAACTCATCGATTCAACTAAACTTCCATTAATATAACTCACACACATCAACAATCACAAAGTACCAATACTGTACTGACATCAACATGGATCTGATTCTTTTATAAATATGACTATTCATATCTGGGAATGAGGGTCTCCCTTGCATCATTTGCTTTATGCTTACCCTATATTTGTTTTAAATATACTCTGAACACCATGTGAACCTTAATATATATATATATATATATATATATAAAACTAGTGAGTTAGTTAGTTTTACACTGCTTTTAGCAATGTTCCAGCAATATCAGGTGGGGGGACACCAAAAATGGGCTTCACACTTTGTACCAATGAGGGGAATCAAACCCAGGTCTTTGGCGTCACGAAGAAACACTTTAACCACTAGGCTCCACCTATAACAAAACTAGGTGCCTTGGGAACGCCAAAATCCTGTGATTTGGATTCATATCCTTGTTCCCTTGGAGAATGTTTCTAGTTATTAGTTTTGTCAGCACCATGCCAGCTTGTGGGTTTCACCAAAGTGGTGAATGGCTGAGATCTGCATAGCACGTTAAGCTGACAAGACATTATAGAGACGGAATCCAGTTCAAGGCAGTATTAAACCCAACACACTCATATTTATGATTAAGGAATGGTTTGTTTGTTCACAGTGCTTCATTGATGATTGTTCGTTTGTTAATGCTAAGTATTGGTACCTCATAGAAGAAGAGATGTTTTCATGTTTCACAGTGATGTTAATCACTTCATTCATTTTCATGAGGATTTTATTTTTTTAAAATAACCTGATGTATATGGAAAACAGAAAAAAAGGTGTTTTGTTTTATGTGTAAATGCTAAATATATAACACAACATAACATATATAACATTCCAGATGCAAGGTTTGAGCAGCCATTTATGATGGGCATCATTATCCATGGCATGAACGGTGATGACCAGAGTGTCGACCGAGTGACCAATCCCACCCCTAGTGGAACCCCACACAACCGGTCAAGACTACTCCGCTGTAGCAAGGTAGTGATTTGCCCTGAAAAGGCCCTAAATTTAACCAAATCTGTAACCTCAAGTTACAAGAAACTAACGCATCAAACACACCTTGCAATGACAATGTGTGTTAATTAATCTCTATCACGAAGCCAAACATTCCCAGCACCATGATGATGCTAAAAGTTACCTCCCTTTGATGGCAGCCCCCACCCCACACACACATTCGACCAACCATGTGTTCAACTACTTACATGTTTTTTAATGCGGTTCTGCAGGGCCTTAAAAATTGGTTGGGTCTTGAAAAGACCCCAAAAAGGCCTTAAATTCGCTGATTGATAATCTGTATGAACCTTGTAATGATGCCAACATGTTCATCTACTGCTATGTCTGGCCATCTTTCAAGTATTTACAGTTTATGCTATGTTGCTGACTCTGGTGTAAAACAACAAACAAGCTAATTTTCAGCCCCTTTGTTTCAGATAACCCAACTAACTATTGTTTTACTTCCACCCAGCTGTCATGAAAGTCACATTTCATATTGATAAACCTGATGTGTTCAGGTATTATTGTTGCTGAAGCTAGTTTGATTTATAATTTTTGAGAAAAAATCCCCACTACAACCACCTTCAGTCTTCAGCAGGCTACATTGTCAGAATAATATTATGTGAAAAATCATGAACAATACCTATCAGTATATACCTTGTTACCAGAGGAACATAATATTCTGTTTATTACTGAAGTCGTCAAATTGAGGAAAATAAACCCAAATCTACTTTCATTAGTTTCAAACATAGGCTGGCTAACCGCCTTTGGCGCCAGTTGAATGCAACGTCACAGAAGAAACAAGAACAATGCTATGACGTCACGTCACCATGACAAAGTGATATTTTGCCGTAGGTTATCATCGTATGAAAAATATGAACGTATTGTGTTAAAACTTGTATATTGTTCTTAATGGAGTGTGTTGTTTGTAGAAATGTGACGAGCTGATCGTGATGCACCTGGGCTTTCTGGACTTCGCCTACTATCTGATCCAGGTCCGCTTCTATGGTTTGGAGAACAGCAAGTTCAACATAAAGTCAATTGTATTCACTGTAAGTCACATTCTTAACTCATTGTTAATCCGTATTTAAACTTTAAAGGGCTTTCTTTTCATCCTGATCCTAATAGAGTAATTACATTTGCAGAGTTGTGTCCCATGACCTTCCGAAGATCCGGCCCCCATTCCTTAAGATCAGCTGATGATCGTAACTCCCATACTTTAACATAGACTTACGATGTCATTATTTCGAAAGTTGATGAAGGATGTTTATTTCAAAGTTGATGTATTATAATTCTTGATTTATAAGCTCAAAACTTGTGCTAGTTGATTTCACTGAAGTGAATATAAAGCTGACATTCTAGCACACCTGTAATACTGTACAAGTTGTTATTAAGGATTGAGGGGCAGTGGACTAGTGGTTAAAGCTTTGGCTTGTCACCCTGAACGCCCAGGTTCGATTCCCCACATGGGTACAATGTGTGAAACCGATTTCTGGTGTCCCTTGCAATGATATTGCTGGAATATTGCTAAAAGCGGCATAAAACTAAGCTCACTCATCAGGGATAGAAATAGTTTTTTTTGTAAGTGTGCCTTAGGGCACCAGACAAATATTATAAGCGTGCCTTTCAGAAATCAAGTGTGCCCACATGTTTTAAGAATAAATGACGATGATGATCATTTTGGATTTATTGTTAAATAAAGAAATGGGTTTATGAGCATTTATATATGTATGGCATTATTCAATTTTGAAAAAAAATATTGTTTGGGGGATTAAATGATTAAAGGAGAGTTATGTTTCAAAACAAATGAGGCGTGGCATAAGGCCACCGAGAACAATTTTTATCCGTGCCATTTCAGTATTTACCGTGCCATGGCACACTAATATATGGGGTATTTCAAACCCTGCTCACTATTAATGATGCCCACTGATCTACAGAAACACAGGCCATAACGACAGGGGTGATAGTGTATCTATACCTCAGTACATGCTATTGTCATAGACAATAATGGGATGCATTGTTCATGCCAGTAAGTTGAAAGGGAGGTAACTCGTGATACATGTTTCAGTTCAAGAGCTACAACACCTCCTTTACTCAGATTGAGATTTGGATCCGATTTGTCTTCCTCGTACTGACGTTCCTCTGCACTGTAAGTACCCAGGCAAATCAGTAGTTTATGTTAAGAATTACATTTTTCTGTAGATTATCAAAGAAAACTGTAGATTCGGGGAGAAAAGAAATGGTTATTAGGTAGTGTGAAGATTTAAATAATAAGCTGCTCCTTGACAGAGAAGCCATGTTGCAGGGTTTGTTGTCCATTTTGTATCTAGTCCCAGACATTTATGTTGGTTTAAAGGACTGAAATTGAGACATTGTGTTTCTGTAATATGAGAACTAGCAGACTGATATACCTGACAAAATTTGATTGAGCAGACAACGGGATTGTAGGACTCTTTCCCCCTGAAGTATAAAATGCTCCTGCCAAAAATGACTAACAAATCAGGGATACCCTGGGATAGTCTATTAATATCACACTAAATGAACCTCACATATTTATGATTCTTGGAGAATGTATACAGCAGTAAGGAATCTGTTTTATTTTTAACAGTTTTCATTCTGTTTCTTTGTTTGAGGCTCTCTTGTTAACAATATCATGTTGTACACTTACAGTGTATGTTTACGCACTCATTGCGGAAGTTCTCCATGCGAGACTGGTCAATAGAACAGAAATGGATGTCAATTCTTCTTCCTCTACTTCTCTTGTATGATGGTAAGTGACATGTTCTGGATGGTTCCTCTCAACATGAACAACCCTCATTATGCCTTTGCTTAATAGTTAATCCTCCTTGTTATCCTACCTGTGAAGATCCGGGTTAGAATTGATCTTCAGTAACCCATGCTTGTCGTAAGAGGCAACTAACGTGATTGGGTGGTCAGGCTCGCTGACTTAGTTGACACATGTCATCGTATCCCAATTGTGTAGATCGATGCTCATACTGTTGATCACTGGATTGTCTGGTCCAGATTCGAATATTTACAGACCGCCGTCTTATAGCTGTAATATTGCTGATTGTGGCGTAAAACTAAACTCACTCTCACTCACTCACTCACTCCTTGTTATCCTCCACAATGCAGTTTGCTCAGGGTATCGAAATAGACACCGTCCAGCTGTGGGTCCATCAGTGTGTTTGTCCGCCCTTCAATGTTATTTCTGGAGCAGGTCACGAAAACCAATTCCTTGGCAACATTATTGTCTTGGAGGTAGTGTTTGTTGCGGGAGCAGACGACGTATACTGTTAAATATTACTTCGCCAAACTTGACACGTAGATAGGTCTAGTTTTGAACTAGTTTGGGATATTTTAAACATAAATTTTTAAAGGTTTAATGACAAGAAGGTTCATGTATTATTGTTGACAAGTATTTACCATTGTAGGGGCTATTGATGACTTTGTGCTTTTGTTATGTTGCAGATCCCATCTTCCCTCTCACTTTCCTCATCAACAGCTGGGTGCCAGGGATGTTTGATGGTGTCTTCCAGGCCTCCTTCCTGTGTGCCTTGCTGTTGTTCTGGTTGTGTATCTACCATGGTGTCAGACAGGTGGGTGTGCCTTCTTGCTGTTGTTCTTGCTGTTCTCATATAGTCGATGCCTCGTCTGTCCGTCTGTCATCATTTTGCTTCCGGAGCATAACTCATAAAACGATCAATATTTTTCAGCAATTTTTTTTAGATATATTAAACAGAACCTAAGGTGGTGCCTTTTGCTATTTACAGGTTTTTGCCATTTTTATTTTGTCTTGGTTTCCATGGAAACCTTTTGGGAAATGATTTGGACTTAGTCCAAAACAAATCAAGTTGGACTTTAAGTATTCTCTTCCCACAGAGGTTACTTGTCTTCCTACGAACCTCTGTTCTAATACGGCCATACTTCCCGGTTTTCGTAAAATCCCCTATCGGCCAAAAATCGCAACATGAATTATCTCCCTTCTTTCTATCCAATCAGAACACGTGTTACATCGACTTCGATCCAATCTGACTAATACAAGCAAATGTGGGGCCACAAATATCCCTACTCTGCCGGGGACTTGTGTTGATGTGACACACAAGACATTTAATGGCAAGCTTGTCCGTTGTTAACGAGGGCGATGGAGACGTCATTGATCCGCCATTACATGACTGAGTTCTGTCTAAAAAACGTTTACGCATCGCGCAGGTGAAGAGGTTTTAGTTGTCCCGAAGCATAGGGAAATTACTGAGGCCTTGCGAATGATCACTTTTGAAACAACGTCGCTAATTGTGCAACTAAATCTGATTGCAACCAATCACAAATCCTGAACACTCGCACCATGAAAGGGCCGTATTAGAACAGAAGTTCGTAGGCAGATATAACAAGTAACCTCTGTGGGAAGAGAATGGACTTAAAGTAACTGCAAGATGATTTGTTCTTTCAAGTTTGTGGAGGCCGGGACTCTTGTTTAATATCTGTCGCTGGAAAAGTGACCAAAATGCTTCATACATATCTGACAACCTTACAATTGTTGTGTTGCTAGACTGACCGTAGGTTCATCCGTTTCTACCTGCCCAAGCTGGTGGTAGTGGGGCTGATGTGGATGGCCGCGGTGACGCTGGCATCGTGGCAGGAGTACAACGAACTGCTGGACCCAACCTACTACTACAGACTGGACAAGAGTAACTTCATGGTACTACCTGTGTTATTACAACACAGTTTAACACATTATTTCACTGTACACCACAGCAGTACGGTTCCTGGGGTTGAGACCAGACATAATCTCGAAATATCAAGGTCAGGGCCTAGATTTTCGAAGCTCTCTTACCGCTTAGATAGACGTAAGTGCCATACATTAACATTAACTTACGACTATCTTAGCGCTAAGAGAGCTTCGAAAATCTAGGCCCAGGGCATTATGTTCAGTGTAACATCATGTGTATTATGTATTTTTTCAGCATTGTTTAAGATTCCGTTGTGAACACTGAAACACTTTGAAAAAGCATTTTGGAACTTCTGTAATATTTTGCAAAATAGACATAAAGATTAAATTATGTTGTTCTAGGGATTTAGGAGTGAGATAGTAACAGCAATGTAGTCACATGGGTTCGAATTTAATTTGAAATGTTACGATGTACTGTCCAAATCTTTCTCTGGTCATTCCTATCGAGCTTAAGTTGATGATTTTTCTGTGTGTTTCAGTATATAATGCTTGTATTTCAATTCTAAACATAGATGTAACAGTGTCTGAGTTGCACTGTTCAGTTATCTGACCAAACAATGTGTGTATATTATCGTCCATTATTTTGTGTTTCAGGGCTTTAAGGTGTTTTTCTTCATCACTGGAGGCATCTACTTATTATATCTTGTCTATCTCCTCATCCGAGCTTACGCTGAACTGAGATCAATGCCATACTTTGGTAGGTTCATCTGCTAGTCTGCAGTCAGACTCAGTGGTTTAGTTGGTACTAAGTCAGCATGGTTTGTTTCTCATGAGGTCAACCACTGGTATTCTGATTTAGACACGATGTTTAAATTGTTTTGTAGCCTGGAATATCGCAGAAATGGATGTTACACAACCACCGACCAATCTCTTTTGTATCACTTCATCTGAGCTTACACTGAATAAAATATAGTGTTTCAAATAATAGTAATACACCATTTGCCATGTCAGCTCCTTGTATTATGAGACACAGTGTCACAATGTACTGACCCTTGAAGATCCGGGTTAGAATTGATCTTCAGCAACCCATGCTTGTCGTAAGAGGCAACAAACAGGATCGGGTAGTCAGGCTCACTGACTTGGTTGACACATGTCATCGTATCCCAATTATGTAGATCGATGCTCATGCTGTTGATCACTGGATTGTCGATTATTTACAGACCGCCGTCATATAGCTGGATTTTTGCAGAGTGCGGCGTAAAACTAAACTCACTCACTCACAATGTGCTGACCATTAGGTGAAGTGTTTCATCCCAAGTTCTATATTTGAATGTTGAACCTAGCCAATAGCAAGGTGAAGTGTTTCATCCCAAGTTCTATATTTGAATGTTGAACCTAGCCAATAGCAAGGTGAAGTGTTTCATCCCAAGTTCTATATTTGAATGTTGAACCTAGCCAATAGCAAGGTGAAGTGTTTCATCCCAAGTTCTGTATTTGAATGTTGAACCTAGCCAATCGCAAGGTGAAGTGTTTCATCCCAGTTCTATATTTGAATGTTGAACCTAGCCAATAGCATGGTGAAGTGTTTCATCCCCAGTTCTATATTTGAATGTTGAACCTAGCCAATAGCAAGGTGAAGTGTTTCATCCCCAGTTCTATATTTGAATGTTGAACCTAGCCAATAGCAAGGTGAAGTGTTTCATCCCAAGTTCTATATTTGAATGTTGAACCTAGCCAATAGGGAGTTTATGAATCCAGGATGTATTAGGGATGACAGTGACATTTCTGTCGGTGGTCTTGTTCTGGTAAGCTGACCATACCGTTTTGATTTTCAGACCTTCGCCTCAAGTTCATGACGGCACTGATGTTGATCGTGTTGTCCATTAGTATCGCTATCACCGAACTGAGGTTTGGCAGTGGCGTGCTGGAGGACAACTTTGTAGCAGAGATGTCCACACACTATCAGAATTCAGCCGAGTTTGTGTCTTTCTATGGCTTGCTGAATTTCTACATGTACACTATGGCCTTTGTTTATTCGCCATCCAAAAATGCCATGTATGGTGAGTAGGTCTACACAGACAGAGTGTCTACATAGTTTATTCATTATTTAATGTGGATAAGTAGTATAAAGTCTACCTTGCATAAAGAGTCTACAGTCCGTTTGATTTCATTTGAGACCGATGAATTGCTCACTAACATAAATTCTAATAAATGCAACAAAACCAAATTTTGCACAGTCACATGCAATCTACAGACCAACTCTGATGATTTTTCTCATAATTTTGGACATCCGAATAAAAAAGTTGTTTAACAAACGATCATTATTTTGTTGCACTATTGTTTACGAGGGGGGACCACTTGCTGGTAGAACAGCCAGGTAATCAACAAGCGTCTGAAGTGAAATTTCAATTTCATACGTGCAACTCGCACACCTGGCTGTTCTGTTTGTTGCAGTTATTAGATTTTGTGTTGGTGAGCAATTCATTGGTCTCAAATGAAATCAAACGGACTATAGTCTTGCACCATGTGGCTATTGTGGTTAAGAATGTTCTCAGCAACACTAGCTTGTCATAGTAACAGAGTCAAAATCATAACACTTTGATTGGTGTTCTGCAGTCCCTGGTACAGTATTGCTGCTGTTATTGCCTAGTCAAGTATATTACATTATGAAATATGATTATGTCTGATAGCAGTTCCATTTTCAAAGAAATGTGCTTTATCGTATTGCAGCAATCTTACATACAATGAACATGCACAGTTGAGAAGTCAGAAATATACAGTTACTGTTCCATTTACTTAACTACAATTCCGTCTTTTTCTTGAAACTCTGTGAAAAGAGTAACATTCACAGATTGATCAGTCCCAAAATAAACTCTTTTGGTGCTTTCGTAGGATATTTCAACTGTGTGAGAACCATATAGCCCTGCCCCATGACCGTGCAATAATTACATTGATAAAAAACAATCTAGATCATGCAAAATAGGCAAGTCCAGTTAGATGTATTCCACATGCATTCAGACCCGAGAAGATTCAAGTTAGAATTGGCCTTAGCAACCCACACTTGTCAGAAGAGGCAACTTATGGGGTCAGGTGGTCAGGCTCGCTGACTTGCTTGACACATGTCATCGTATCCCAATTGCATAGAACAATGCTCATGATGTTGATCACTAGATTGTCTTGTCCAGACTCGATTTGCAGACTGCTGCCATATAGCTGGAAATTGGTGAGCGCAGCGTTAAGCAGCAAACCAACACACCAACCACATGCAATCAGAAGAGAGAAATAGTTTTTATAATGAAAGATTACATACACTATACAGCAGTCTAGTATTCATGTTGAAATGGAAATTGTCGAGTGGGAAACTCTTTTCAAATGTGTGTGACTATAAGTTGTCAAACTTAATGCATCAGCAATGATTCAAGCAGTCTATAGCAGTACGGTTGCTTGTTCCAGAAACCCACTTTAAGGACAACCCTGCCCTGTCTATGCTCAACGACTCTGATGAAGAAGTCCACTATGGGTAGGTCTTGCTAATGCATTTTGTAGTTTTCGTTATGCTGGCATATACCACATTGACACACAAACAAGTGGCAGAGAGTGTGGACAGCCATCCAAGGCATAGTAGTATAGAACACAGCACACAATTGGCCATTAGTGGTGAACTGCTTTGATACTACTGGCAATAGTGTCACTCACTCACTCACTCACTCACTCACTCAGTCTCACCTCACCCATTCACTCACTCTCTCGCTCACTCTCACTCACTCACTCACTCACTCACACAATTGGCCATTAGTTGTAAACTGCTTTGATGCTACCGCCGATATTGTCATTACTCACTCACTCACTCACTCACTCACTCACTCACTCACTCACTCACTCACTCACTCACTCACTCACTCACTCACTCAGCACACAATTGGCCATTAGTGGTAATCTATTAAAAAAACATCATTATATTTAATTTCAAATGTCATCCTCATCAAACTGTCTTTCAGATCTGACCACGAAGAAACAACATTGACAAGCCGAGGTGCTGGCAAATATGACAGTGATGAAGACGCATTCCGATGATATGTCACATGACTGTCATGTGACTGTTGCCGGGGTGGTGAAAGGTCGACTATGCAGAGAATTAGTTAGTAATCTAGGAATATTGGGATCTATTTTTATAACAGTGAAGCTTACAGCTTTGGAATTGCTTCAGATGGTATCTTTTGCTATGGGCATAATGATTGATATGGATATGAGGTAGATTTGTGTTGAAAAAAAAGATTAATTCATACCGTTTATTCTGTTATAGGCCAGATCAGTGTAAGGGCTTTGTTTTGGAGATGTTGTTCTAGACATGTTTCCCAAGGCACTGATGAATCAGAATAATTCACAATGAATATAATTATATCATATTAGGCTAACAAAGACCTACTTAGAGGTTGACACTTGTCCCCAAATCTCATATCAGTAAATATTGTTGTTGCATTTACAATAGTCAAATATATCTAACATTGAGGAAATGAGAAAAACAATCCAGATTGTTTTCTATCCCATTTTTTGTGCCAAGTTTATGGGCACTCAGTCTGGAATCCTAGATACGTTCCTGTAAGAAAGCAAGTGTTATTCTGAAACTGTATCTTACTAAGAAAACGTATCGATCAGAAGTTGTTACAAATATTGCAATACAAGTAGTTTCTGAAACAGCGTATGTACTAGTATGCATGTAATATGTGGAATTTTTCTGTTTTCACAAAATTTAAGGCATGTTTTTCTCCAAACCAAGACCAAAACTAGTATGGCCTGGATTGCTGATATACAAATATTGCCTTCCAAAGCTGACTGATGGCTGTGTGTAGCCTGAGAATCTTTACAAAGAGGAAGTTAGATTTTGACTAGGAGCACAAAATTAGGGAAATCATGTATGGCATTTTACTGTGGGAATGTTTTTTGAGGTTGAAAAATGACAAGTGTTCCTTGTGATCTATCTGATAATTGTGGGTAGATTTCTTTTCTTTTTGACAACTGTGGTTTATTTCCGAACATTTCGTATTGGTTGTATGTTACAGGCATTTGTATTTGATGAGGGTAGGTGAGAGTGAGACTGCTTCTTACATTGATACAAAAATGAGCCAATTTGCATGTTTCTGAAATCATGTTTGTAAATATCATCTTCCCATTTTGGCAAGAATTATTTCTAACATAGATCTGGTCTTTCATTCCTTTTCCCAGTTTGAATGCGATGTTTAAACCTTATCTCACCTCACGTCACCTTATCCCATGAAGTGCTGAAAGTCCGACAGGCCCGTGTAACTATGTGTGTGTTTATGTACATAAACTGCCAAATGCATTGAAAGCCAGTTAGTCCTGATGGGTGGTGTTGTTCAGCTAGAACCGGCCATACAGGGCTGATATTGCTCAGTAACTTATACAGAGGACAGGAGATCTTCACACATCCATTTGCATGAACAGATTGTGAATGGCACAGAAATTAGAGCACATATTTTATATATCAAAGTTTTTCAAAATGTCCAACATTTCAATATATTAGGTTTTCTATATTAAAGTAATCACTGATACTGTAGAAACATTATAAAGTTGAAGACTTTGAAAATCTTGTGTAGGACAATTTTGTACAAAGTAGGAAGATACTGATGTACTGTTGTTTGCTTTAGAACATACCTTTGATTATGGTTTGGTTCAACACATAGCTGTTGTTCCACATTCGGAGTTGAGAAAGCTGTGGTACAACATGCAGCAGTTCCACGCACAGCAGTAGTTCCACATGCTGTTGGTTCAACCTTTTGCAGTGTTAAGATATGCCAATGCTTCAACATGTAGCATTGTTTCCACACACTGTTGGTTCAACATGTAGCCAAGTTTCCTCATGCTGTTGGTTCAACATGTAACCAAGTTTGATTTCCACATGCTGTTGGTTCAACATGTAACCAAGTTTGATTTCCACATGCTGTTGGTTCAACATATAACCAAGTTTGATTTTCACATGCTGTTGGTTCAACATATAACCAAGTTTCCACATGCTGTTGGTTCAACATGCAACTAGGTTTCCACAGGCTGTTTGTTCAACATGCAACTAGGTTTCCACACGCTGTTGGTTTAACATATAACCAAGTTTCCACATGCTGTTGGTTCAACATGTAACTAGGTTTCCACATGCTGTTGGTTCAACATGCAACTAGGTTTCCACACGCTGTTGGTTTAACATATCACCAAGTTTCCACATGCTGTTGGTTCAACATGTAACTAGGTTTACACATGCTGTTGGTTCAACATGTAACTAGGTTTTCAACACATGCTGCTGTTGGTTTAACATGTAACTAGGTTTCCACATGCTGTTGGTTTCAACATATAACTAGGTTTCCACATGCTGTTGGTTCAACATGTAACTAGGTTTCCACATGCTGTTGGTTCAACATATAACATGCTGTTGGTTCAACATGTAACTAGCTTTGGTTCAACATGCTGTTTTCCACATGCTGTTCAACATGTAACTAGGTTTCACATGCTGTTGGTTCAACATGTAACTAGGTTTCCATGCTGTTGGTTTAACATATAACCAAGTTTCCACATGCTGTTGGTTCAACATGTAACTAGGTTTCCACATGCTGTTGGTTCAACATGTAACTAGGTTTCCACATGCTGTTGGTTCAACATGTAACTAGGTTTCCACATGCTGTTGGTTCAACATGTAACTAGGTTTCCACATGCTGTTGGTTCAACATGTAACCAAGTTTCCACATGCTGTTAGTTCAACATATAACCAGGTTTCCACATGCTGTTAGTTCAACATATAACCAAGTTTCCACATGCTGTTGGTTCAACATGTAACTAGGTTTCCACATGCTGTTGGTTCAACATGTAACTAGGTTTCCGCATGCTGTTGGTTCAACATGTAACTAGGTTTTAACATGCTGTTGGTTCAACATGTAACTAGGTTTCCACATGCTGTTGGTTCAACATGTAACCAAGTTTCCACATGCTGTTGGTTCAACATATAACTAGGTTTACAACATGCTGTTGGTTCAACATGTAACTAGGTTTCCACATGCTGTTGGTTCAACATATAACCAAGTTTCCACATGCTGTTGGTTCAACATGTAACTAGGTTTCCACATGCTGTTGGTTCAACATGTAACCAAGTTTCCACATGCTGTTGGTTCAACATGTAACTAGGTTTCCACATGCTGTTGGTTCAACATATAACTAGGTTTCCACATGCTGTTGGTTCAACATGTAACTAGGTTTCCACATGCTGTTGGTTCAACATGTAACCAAGTTTCCACATGCTGTTGGTTCAACATGTAACTAGGTTTCCACATGCTGTTGGTTCAACATGTAACTAGGTTTCCACATGCTGTTGGTTCAACATATAACCAAGTTTCCACATGCTGTTAGTTCAACATGTAACTAGGTTTCCACATGCTGTTGGTTCAACATGTAACTAGGTTTCCACATGCTGTTGGTTTAACATATAACAAAGTTTCCACATGCTGTTAGTTCAACATGTAACTAGGTTTCCACATGCTGTTGGTTCAACATGTAATAAAGTGTTCACACCTGACTTTTGCTTGCTCATGTTACTATGCCCCAGGATATTTACCTCAACCATGACAAATTAGAATGACTTGTTCACAGAGGGGATTAGTATCTCAGGTATACATGCCAAAAGGGTTCTGTCAGGGTGGCTTTGTGTTCTGTGCATTGTGTTGTCGTACCTTTAAGTCTTCGTTGCCAGTTTTTATATTATTTATTTATGTTATATTTTCTGTTTATTTGTGAATACTACATATTGATTACTGACAATGTTTGAAATATTTTATTTGTTCTCTCTTTACTAGTTTATCATGTGTGTAGTTTTCCAGCACTGCCGTACTATCTGTGTATTGTATTGTACTGAACTGAACTAGTTCATCCCTCAGCCACCTTATAGAACACGTCCTGTGTTTGCTGGCTATGTATATCAAAGTATATGTGCTCTAACATCCAAGTCTGTGCAACCTGTGGTCTTGTAGCACCATGGGTACCTAGGTTTGCTTTTCTTGTACATTGTATTATTTGATTTGTAAATTAATCATCACTCTTATTTATGTGTAATCAGTTACAGCAACAGGCCTTTCTTTACGCCCTATTTTATACACCGTGTTGTAGAACCTGCACAACTCCTATAGTTTGAACAGAAGTGTGATGGTTAAGGTATCCAACTCTATAGTGTGAACAGAAAGTGTAACGGTTAAGGTATCCAACTCTATAGTGTGAACAGAAAGTGTAACGGTTAAGGTATCCACTTGAATAGAAGTGTTTAATCATTCCTTTTATCGTGTGAATACATCATACAGCATGGCTTCTGAAATGACTAGCTTCTACAGCAGCCAAACACAGTATTTCAGTTTCATCTGCCATCATCCATCAGAATGAACACGAAATGTTTGTATGTTTTTCCGTCAGTACTAAACATGTCTATCCAAGTTTCAAACCATTTCCTATCAGACTGTCATTCTTTTCTCGCCAACACTTCCTACATTACGTCCTGCCTCATCAGTCACCAGTATCTGCCCAGTTGATCATCAGTTCAAGGTTGTGTTAGAGAGATATGTATTCAAGCTGATTGTTCCTAAGTTCTTGTTGTGAATTCTTGCCAGATCATCGTTTTAACATCTTCCGAAATCCAACTACTCATTTTAATACACATCCATGTTCTTGTTCAGCCAGAGCTTCACCAATAAATGGCAAATATAACACCATGTTCATATTTTAGAAAAGTTATGTATAATTATATTAATGGCTAATTGACATGTTATGTTGAAATCGTAGAAATTGAATTATCCAGATTTGTAATTTTGATCTAAATACAATAATGATGTAGTCATCTTCAACAGTATCCTGACTTAACCAGAGACCCCAATGTGTGGAAGGATTGACATCGAACATTTTATTGTGATCATTGAATTTGCTCATATACTTGGTTCCAAGTTTTAATCTGATCTGTACCAGCTTGTGATCAAAATGGCTGCATATTAATATACCTGCTTGACATCACGGTATAGACTTTACTAGAAGTTTTCTCCAGGCCAGAGCATGGTTTTAAAGGAGAGTGTGTTGCCTTGGGTAGTGTTGACAGTGTTTTGACTCGCAAGGTTTTAGGTTAAGTTACTTCATAGGAGTATGCCAGTCAGTCACCATGCTTTGACATTTTTTGATTTGTGAAAAACTAAAAGACTGTCATTGAAGTAAAACCTTTTTCATATTCATGATATATCTGTTGAAAAAGCTCTTTTAGAATGAACACTTATCTATTCCAGTTCCATTTTGGTACACATACAGCAAGAATGCCAATGACATTTGACTTATCCAGGTTGACATTTTACAGAGGTCTCAGCACTGCACTGTAACAAACATTTGTACTACAGGATATGCTCAAATACCCTGGTCCATTTGATAAATTATCCATGGAATGTTTTGAATTTTAAGACAATATTATTCTATATTACAGGGTAGAAGTCAAGAAGCCTAGTGATTAAAGGGTTGACATGTCCCACTGGGATCCCAGAATATTGTGACATTACTAGAATAATAATAATCACAGCAAAACAAATTATTGTTGCATTAACAAGTTGATTTTATTTAGTCACCCATAAGATAGGCTTCATAGAAAGTATGAAAAACGTTTAATGAGTTGTGCTGAGATTTTCTCTGTCAAACTGGACCCTTATCTGAAATCCCATCTCTCGTGCAATATTTGAGGAGGAACCCAATAAGATCACGTGACTGTGATATTCTAGACGAAACATTCTGGATGGCATTAGTGTCAGTGATGGTATATACTGTGATAAGTGTGTTCGTTTGTGTCATTTGCTTGGGGGTTACCATTTCGTTGCATAATCTACTTACGAATTAGATCTGTTTTGTAAGTTCTGAATAGAGAGTTATTGTAATATATTGTTTGTAAATGACATGTAAATATTCGAATTTTTCTGTTGATCATCTGTTATTATCTGTACAATTATGCTGTATGAAACAAATAAACTATTTAATTTAACAGAGTGGTTGTTTTCCTTGCAGGAAGGACCAGGTGGTAAGGATATAGTGCTAGCCCCATGACAGTTTCACAGGTGTCTGCTGTTGTTTTGTTTGTTGTTTAGTGCTAAACTCAGTAATACTCTAGCTATCGATAAATCTAAACAGTCAATCTGGATCAAATGAAAGAGTGATCATTGTTACTATGAAAAACAATCCCGCCACTTTGTCTTGACCATAACGGTTACAGGGGTGAGGTGAGGTGAGGTGAAATTGGGTTTAACGCCATGCTTGAGAATATTTCGCTCATATGACGACGTGCATGCGTGTGTATGTGTATGTGCGGCTGCTTGTACTAGCCCAGACTTAAGCTGGTTTTATAGTGCTAGCCCACTGAGATACCACGCCGCAGTGAAGCATGACACATTATACTGACTCCGAGCCGACCAGTCCTTGTCGTACCCATTAATGCTGAGCGCCAGGCAGGGACCAACAAGTACCATATTTTAACGTCTTTTGGTATGACGCGGTTGGGGATCGAACACGACCTTCCGCTCTCCTGGCGGACGCTATAACCACTACACCACGGAGGCGGTATCGGAACAGTTTTAGACTGGAATGGGTTTGTTGTACCAGTTAGAGTGGGTAACTGCAGTGTTGCACAGTTCATAGTCATCCAGATTCAAATTCTTGGTCAGTCAGGACCAAATTTTAAAATATGTATGACTTCTTATCCAACATTAAGCTGACATGCTATGACATATGTGGAATTGAAGTACATATCACTCTGGCAATCACAAACCAATCAGAGGATTTAACACAGCACAACCCCAATGTCAATGGTCTTTCCATTCCCTTTTTGTGTTGTTTATCAACCAATATCCTGAAATCATCTTATAATTCTATTATGTTCCAACATATATTTTACTAGGAACATGAAACACTATGCTATGCAGTCAGATATTCATGAGTGTCAGAACTTGTCAGACTTGCGATACCTCGGTCCAACCACAAGATGCAGACATCAACAAACTGCCTCAGCTGGAATGGTTTATTCAACTTGGTTGACATGAATCACATTTCTGTGTTGTGATCAACAATGGATGATGATATGAAATAAATAATATAACAATAAAACAGAATAATAGCATGACCAACAGGGTATGCTTAACACAGCATCCAATAGGACGCACAATCATCACACACATCTCCAATACTGGGAACAAGAGGAGCATGTACATTGGAAGGACTGACAGCAGTTGTAGAGGGGGATATCACAGATCACAACACCACTGATCGTAGAGATTATATACATTTACAAATAATGCTGCAGTTGTTTTGGTTTTGTAAGCAATATTAGAACATCTGTTTATATTGGTGAAAGTGCACTACCAAAAAGTGGCATCAGTATATATGTGACACTGGATTTACTACACTCCTTGTTTTGTGGTTGAGGGTCAAGTCTGGAAGCCAACTGCTCTGCCCTCATGTTGAATGTATGGATCAATAGGTAGTACGACCATGTGGGACTTATTTACACATAATGCACACACATAATATATGCATGTAGACTAAGGGTCCTATATTTACACAAACACTACATTCATAATTTCTATATACATATAATGCTGTTGATTTCATATTTTGATGTGTAGAATTTTGGCAAAAATCAGGGTAAAGTTGTGACCCTGAATACTGACGTGGTCCACATGCACTTAGCTGTAACTTCAGCAAACTTAGGATTTTCGTTCATATTTTACACAGTGCTGTAATAATACTTAGATGTTTGTAATGATCAATATGTTAACTATACATTGTAGCATGCAATGATCCCTGACGTCAGACATGAACCAAACAACCAGCAATCCTGACACACAATCCAGTATCTCCACTACATCATATGTGAAGCACAAGTCAACAATGAAGTGGCATGTATACTGATACACAACAATACAATATTGCAAAATTTCATTAAATGTCTTGAACATTCCAAACATTCAAGATAACAATGTACAACAAGCCTGTATTTGGTATAAGTGTCAATTTAACAAACAAGGCAATGCTTTGGAATGTAATCACTTTATATAAACAAAGACAACGTTTCAACAGTAGTTGTGTAATGTCCAACTCCACTGGACAAACTGGACAAGTCACAAAACACAGATCCACTGGTAAAATAAACAGTGCATGTTTCTTTTAGGACAATGTTCCACCGACAGACTGCCAGATAGGTTGTCACCTCAGCAACCAGACTGCACTGCGTTCAACACTCCAGTACTGGTCTAGTATGGCCGTATGGTGGCCGATAGTCCACGGAATGCCCATCGTGTGGCTGGAATCCCTTCCCTCCGGACGTCCATCTCCATGACTGGTTCCCGACTAGCAATGCGTGAGTGGTACACCGGACACTGGTAGGTCTCGGAAGCCCGAGTGGAGTCCTGTAGAAGTGGCTTTTCGTTGACCGGCCAGCAGGTGACATGCACCACAGGGAGGGAGGCACAGCCAGTCCTGGGGGGCGTGTCCTGTAGTTCTCCAGTTGTCTTCTCCCACGCACATCCCCAGACATAGATGCCGAACACGAACATCCCCTCTTGAGGTGGGTCTCGCAGCTGAAACACAGCATCATAGAAATGTCAAGTCTTTTCTAAAGATAGCTGTCTCATGCTTTTTGAGTAAATATATATTTCAATGCTACCTCTTCTGCACCTACCCTGAGAGTCAATGAATCTTTTATACATTGCAACATTCCAGGCAAATCACAGGCTTCACACACTGTACATGCAAACAGGATCAAGCCTGTGTTAAGAGCAAGGTGACTTTTGTTCAATGACACCTTGAACAGTATTTCAGTCATATTATGACAAGTCTGGTAAATATGACAGGAAAGACTGAAGTGATGCAAATTGGACATCTTTTGGAAACTTACAAACTCCTCAGAGAAGTTACTCTTCATAGTGAATTGCAGTGCCTTAGATGATAGAGCTACCCACATCACCTCTCTCTTTTTGACATCACAAGATTGACCACACCCCAGCTATTCTGAATCTGACACAATTTGGAATTGAAAATGAGAATATATCAAATTTCTAACCCTGTAAACAAATACCACCTTCAGATGAAGCATCAGACAAAGCCAACCCGCCTTAACTTACATGATCCTTGTCCCTGGAAGTGACTTCTGTCTGGAATGTGAACTGCTCGAAGTTTCCAGACCTGTCGGCAGAGAACTGCTTCATGCTCTCCTGTTTGAGCAGAGCTAGCAGCCCCCGGGGATTGAAGAACGCTCCCAGCCAGTACGTCATCCTTTAAAGATGCATCTTCTCCCAACCCTACACAGACACGTTAAGACATCAATGTGTGGACTCAAACATATGAAGTATCCATCCAGCATCATAAAACTCAACCACAGTCGACTTGGACCTTTGAGTCATAATATCTATCAACACAAACAAATGTATTTGGTGATCAAGGTTAATAATACTTAATGTCACCTTAATGTCATGTTTAATGTCATCAATGAGTACAAAGAAGACATTACTTCAATATTCAAACACTGATCAGTTCAAATAGTTCTCAAAAACAGAATATTTAGAATGAGTGAGTGAGTTGAGTTTAACGCCGCTTTTAGCAATATTCCAGCAATATCACGGTGGGAGACACCAGAAATGGGCTTCACACATTGTACCCATGTGGAGAATCAAACCCAGATGTTTGGCGTGACGAGTGAACGCTTTAACCACTAGGTTTTCCCACTGCCCCAAATATTTAGAAACAGTCAGCCTCTTTAACAAGCTCCAAAACAAATATGTAACAAAGACTTCCCTAAATTACTGACAAAGAGCCAAGGAAGAAAACAAACTGCTACAATATCAAACTTGAATCATACCATCTTCATATGCAGAAAACCTTGAATTCTCCAAAGGCAACATATTTTCATAAGATATTCTCAAGTTTATTTGCTAAAGTCAGTACACCAAAATGTAATTTTTTAAGTAAAATTGATATTTTATACTTATCCTGACTCATGAGTGATTAAAGATCCTGTACAGGTAAAGATCTTACCTGTACATGAAGGGATCGCAACTCATTTATGATAAAGATCTTATCATAATCTATGGGTTGTTATAAGATATCTAGTAATAGGAGAATACTAGTTTATCTGTAGCCACATGAATCAACATGATTCAACTTGTCTGAGATTGAAGTAAGACAAGAAGTGGTCCCCCCGAGTTACAACAGAAGTTTGAAGAATAGGACCACGGAAATGCTGTTCGCAGTTCCCATGGGGGGGATACAGGACGTATCTAAAGACAGCTGTTGAATCCAGTGGTTTGACCACACCTCACTAATGTAACAATGTGTATATTCTGATGGTCTCACCAGTGACAGGATCCTCTCAAAGTGATGACATCTATTCTGAAGCTCTATCAACCACTGCCCTAGCCCCCAGGTGAGGGGCGGGGCCGAGTACCCAGCCAGCTGACACCATGCCTGGGGGATGCGCATGTGGAACAGATCGTCAGCAATGGACAGCAGGCTCTCGGTTATCTGGTCACCAAGGATACTTATTTCCGGCGTGTATTTGCCTCTGTTGCCATCTTTATCGCCTGCAAGCATGGCATGGGTAAACATCCATTCAATAAATTGCTGTGAATAATTACATGAACATGAAAGGGTTGGTTTGGTTTGTTGTTTAACGCCACACTCAGCAATATAATACGTTTCCAGTATATGGAGGCTGTCTGACATAATTGAGTCTGGATCAGAAAATCCAGTGATCAACAGTATGAGCATTGATCTACGCAGTTGGGATACAATGGGTGCACATGAATGTGAAATTGAGTAATAATCAGATTCTACAAACAATACAGGACTGCCAGTCTCAACACAAATCAATTTCAAGGTCTTTTGAAAGGAAATCATTTTCAGGGACCAAAATCTTGTACCTTGTACAGCAGACGCAGACACTATATATCAAGGGTCATACTCTGTACTTGAGTTAAAGAAATAATAACAAGCCTCCACATTTTGAATCCCAATAAGTATTGTAAAAGTATCCAATAAACTGCACAGAGAATGGAAATATTTGTCATAACGTCAAGAACACACTGCATCAGTAACATAAAGCAGATCTGTCATTACCAGCAGCGTGGCCTTGATCTCCGTCAGCAGCTTGTACATGGTCTCCAGTTCTCGCATGATGAAGTTGTTGAATGTTGTGAAGCCACCAATCTTCTTCACTCTCTCTATGATATACTCCTGAATGAAGAAAAGAATAATTGTGGGTACTTTGCAACTTTTCTGTCCTTCCAAGAACAAAAATACAAATCTGCATCGTTCGTAACAATGACTGACTGCTAATGCAAGATACTCTTTGGAGGTCTCTGGATGGAATCTCTATCAGGAATAAGAGAATTTCAATAAGTGAATATATTCTTAATGTCTTGACAAAATGGGACTTGGAACATGCCAAAAAGGCAACCCCCCTTCCAAGTTGGATTACAACTGTTCAAAAAGACAGCCAGGTGTTCGAGAACGGATGGAGATGGCACAGCACAGGTTAATGAATAAATAACTTTGTCTGTAAACGTGCTTCTCGAAGACCTGGCTGTCCCTTTCTCTGCACTCCTACCTCGTAACAAACAGTGAACTCTGTCAATATTTTAATGATAGTTAAACAACTTTCTTATTTTTCGGACAAAAATTCTGCAAAAACCTCACAGAGTGGGTATGATGTTTTGATTATGATCAGCGTTTCATTGAGTATGTTATGTTTATTAGTTTTCGAGTTAGATTGCAATTCATCGGTCCGCTTTTGAGCCAAACGGACTGTAACTAGAATTTTTACTAATGTACAATCTTGGTGTGAGTAATTATTCTTATAATACTGGGTCAACATCTGCTTTCATAATTCGCAAAACACAGCAACTAGACCCAAACTGGACATGATGCCAGTCACTATAGTATTGATATGTAGATATGTATTTCAGACAGAGTGCTAATATTTTGGTTTATTTGTTGCTTAATGCAGCACTCAGCAATATTCCAACTATATGGCTGCGGTCTGTAAATATTCGAGTCTGGACCAGACAATCCAGTGATCAGCATCATGAGCACTGTTCTGCTCAATTGGGATATGATAGGTGTCAAGCAAGTCAGGAAGCCTGACCACCCATCCCATTAGTTGCCTCTTGGTCTACTGAAGACCAATTTTAACCTGGATCTTCATGGGTATGAAGATGTGAGGTAGAACAATGGCTGTGCTGTGTGTATACTGGGTGGACTACTCACCTTGTTGTAGGCTTTCGGCACCTTGGAGTGCATGGTGTGACAGATCTCCCACAATTCCACATCCTTCCTCATCTTGAACGTGGCGTAGCTGGCCGTGGAGAACACGCCCTGGTCCACGATGGCAGGGTTGTTGCTCTGTACACTCACACCAGCCAGAGCAGGACCTACACAGAACATGACATTACAGGATACAGAACATAGAACTGGATACAGAACACTCCACAGCCAGAGCAGGACCTACAGCAGAACATGACCACAGAGAACATGACATTACAGAAGACAGCATCTTGAAACAGAATTGTCATCACATAGCAAGACACCTTCACAGAAAGAAACATAACAAAGACATAGGGTCACAAACATACAGAAGGACATCACATGACATACAGTGAACTGGCATACAGATATGACACTACGTCATCAACAGTACCGGTAGGTGTCATAGGTTCAGTTTTCAGAAAAAATATCTACCTGATCATATACTGTACATTAACATAAATAATAAAATAATCAGTAGTTCTCACTGGCTACGCACAGCCAGACAGGATGCATATATATGGGCCGCCCTCATTCCCTAAACAGTCATATTACATTTTCTTCTCAGAGGTGAGGTGAGGTGAAATTGGGGTTTTAAGTCGTGCTTGAGAATATTTCGCTCATATGAAGACGTGCATGCGTGTGTATGTGTATGTGAAGCTGCTTGTACTAGCCCAGACTGAAGCTGGTTTTATAGTGCTAGCCCACTGAGATACCATGCTGCAGTGAAGCATGAATACCCCACTCAGACACATTATACTGACTCCGAGCCGACCAGTCCTTGTTGTACCCATTAATGCCGAGCGCCAGGCAGGGACCAACAAGTACCATATTTTAACGTCTTTTGGTATGACTCGGTCGGGGATCGAACCCGCGACCTTCCGCTCTCCGGGCGGATGCTCTAACCACTACACCACGGAGGCGGTGGACAACAGTGTACTATACATGGACCAGGTAACGGTCTTCAGGTAAACTCTCAACAATGTAATCCTGTTTCTGTAACTTGCATCACGCAAATGTATTAGACAATGACTAAGATTTTGTGTTGATAAAACAATCTAAATCCAGTAGCAGTAGCTAGGTGGTTCTAACACTGATCCTGACCTGACCAGCAGGTCAATCATACTGACCAAGCAATACTCACCAAGGAATGGGCTGGGAGGTCGGGGGAACAACTTGTGTGATAGGGTCACTGTGGATGGCATGGCATCAAAGACCTTGTTGAGGCGAGTGAAGACATACTGGTCATCTCCGAGCAGAGTCTGTAGGACACATTCAGACATGTGTACAGTCACTAAAAGTCATTGTGATCACAGATCATTGTTATTATGATTAAAAGTATAACAAACTCAAAATGTTAAAAAACGCATTCAGAGATTGACACGACTTAACTATTTTACATATCTGACAGGTTGATATTCAGTATTAAAAATACACAGCGACAAACATGAACAGTTCTTTAAGGTAGAAAGAGTGTATTCCATGTAAAATATTTTGGTTTTCATTAAACACATCGACAAAATCTAAATGACTAACTGTCCAAATGACACAAACTCAGCAGGTTTCAGAATTATCACGACTGAGCTAATAAATCATATGATGTCAATACAACTCATTGAACGTAAAGGAACAACTACCATATATTCTGCTGGATAGAAATAGATGATTTTTCTTAAAGAAATTATTAGTTAACAAAATACTTTAAATATCATACATGCCTCCAGTATTTACAAAAGGAAATATATTATGACTGACCCGCCAACAGACCTCCCCCTACTCCAAGCATATGAAATGGTCAGTGCCTAAGCTAGACTAATGCTTAGTCCCTGAATATATGTAATTTAAACCCATTTAAATTGAAAAGGAGCCCCAGTGAATAGGGAGAACCTGGGAGAAATCTAGACTCGCTTCATTTGGGGCTTAAGTGAGTGAGTGAGTGAGTGTACTTTTATGCCACACTCAGCAATATTCCAGCCATATGGTGGCGGTCTGTAAATAATCAAGTCTGGACCAGACAATCCAGTGATCAATTTAGGGCTTAAGCATTGCAGGGAGGGCTAGGCAGTAGGGACAACAATGTGGTTCAGGGACTGTGAGACAGACTAGGACAACTACAAATGAACATGCATCACCAACCGGACAGCTGTCATCCTTGGCAGCATGGGAAGAAGATGGGGAACATACAGAGGACATGACTACAAGCTGGATCACTCAGCAATTTCACCATAAACAAACAACAGGCTGCATGTGGAATTTCAAATGGCATAAAAATTAATTAATCTGCATTTACTAGGACTGAATATCACAGGAATAATTTCAGCGTTTAACTAAATGCTAAACTAAAACCATTTCCTAGAAGCAGTCTGCATTGACAAAGCTACTCCATACAACAAGCGTAATCAGCATTATAACAGCAAGCTATATGTGCCCTCCTTCTGGACCATCTGCCATGGTATCTTTGTTTTCTTTCCAATTATACTCTGTGTTGTAAGATTAAAATAGTAAATGGTTGCATACAATTCCAAACATGAATTAAAACCAAAGTCAAGAGATTTTGTATTTCACATTGAATGCAAAAACAAACCAAGACAGTTAATCTACTGATTCACCGTTGTACCAAAGGTGATGTGTTGAGGAAGATGTGTTTTGCTTTGCAGAATGAATCTGTGAATATATTATGTTTGCTTCAGTTACTTTAGTCTGACATTTCAACATCATCTTAAATTGAAAAGGTACACTGACTGACTGACTGACTGACTGAGTTTAGTTTACGCCACTTTTTAGCAATATTCCAGCAATATCATGGCGGGGACACCAGAAATGGGCTTCACACATTGTACCCATGTGGGGAATCAAGCCCGGGTCTTCGCGTGACGAGCCAACGCTTTAACCACTAGGCTACCCCACCACCCCTGAAAAGGTACACATTCAATACTACATATGAACTGGTCCGGAGGGAGGTGTAAGTGTTACCCCTACATTCCACCTGGAAGAACATCACAAATTATAACATCCCCTTGAGATGCTGGGATGAGAAGAGGTATAAAAACATTGAAAGTTATCCAGGGCTCTGTGGAACTGTAGGGTTCAGGCATACATTGTAAAGGCATAAAGCACATTGACACAAAATCTGTGAATTCCATAGATCTGCAGAGAATGTTCCTGCCTGGATGTGTGTGCTCACCTCGATGTTGGGGTGGAGGTGGCAGCCCTCGGGGGTGTCCAGGAAGTGGTAGTTGAGGCCATCTAGAGCCTGGATCAACGAGTTCAGTCTCACGTTGGGGTTGAAAAACATTGTTGGATGGCGATACTTCACTGGAAATAATGACATTAAAAACTGATTCATCAGATCAAAATGTGTTAGAAAATACTCTACGTCTATGTACAAAGAGAGCCATTATCACAAATGAGTTAAAGTGAGTGAGTGAGTTTGTTTTTACGCCGCTTTTAGCAATATTCCAGCAACATCACGGCAGGGGACACCAGAAATGGGCTTCACACATTGTACCCATGTGGGGATTCGAACCCGGGTCTTCGCGCAGACGAGCCAACGCTTTAACCACTAGGCTACCCCACCACCCCACAAATGAGTTAAATGCTTAAGGGGATAATAATGATTACAACAACAATGATAATAATCATCATGTGTGTACTTGCATACCTGACTCAAAAGATCCAGTACATGTTATTACCCAGGGCAATGGATCAGTGGGCACTCTATTTGCATTCTCAGCTCCATTGTGGAGTATACAACCCAAGTTGCCTTGTCAGGCACTAGAATGTCTACAGTCGCCTTACCAATTCATCCTACCGGGTACCCATTTGTACTACTGGTGAACAGTCACATGCTTAAGTTTACAACTCTCCATGACTGAGGTAGTGTTGGGAATTGGTTAAGATCTCATAATTGATGATGATCATCGAAAATATCTGGTTAGCGTCATTTATGAAATTTGTTAATGCACATTAAAATAAGGGAAACAAAAAGGAGTTCTTCTGGGGTTTTTTGGCAAAATTTCACATCTTTAAAGGATGACTAGTATGTTAGGAACATAAATTTCCTGGGGTCTTTAAGATAAGTTCAATCATGACTTGAAACGAGCTTGTAATGCTTACGAAATGTAACAGACAAAACCAACCATGTGAAAAATATTGTTAATGAAAACAAGTGTTCCAGAATTGTTTGTGTTCAATTATGAGAAAACATGATCGATTGCTTGGTCGTTTAGTCACTATGACCAATCTTCGATTATTTCAATTAATCGGACCACCACTAGACTGAGGTTGATTTATTTTAAATGATCTGTGACATGTTATCAGTACACATGCCCACACGCCTCCACAATTAACTATACCAGTGGAAACTTTTGAGACTATAATGCTACAAAGATCCAAATAGTCTACATAAGGTACAGAAGTTCAGGGATTATACTTGTAATGTTCTGCAGATATTTTCCACCAATAACCAACCATATATGGCAGCCTGTGAATAATCACCACAGAGTAATAATGAATCAAGTCCAACAACCTGGCCAGCAACCATGTCTACTTACATCTAGCAACCTCGAAGTCCTTCTTGACGGCAGTAGGGGACACCCAGTAGTCCACCATTGCACTGAGACTCTGCTGGTCGAAACTGTCTGTGATGTGGTTGCCATACACCACCTGGTCAAACAGAAACTCACAGTTATATCACCAGAAGGAAGTGATGCACGTATTAATAATTCAGTTACTTTACCAGTAATATATTAGCAAACTGTGCATGCTATTCTCTTGCAATAGGTCCCTGCCTGGCGCTCGGCATTAATGGGTACAACAAGAACTGGTCGGCTCGGAGTCAGTACAATGTGTCTGAGTGGGGTATTCATGCTTCACTGCGGCATGGTATCTCAGTGGGCTAGCACTATAAAACCAGCTTCAGTCTGGGCTAGTACAAGCAGCCGCACATACACATACACACGCATTCACGTCGTCATATCAGCGAAATATTCTCAAGTACGACGATAAACCCAATTTCACCTCACCTCACCTCTTGCAATATTTTTCTTTTCTTCACTTCATCTTGAGGCTGCAGACATGTTTAGTTCAATGAATTCCTACTTGACTGATTTTCATTTAAGTTCAGATAACTCTTATTCCTGTTTAACTGGTACACAAACCAACATCACCCTTCTTATATCAACATTGTGGTACAGTTTCAAAACTGACAATGTCACTGTGTCAAGGTCAATACAAGGTCAGAGTTAGAAGGTCAGCTAGACAAGGTCAGTGTGACTCACCTCTGCCAAGATGAACCTGATGCCAGTCCAGGAAGTCATCCTCTGTGTGGGGGCACCATCAGGCCCCAGAACAAACAGAGGGTCCTTGAACTCTCCAGCAGCAAAGTTTAGTCCCTCCTGTAACACAGAAATCTTGTGTTGAGGAATGACTCTAAATAAATAACCTTAATGTCACTGTCAGTTTGCCAATAAATGTCAATACCAGAATGATCGAAGTATTTAATGTAAACTAGAAGCATCTTAGCCTATTTTCTATAAACTCTCAACAAAACAATAGTTTTCCACAAATGTGGAAAGCATAAAATGTCATTCATTCGTTACAAAAACCTCAGTTACTGTTTGACACATTTTATTTTAATGAACAATGTATTACCACATTTTGAAATTTAAAAGAAAATGAAACTCACACTACACATATTCAAATACCATTGCAAAAGAGAACATCAAAATCAATTATTTCATAGCGTGAAATCTCATAAGTCCATCTTCCAGATTATCTAATGGAAAACAATGTATCTTACACCATAGCCATAATTAATTGATCTGGAAATGTGTTCATCAATATGCAGGGGCAGGTCCAGGAGTTTGGAAAGGTACCGTCTGGATTAACAAAGTCAGTCCTCACCTTATGGGAGATAACTTATCTGAATGGTCACTATGCACAAAGTAACATCAACATGCCAGTGACTCAATAATCTGGACACCTTACCTGCAGTTCTCCAAAGCCGACATTGGCCAGATCCTGAGGTGCATTCCATCCTCCCTGACCGAACCTGGCTCTCAGTTGGACAGCAGCATGGAGGTAGCACAGGTTGTGGAGTACAAGGGGCCATTCTGGACGGTTGGACTGCTTCAAGATGTCCGGCTCCATCCACATGAATGACCGGACCAGACTGTCCTTCATCACCTACAACCCAAAACATGTCAGTATATTTTAACAGAATTAGAGCTGTATCACTCCACAATCCATGAATGATGCTGGCAAAGTAAGGATCAAAATACAGCATCTGTCATCCAAATCCATGATCCTGCACAACTCTGCACAGTTTATTGCAGTGACTTTTCCCACTTTGATATCCTGCGCTGTTTCAACCAAACACTAGTAGTGTTCACGAATAGCATCTGACCCTCTGACAAATGCGGCAGATTCGCCAATGGTCAGACAGAAGTCTACAACCCGCCGGCCCCAATGTCTGACTGTATATTTCACAATGACTTTGACTGAAGTTGTTTTATGTCACATGTGACACTTGTTTGCTGTTTATAAATCTTATGTTTGTTAATAATTTCAATGTCAATTATAAGAAATATTAAATCTGAAATGTGTGTTTAATTTTATTCCATGGGTCATGTGCATTTTCAATGGGTCAGACAGACATCTGAAACTTACAGGACCCAATGTCCTGTGACTTTGAAACACTATTCGTGAACACTGCTCGGACTACCTGTTTCCATATTCAGGAGGCTTCCCTACTACTTCCCTCTGTTATCCCACATAATACTTCACCCTGATAATACAGAGCAATCAGTGAGAAGGTTTGTTCTTTTTGCACACTCCACCAGTCATGAAGCCATAGTGCATGTTTAGAACACTAAACTGAATCACTTTCCTTTAACACTCATCTACCCACACTTCTTTGATCCTAAACAGTCTGTTGACATCACAGAAGAATTAATGATGGTTTTATTCTTGTTCAGGAATATTTCAGTGACACCAAGTAAGGGTCCACATATAATTAAGCCTGCAACAAGCCAGCAAACACCTATCAGGTCATATATAAACCTGATCATGTCATGTATGCAATCATCCTATCATCAAGCTGGTCCAAACTGATATAAGCTCTTCCCGAACACTCAAGAAGTCTTCATACTGTATCAACCTTTTTCCCAAGTTATACTCTTTTAGAAGCCATCCTCAACATGTACAGTTTACCACAACCAAAACTTAAGCATGTGTACATGAACTCCCAATATTAGATGTCTCTCATGAGCAAGACATCATTCTACAAACTGACAATTGCCTTATAAACGGAGAAAGTTCATATCAGCATTTATGTGTCTCCCTACAGGAACAGATTCTTTAGTCCTGCTTTCACCATTGTTGCCAAGTGTCTTTTAGAGAGGGTCATGTTGATGAAGTTCTTACCTTTGGTGTGTCGATGACGACCTTGACAGAGTTCTGGATGAGCCGGACAGGAAGCATGGAGTTGTGTGTCTGTGCGAGATCCACAGTCGGAACTGAGAGTCAGTCTGAGTGGCAGCTGTCTCCACCAGCATGGTCTCAATGGCGTTGAGCAGGTGGGGTGAGTTGTGGGCGTTGTGTAGCAGCACCCAGAAGCCCTACAACACAACACAAACAGATGCCTGGATATTCTAACATAACATACACAACAGTCAATACCAATCAGTGACAAGTCAAAAGGAAACCTTTTCATACTGTACATTGTCATCTTTATAGCTTGATGGGTGAGGAAAGTGATGCACATCATACACAACATCCACATCATCCACAACATCCACATCATCCACAACATCCACAACATCCACATCATCCACAACATCCACAACATCGGCAACATCCACAACATCCACATCATCCACATCATCCACAACATCCACAACATCCACATCATCCACAACATCCACAACATCCACATCATCGGCAACATCCACAACATCCACAACATCGGCAACATCCACAACATCCACAACATCCACATCATCCACATCATCCACATCATCCACAACATCCACAACATCCACATCATCCACAACATCCACAACATCGGCAACATCCACAACATCCACAACATCCACATCATCCACAACATCCACAACATCCACATCATCCACAACATCCACAACATCCACATCATCCACATCATCGGCATCATCCACAACATCCACATCATCCACAACATCCACATCATCCACAACATCAACATCATCCACATCATCCACAACATCCACAACATCCACATCATCCACAACATCCACAACATCCATCATCCACATCATCGGCATCATCCACAATCATCCACAACATCCACATCATCCACAACATCCACATCATCCACATCATCGGCAATCATCCACATCATCCACATCATCCACAACATCCACATCATCCACAACATCCACATCATCCACATCATCCATAACATCCACATCATCCACAACATCCACAACATCCACATCATCCACAACATCCACATCATCCACATCATCCATCATCCACATCATCCACATCATCCACATCCATCATCCATCCTATCATCCACAACATCCACATCATCGGCAACATCCACATCATCGGCAACATCCACATCATCGGCAACATCCACAACATCCACATCCACATCATCCACAACATCCACATCATCCACATCATCGGCAACATCCACATCATCCACAACATCCACATCATCGGCAACATCCACATCATCGGCATCATCCACAACATCCACATCCATCATCCACAACATCCACATCATCCACATCATCGGCATCATCCACATCATCATCGCAACATCCATCATCCAACATCCATCATCAACATCATCGGCAACATCCACATCATTGGCAACATCCACAACATCCACATCATCGGCAACATCCACATCATCCACAACATCCACATCATACACATCATCCACAACATCCACAACATACACAACATCCACATCATCCACATCTTACACATCATCAACTTGAATGAAACTCATTACTACAGAATGGTGCTGAAAAACCCACAAATATAATGTAGATGAATGTGGAATCGAACCAATAATCATAGGTTTCATAAATGCTGGTTAACTGACCTACCTAATGAATGAGGACATTAATGTTTCTGTCCCTGCTGCCTACACAAGTCCTACCTCAGCCATCCCCTTCTGGATGTGCTTCTTGACCGTTCTCTCCATCGCAGGATTGTTGTCTGTGAGGGTCACCACCACATAGCGACTCTGCTTCTTCCCAGCGAAGTCTGTGAACAACTTGCAGGTGGTTTCCGACTCTGATGTAAACAGCAGGATGAGAGGCATGGACGGACTGCTCTGTCTCAGCATGGTGGGGAAGTCAAGGGGGACGTCACCATAGTATCTGGATCAGACACAAGGATATCAAACATTTCATATGCTGACCATGTCAGTTTCAGTCTCACTGTTGGTGAGTGAGTGATCGAGTTGAGTTTTATTCCGCACTCAGCAATATTCCAGCTATATGGTGGCGGTCTGTAAATAATCGAGTCTGGACCAGACAATCCAGTGATCAACAGCATGAGCATCGATCTGCGCAATTGGGAACCGATAACATGTGTCAACCAAGTCACCGAGCCTGACCACCCGATCCCGTGGATTTACAGACGGAATGTTGGCTCATAAAGACCCAGTTTGATTCCCCACAATGGTGAATCCCACTGTGATATTGCTGGAATATTGCTAAAAGGTGTGTAAAACCTCACTCACTCCAAAATGGAATGTTTTCTCAGTAGATCATGGTTGCGTGAAAGGTGACACATATCAAAATCAAACTCATGATACAGTTAAATACCAACAATCTCAATCCCATTATATAGCCAATGACAGCTGATTTACATACAATATCAATTTCATGACATGGCTGAAACAAAACAATCATTATACAGCTGATTTTAAACAATATCAATCTCATGATAAAGCTGATCCTCAATAAAATAGTGAACAGCTGATCCACAATATCAATGATCCACAATATCAATGATCCACAATATCAATATCGATCCACAACCATTGGGCTGACAGAGCTGATCCACAATATCAATATCGTGATCCACAATATCAATATCGTGATCCACAACCATTGGGCTGACACAGCTGATCCACAATATCAATATCGTGATCCACAACCACTGGGCTGACAGAGCTGATCCACAATATCAATTCCATTATAAAGGTGATCTACAACAATCTCAAACACAAATCTTACAACAAATATCAGGACATAGTTTCCCAATAAAGCTGGTCCACAATAATCTCATCAGAGATGAATCAAAGCAATCTTTGCCTCATGATAAAGATGATCCCCAACACAAACTTGTCAAAAGATTTGCAGTGAATCAATCACCCTATCTCATGATATGACAGATCACAAGAATCCCAAGACCCGGTCCTACTCACTTCTTGCCCAGGACCTGGTTGACGAACAATGTGGATGCCTGGAGGATCCTGTCACTACGGACTGCACGGAGCACACACAGCCTCTGCATTGGCTTGTACACCTCGTCCATCTTGTCCGGCAGGGCCACGTTCTCGGGATGTCACTCTCACACAGGTTCCGCCACTGGGTCTCACGGCCGTCTTTTGGCATTCGGTCAAACATTTCCTGGAACCACTCGAAGTGAGTTGCCAGGACCTGCAGGTTGTGGAACTGCTCGTCGGTCATCCAGTCGAAGGGCTTCTTGGAGGCCACGATGCGGCTGTTGGTGTCCTGGGTGTAGCCCCAAGGAGGACATCACCACGGAGCTGTAGTTGGGGGAGATGACGAACTCACGCTCCCCAGGACCCATCTGGCTGTGGGACTCCTCAACCTACACCAACACCATACTCATTACTTATAGTCTGTTTGGGTTCAAATGAGAAGGACAAATGATTAAATAACTCTAAAATGGGAAAAGTGCATAAAACATAGATAAGACACATGGCCCTGAAACCTCTGTAACCAATAGGATCTGAAATCTGACGGTTTTTTATCGATCACGGAAAAAGTTGTTGAAGAAACTATCACGTAATATTGGGCTATTTTCGTGCTTCACACTGGGGGTGACAAACGGCTATTTTGCATACCTCCATAGCTAGTAACAGGGCAAAGATCTGTCTGTCTCTCTCCAGCAGGGCCCGGGCTGTGGTGGTGTGGGCGCTGTACGTCAGCTTCTCTATCACAGCCTTCACAGCAGACCTGGAGCAACAGAAACAATGGAGATACACAAATGATTATAAACTAAAGTAGCAAGAGGTTCATCCTAAAGGTTAATCATCACCATTCTCTCTGCCACTGAAGCTGATTAGCTTTCATTTCACAATCTAAAGTATAGTTAATCTAGCTGCTCTGATGTTGAACTGGACCTTCAGGTTTGATATGGTTTGACTTAGTGTATGTAGAGAATCCCTGACTTAGTGTATGTAGAGAATCCCTGACTTAGTGTATGTAGAGAATCTCTACATGTATGTAGAGAATCCCTGACTTAGTGTATGTAGAGAATCTCTGACTTAGTGTATGTAGAGAATCTCTAAGTGTATGTAGAGAATCTCTGACTTAGTGTATGTAGAGAATCTCTGACTTAGTGTATGTAGAGAATCCCTGACTTAGTGTATGTAGAGAATCTCTAACTGTATGTAGAGAATCTCTGACTTAGTGTATGTAGAGAATCTCTGACTTAGTGTATGTAGAGAATCCCTGACTTAGTGGATGTAGAGAATCTCTAAGTGTATGTAGAGAATCTCTGACTTAGTGTATGTAGAGAATCTCTGACTTAGTGTATGTAGAGAATCCCTGACTTAGTGTATGTAGAGAATCTCTAACTGTATGTAGAGAATCTCTGACTTAGTGTATGTAGAGAATCTCTGACTTAGTGTATGTAGAGAATCCCTGACTTAGTGTATGTAGAGAATCCCTGACTTAGTGTATGTAGAGAATCTCTGACTTAGTGTATGTAGAGAATCCCTGACTTAGTGTATGTAGAGAATCCCTGACTTAGTGTATGTAGAGAATCCCTGACTTAGTGTATGTAGAGAATCCTGACTTAGTGCATGTAGAGAATCTCTGACTTAGTGTATGTAGAGAATCTCTGACTTAGTGCATGTAGAGAATCCCTGACTTAGTGGATGTAGAGAATCCCTAACTTAGTGTATGTAGAGAATCTCTGACTTAGTGTATGTAGAGAATCCCTGACTTAGTGCATGTAGAGAATCTCTGACTTAGTGCATGTAGAGAATCTCTGACTTAGTGCATGTAGAGAATCTCTGACTTAGTGGATGTAGAAAATCCCTGACTTAGTGTATGTAGAGAATCTCTGACTTAGTGTATGTAGAGAATCTCTGACTTAGTGTATGTAGAGAACCTCTGACTTGTGTATGTAGAGAATCTCTGACTTAGTGTATGTAGAGAATCCCTGACTTAGTGTATGTAGAGAATCCCTGACTTAGTGTATGTAGAGAACCTCTGACTTAGTGGATGTAGAGAATCTCTGACATAGTGGATGTAGAGAATCCCTGACTTAGTGTATGTAGAGAACCTCTGACTTAGTGGATGTAGAGAATCTCTGACTTAGTGTATGTAGAGAATCCCTGACTTGGTGTATGTAGAAAATCTCTGACTTAGTGTATGTAGAGAATCCCTGACTTAGTGTATGTAGAGAATCTCTGACTTAGTGTATGTAGAGAATCCCCTGACTTAGTGTATGTAGAGAATCCCTGACTTAGTGTATGTAGAGAATCTCTGACTTAGTGTATGTAGAGAATCTCTAAGTGTATGTAGAGAATCTCTGACTTAGTGTATGTAGAGAATCTCTGACTTAGTGTATGTAGAGAATCTCTGACTTAGTGTATGTAGAGAATCCCTGACTTAGTGTATGTAGAGAATCTCTGACTTAGTGGATGTAGAGAATCCCTGACTTAGTGGATGTAGAGAATCCCTGACTTAGTGTATGTAGAGAACCTCTGACTTAGTGTATGTAGAGAATCCCTTACTTAGTGTATGTAGAGAATCCCTGACTTAGTGTATGTAGAGAATCCCTGACTTAGTGGATGTAGAGAATCCCTGACTTAGTGTATGTAGAGAACCTCTGACTTAGTGGATGTAGAGAATCCCTGACTTAGTGTATGTAGAGAATCTCTGACTTAGTGTATGTAGAAAATCCCTGACTTAGTGTATGTAGAGAATCCCTGACTTAGTGTATGTAGAGAATCTCTGACTTAGTGTATGTAGAGAATCTCTGACTTAGTGTATGTAGAGAATCCCTGACTTAGTGCATGTAGAGAATCTCTGACTTAGTGTATGTAGAGAATCTCTGACTTAGTGTATGTAAAGAATCTCTGACTTAGTGTATGTAGAGAATCTCTGACTTAGTGTATGTAGAAAATCCCTGACTTAGTGTATGTAGAAAATCCCTGACTATGTGTATGTAGAGAATCCCTGACTTAAAACCTCTGAGGTGTACTGAGGAGTTTGAATCTTTGATATCAATCTATAAGTAGTGCAGGATAAGTATACAAATATAAAAAATATTTAGATTTTACTAAATTTTTAACTAATCCTGCACTACTTACTCCTGCACTTTATCCCGACAGGCTGGAAGGTGGGCATGGTCATCTGAGGGATCACCACAAAGCCACGTAATAGCAGCCAGCCAACTCAATCAAAGTAATCCCGCACTGGGAAGCGCTGATAACGCACGCTTTATAACAGAGAGCTTAATTAGCGAGGGACGATCAAGTAGCTGTGCATTCGCAAAATAAGACTGGCGCCTTTAAAATGAAAAGAACCCACTAATTTTAAAGCTGGCTGAAGCTTAAGGAATGCAGGCAAAAGCATGGACTTGAAAAACAAGGATAACTCCTTAACTGACATACCTAGTTGTTTGTGAAGAAAACAACTCATTCCCACATGGTGGTCCGTGGAAGGAAACACAAGGCAGGAGGGTCACTTTCTTAGAATGGCGAAGTTGCTGAGCAACCACCAATGGTCCGGGCTGTGGACATCATGAGACGCCCTTGACAGCCATGTCACGCATAGTAATGACTGGCAAACACTGTGTCCGGACCGCCAAAAACAACCTTGCATAATGGATGACACAGTGCAATTACTGTGAAGTGCCATAGTCGAAGCAAGTGCCTCGAACTTACCGTGGGGATGAGAGGACGTAGGAGGAGTCCAGCCCAGCCGCTTTATATGCCTGAAGAATGGTTGTTCTTAACCATAAGGCAATAGTGTTTTTGCTGACATCTGACCTGCGGCGCTTCGGGACAGTGGAAGAAATAACGCTTCCTTGTACCACGAACGCCTTTGGTGCTATCAATGTAAGTTTTGAGCGCACGAATCGGGACATAACAGTAATTCCGCGATCGCCTTCAGAGCCAACAATACCAGATGATAATGGCGGGATGGAAAACTGGCGATCAGGTTGTCCTGGTAGTTGGTTTTAGCGATGAAATCCCAACACATACCTAAGTGCACAGAACCATGACGCACTGACGTTCAAACTTGATCCTAGTCACGCCAAGGCGTGAACCTCACTCACTCTCTAGCCGCGAGTCGCTAATGACAACAGAAATGCCGTCTTCCTGGATAAATCAATGAGGGAAGCGCTATCAAGAGGTTCATAACGTGCACCACCGGAGATGGTCTAAAACAGTGTTGAGATTCCATGCCGTGGGATCTAAACTTCAACTTCTGGTCTTCAAGTCGAATGAGCCAAGCATGGCCTGTAATTCTGGGATTTTGGAAATCCTTCTGTCAGTGGGAATCGCTAAAACAGGAGCTAATTCGTCAGCCAAATCACGGGCAATGGTGCCTCCCTTCAGACGCTTCTGGACGTTCGGAGATAAAGTAAGAAATCTGCTATGAACTGAGGAGACACAGTCAGCTTTTGATCCTGCTTCTTGGTAACACAAAACGCGTTCAAACGGGCACTGCCACTTGTCGCCATACAAATGTCTAGTAGAAGTTCTGTGCTTGTCGCCCGATGGCTTTGGCTGCGCTCAGCCCGAAAACCCTTAGCACTCAGTGCTTTCTGCAAATGGTCCATGCGTGCAGATTGAATCGGTCTGGAGCGGATCGCGATGAAGATGGCCGTGAGGGTGCACTAGAACGTTCCTCCACGTGGGTAGAGGGAAGGGATCTCCTTACCACTAGACTTTGTAGAACGGGAAACCAGTTCCTGGCTGGCCACTGCTAGGCGCACACCAAAATTAGTCGTAAGCAAGTTGTCTCCCTTGACTTTGCGAGAACTTTGGGTAATAATAGAACTGGTGGCGGAACGCGATAATGCCGCTGAAGTCCCTCCCATGATAGGTTGAGAGCATCCACCGCCCAAGCCGCTGGATCTGGGACTGGGGACACATACACTGGCAGTTGATGGTTTTGGCTGGTGGCAAACAGATCTATGTTTGGATAACCCAGTCGCGTGACTTAAAAGAGTGAAGGCCTCCCTTTGTAGTAGCATCCACTCCGTTAGGAGCAACTCTTGTCGGGTCTCGAGAGCGCCTGCTAGTATATTAGCGGCATTCCCGAATATGCCGAACTCTCAACAGAATGTGGAGATCGCCGACCAGTTGAAAGAGCCGAAATGTCTGATCGAGGAGAAACTGTGAGTGTGTTGGACCCTTGCCTTCGTTATGTACCATACCTGACCGTGGTGCTTGTCTGTAGCCACTAGAAGACAAGTTCCTGCGAAGTCGGATGTGCCCAATGATGAATAGCGAGGATCACGCCTCCAACTCCAGACTGTTTATATGCCAGTTGATGTGTTGACCCGACCACAGGCCGGAGGCTGTCTGGTCGTGTAAGTGGCGCCCAACCCTGCAGGGGCGTCCACGAACAGTTGGCAATCCCGGAGGCTGCTCTGTCAAAGAGACTCCTCTAAGGCGTTCAATGGGCAAAGAGTCCACCAAAGAAGATAGCGATGTAACTGGGTGGAAGGCAAAACCATTGATGAACGTCTGCCCGGCGAAATGTATGGTTGAAGAAACCGGCTGCAGAGGGGCCAGAAGTTGAAGGCGCCCTCTGCTGGTAAGATCCTGCGCCCGGCGTCCAACAATCCCAGAAGTGACTGCCACTCTCTGAGGGACAGAGGTTGGGAGAGTGCACGTGGAATCAGAGACTGAATCTTGTCCCCACCTGTCCAGGGAATCTGAACTGAGGTTCTTGTCCGTCTGGAAATGGCCTCCGATGAAAAAGGCGTCAGGAGGTGTGAGAGTGGGAACAAGCTCCCATTTGTCCAAGTTGACCCAGCCACTAGTTGGCGCAACAGGCGAAAGGGGTGAAATCCCGTTGTTGTATAAGAAGTAGAGCGGTCTATAACAGGTGCATAAGGCAATGCGTCCAGATGCGAGGGTCGAAATTGATGCCCCTCAAATGTAGATGCGGGAAATAGGAGTTGTGATACGTGTGAACAACCACGGGGGCGGGTTGAAATTCCAAATGGGAGGACAGCCCATTGCCGAAATGTTGATTGTTGAAAATAAAGCGCATGAGGTACTTCCTGTGGCTGGGGTATTGGAACATGGGAGGTATGCATCCTGTAGGTCCAGGCTGATGAGAAAGTCGTTGGCGCATACCATAGATTTGAGGTATTAGAGGGCGTCATTCCGAAGGTCGCGGAGGGCGTTCCAGGAAAGAATCTCGTTGAAATAGGACAGATTGTGAATCATCCTCATTTTCGCGGACCCTTTCTTCGGCACTAAGAATATTGGAGAATAAAACCCTGGTGTTATGATGGGATCACGGGGAGTTAGATGGCTCTTTTCTCCAACAAAATGCAGCTATGTTCTCGCTAGAAGGTTGTATTGAACCTGAGAGTGATTGTGCGGAGGCGGAACATTGTCAGAAGGTGGTCGAGGAGGAGAGGAGCAGAAACCCCTACCTCAATATATCGGTGACGTATGGATCCTCTAGGATGGACCAATTTTCCCAAAGATCCCTATTCTCCCACCTACGGTGTAGGATAAACTGGGACGACTGGAGGTGGGAGTGTCCAGTGATGCGTGTCCCTCACTTCACTTGCCCCTTCGCTGGCCGTCGCCCTGCATGAGCACGGCGCTGACGTTGATATCCACCCTGTCTGATCTAGGCTTGGCACCACGTCCCTGCCACCTGCAGAGGCGCTTTGAGTTTCTGGCACTTCCCGAACAGGCGATGGCACCGGCTGGTAGGTGTTGGATGACGTGGAGGCGGGGCGTTGTCCTTTTGAAAGCGCTTTCAAAGCAGTCTCCCCTTTGCAAAATCACACACCTGCCGATAAACATCATGAATGGCATCGTTAAACAGTGACGAACCCGGTGACCAGGGTTGGTGGAATAATTTCCGCTGAAATTCGAATCCCATGAAGAAAAGGAGAGGAAGCCTTGCCGACGAATTACGCTACGCACGTTGGCAAGCGCCGACCTAAGGTGTTCACGCGAGGTCAGTGATCACTTTACTCCTGCCATAGCATCATAGTTGTAAAAGATGATCCAGTCGATCCGGTTTATTTCCTTTTAAGATCCTGAGTGATGGCATCGTCGCTGACGTAATGCCGATATAGAGGAGGAGCATTGCTTAAGCTCTAAGTCCAAAGCGACCCTTGTATCCTGAACTTTATAGAGGACATACAGAGGAAAGAACCTGTCACACGTTTCTATTTCTCATCCACCTTTAGTCACTGTCTGGCAAAGTCCAAGCCATGAATAGGATAGTCATCACGACGTGACTCTCTAGAAGCTTTAATAGTTGGGTTAGAGACATTCCCATTAAATCTTCATCAAGGGTAGAGATCTCTCTGACCGCCTTCATTAATGCTGGTAACATTAAGGAAGGTGAGTCCCAAATAGTAAGTGACTTTGCAACATCAGGGCCTGGTGAAGGGACTGAGGCTATTAAGCGATCAGCAATCCAGTCAAACACGTGATCAAAGCCAAGGTGATTAGGAGCCCGCGTCTTCCTCATAGTCTGGGGCAGTCCCTCCTCTGAGAGGACGGTGAACAGAAACGGCAAAGGGGAACGGCTTACTGGCAGACGCTTTAGCAGAAGACGTTTACTACGAGGTCTCGAGGTCGACCTATGTTCGTTCTGCGAGACGATGGGACGAACGGAGACGTTAAGCGTAGGGCACAGGAGCAGACAAAGTTGACAAGATAGGCACCGATGCTGAGAGGGCAGAGGCCGAAATGTCGTCGGAGGTGGCAAAGGTGGCAAGGCGCTGGAGGCTTAGAGGAGAGGCGCCCGATGTAGCTGGTGGCATAAACGGCATAGGCGCTGATGTACCGGCTTGACCTGGATAGTAAAGTCAAGAGAGTGCTGAGCGTGGATACATCAAACTGCTGGTGGCCATTATGGCGTTTGCATCATAGACGCTCTGAGGTGATTGGAAACCCGTATGTGGTTGATACGCGATAAGGCGCCTGCCCCGGAACACTGGCTGGGGTGTCTGATAATGGCGCAAACTGCTGGCCCCATCGGTCGTTGTGGAGATGACATCGGCAACAGCGGAGGAGGTGGTGAGGGAGTGCCAAAGCGCCGGTTGCCGCCGCCGCGATCCAAGCGCCAGACGCTGCAGCTGTTTGAAGCGCCAAACGCTGTAACACCTTCGCGACATAAGCGGCGTAAGACATAATCTGAATGCTGGTGACAGGCGATTCGTTGACACAGTTGACGCCGCGCAACACTTGACGTGACGTAGTGGTCGCCAAGACCGGTGTCAAGTAGTAGACATACTCTTCCGTCTCTGTTGTCCCAGGCGCTTCTTAACAACCTGTAGATAAACGGAGAAACTCTTGGGTGATAGCACAGCGCAGCTGGCACATTATGGCCAGAGGTACATTGAGTAGTACATTTCAAACATCGGGATGAGGGTCTTTACGAGACTTCCCACCCGACAATGTATACAACTGGCTGTACATAGATCTGCAATGAAGCAGAAAACCCAGTAAACGCACATACCAAGTAATGAATATAACAGCAAAGTTGAGAACAAAAGTCTCAAAATAACTGAAAGTTTAAGAGACCATATAGTGCAGGATTAGTTAAAATCAATCTACATAACCGTAAGATTCCATTTATCCTCTAAAATCATTCTCCCAGCACTTTTTTTCAGTTGAAAACGGGAACAAATAGTCTTTATACATTATCCCAAGGTACAAAGTAGTCAACAAGCAGGGAATGGCTGGGTCTGGTCCAACTGTACTTCTCATTACTTCATGTTCCTTCTAAGCCAGTATAATGAGACATAAAGGTACATTCTGTGGGTAGAGATGACACTCTAGTGTATACACTGACCTCTCAGAGTGGCTGATGGCAGCTTCATACAGAGCAAGAAACTGCTTGAAGGAGATCTGGTAGAGAGGATTCACCTCCCTCATGTACTGGGCAGTGTCGAAACACACAGCAGCTCGCTGTGCAATAGAACGATAACCTTCTCGGGCCTTCAGGATGGAGTCCTCACCCAGCTGCACACGGGCTTGGCTATAATGATGAAAATAATAATAAATAATAACAATTCAATGTTGTGATTTTGGCAGGACAACAGATACTGTGCTAACATATTTGGATGTCTGGGTTTACAACAGTTTTGAGATATAAACATGTTTCATAACACTAGGTACACTGCATGCAAGAGTTGCCCCCCATGAAGATCTAGGTGTGAGTGAGTGAGTGAGTTTAGTTTTATGCTGCTATTAGCAATATTCCAGCAACGTCATGGCTGGGGACAGCAGAAATAGGCTTCACACATTGTGCCCAAATGGGTCAAAACCGGGTCTTCGTCATGACGAGCAAACGCCTTAACCACTGGGCTACCCGACCGCCTGAAGATCTAGGTAGAATAATCAGCAACCATGCTTGTCTAAATAGGTGACTAATATCACATGATCAAGCTCTCTAATTTGGTGGATGTATGTCATGATATCCTAATTGCGTAAATCATGGCTAATGATGACAATGATTGTCTGCTCCAGACTTGATTATTTACAGATCGCTGACCTCTCTGGAATATTGCTGAGTGTGGCATTCAACAGGAAATAAGAACCAAAACAAGAGTTGCCATGCTATAAGTATCACAATACACAAATGCAGGCCATATCTTCTAGTACTGAATCTTAATGACATATGTGAAAACAATGACATGAGAAGATATAGTCAAGGGCTAACCCCAATTACACAATTAGAAATGGAATATATTTAAGAAACAGAAAATGTTCAGACTCCACTACCTCTCCAGTGTTTCATCATACAGCTTCTTAAGGTCGGCCAGTCTCTTGGTGGCCTGGAGGTCATTCATCAGCCGAATGTCGGAAGACAGCTGGTTACGCATCTGCTGCTCCAGGCGGTGCAACTGTTCCATGTTCTCCAGCTTTTCCTGGGATGGGAGAGAATAGTGTCATGATAGAAACATTGGTGCTGTACTTCACATGCTGTTAGTCTTGTACATGCCCATAGAACTCCACACAAAGTAGACAGAGCTTCCAGTCAACTGACTGGCTGACTGACTGAGTTTGGTTTTACGCCGCTTTTAGCAATATTCCAGCAACATCACGGCGGGGGACACCAGAAATGGGCTTCACACAGTGTACCCATGTGGGGATTCGAACCCGGGTCTTCGCCGTGACGAGCCAACGCTTTAACCATTAGGCTACCCCACCGCCCCCTACCAGTCAACACTTCTCTCTGGTTATTGTAATCTCTGTGGTGATTTCAGACTGGTATTAGCTCATAGCAACTTAGCTTGGCTGTAACTTGTAAGAGGCATCCATGAGGAATGATCAGACTTGCTGACATGTTCCACTATGTGTTATCAACCTCTATCAGTGTAGGAAAATGATCACAATATCAAACACTGGTTTTCTTCAGAATGCTTACATTTGCTAACATAAGTTGAAGTGAGTGAGTGAGTTTTATGCCGTTTTAGCAATATTCCAGCAATATCATGACGGGGGGACACCAGAAATGGGCTTCACACATTGTACCCATATGGGGAATCAAACAAGTCATTGGCATGACGAGCAAACGCCTTAACCACTGGGCTATCCCACCATCCCCTTACAGCTGGAATACTTCTGACTGGGGCATTAAACAACCAGGGAAAAATCAAGAAGATGAGCAATTACAAAGCACATAGCAACACTGATCATCAAGTGGACCTACAAACTTCCACTTCATACAGTCTGACAACTCTTTAACAATAACAAATAGTGAGGATCTGTAAAGCACAGTGGAACTGAAGACCTTCAAAAGATTTCTACTGTAGACTGACCTGTCTGAGAGCAGTCCTCTCGTTCTCCAGCCGTGACTTCTGTGGGCCATGAAGACATCGAGCAGCTCCTCCTCCACACACTGGCGACACTGCTGGAAGTACATGACGCTGGAGTAGGCAGCCAGCTGCTGGGGCACCTGATGGGGCTCCACCGTCGTGTGAAGGAACAGACGGAAGTGGGGGTCACACTCCACCTCATGATCCTCCACGATCACCTTGAACCTGGACTTGCCATTGATGAAGTTGGAGCTGGACTGGATGGTGTCGCGGAATCGCTGGTCCCGAGCCAGCTCGACCATGTTGCAGTCAGTGACCAGCAGTGGCGTGCCGTCAGCCAGGCAGTTCTCAAGCTGAGATCTCATCTCCTGGACACAAGTTTCAGACATAGTGATATCAGTAGTGTCAATACCACACAAAACAGTTATAGGAGAAAAAATATCTACCTGATCATATACTGTACATTAACATAAATAATAACCAGCAGCTCTCACTGGCTACGCACAGCCAGACTGGATGCATATATATGGGCCGACCTCATTCCCTAAACAGTCATATTACATTTTCTTTTCAGAGGTGAGGTGAGGTGAAATTGGGTTTTACGTCGTACTTGAGAATATTTCGCTCATATGACGACGTGCATGCATGTGTATGTGTATGTGCGGCTGCTTGTACTAGCCCAGACTTAGGCTGGTTTTATAGTGCTAGCCCACTGAGATACCATGCCGCAGTGAAGCATGAATACCCCACTCAGACACATTATACTGACTCCGAGCCGACCAGTCCTTGTTGTACCCATTAATGCCGAGCGCCAGGCAGGGATTCTTTTCAGAACTTAACTTAGTAACTATGGTATACCAAAAGTTCATTTGCAACATCTTCTGGATTCAGTTACATAATAGGTCCTCCGTGCCCAATATTTTCTGTTAAATTGAGGACTCAACTGCAGCTATCAAATGTAGTTTGGCTTGCAGGAATTAATTATTTACATGTAGCTATAACCTAGTTTTAATATTGTTGCACAAAACAACATTCACTTTATCTGCAGTAGACAAGAATACGCAACATTTCACGCAGCACAATTTAATACAAATACTATTCTTCTAACATTCAACTAACTAAATATAACCTGGAACATGCATATGTCAAGTTACATGTTCATAGAAAAAAAAAGATGTAAGGTATGAGTTGATGTGACGTACATGGTATTTGACCTCCACCAGCTCCTTGCCGGTGAAGTACAGATTCAGCCAGTCCAGGACACGGGACGTGGGGTCACAGATGAGGGGCCAGGCCGTGGTGCTCTTCTCCTGCATCAGGAAACATGCGTTCTCCAACACAAGACGTGTTGTCGGCAGTCCGATCATCTCCAGGTGCATCACATCAAGCTGTAGGCAAATACTCAACATTATCACATGCACTAGAAATCTATTAAAATCAACTTTAACATTTTGAATGTAAATGACTTCAAACAGGTAGGTCTTCTCAAATTACTTAGCTTGGGTGAGTGAGTATGGTTTTAGGGGGCTTTTAGCAATAACATGATTGGAAGTACCAAGAAAGCGCAGGAGATGGACTGATTTAGGTTTAGCAAAGTTATTTGGCATTGTCCAAGATACCACAGAGGGTACACAAGGAATGGCCTTCACACATTGTAACTGGGTGGGGTATTGAAACTAGGTATTTAGTAACGAGTGAACACTTTAACCACCGGTCTGCCACAAAGTTTACCTTACAACTTTGGTGTCATTAAAAAGCCTAATCCCTTAGGTTACCCTTCTTCACCAACAGCTTAAACAATACCACTTTACATTCAACCAATAAGGACCAATACCAAATCGCCATTTTCTCATCGTGAAATTAACTGAAATGTTGCTAGTTTCACCACCAATTAAATTAAATTATGTTTTGAACATCTGAATCTTGATAAAGACTTGAAAACATTAGAAATTGTGAACCTCATGATGTTGAATTCTGGCAGCAACTTGTGTATCAGGGCTCGAGTTAAGAGATGTTTTCCTTCTTGCACTGGGTGCAACCTAAGATAAAGACCTAGTTGCACCAACCAAATTCCAGTTGCAACGTAGTGTGTTAAAACGTCAGAGGATTTGGTGCACATAAACATATTTCCGTCATGTAGTACCCATGAAACCATAGCAACACAGAGACGCAGCTGATCCCTGTTTACAAGAGCTGAGATGTGTCTATAAATAGCAATGTTTCGTTGCCACAGCTATTCAAAGTTTAGGAGAAAAATGAGCTGACATATTTATGCTTATAATGTTAGATTTATTGTTGATTTATTTCTCCAAAATTTACTTGCACCTTGTGCAAGTTAGACTCATAACTAGGTTGCACTTTGTAATATTGCGTTGCACCAGTGCAAGTAACAAAGTACTAAATCGAGCCCTGTGTATTGTGGCCAGTTTAGATGTACTCACTGGAGTGTAGAGGAACTCGATGAGCTCCATGTTCCTGAAGAGCAGCTTGCGATGCAGAGGCAGACCATGATGCTCACAGACCTGCATGAAGAACTCTCCCATCCGCTTCCTGCAGGTACACACAACATTAATCACATCCCACTGTGTGAGCAACATAGTTTATGGAGATATCTGTATATACTGCTCATACATATGGGTGAGGTGAGGTGAGGTGAAATTGGGTTTAACGTCGTGCTTGAGAATATTTCACTCATATGACGACGTGCATGCGTGTGTATGTGTAGGTGCGGCTGCTTGTACTAGCCCAGACTTAAGCTGGTTTTATAGTGCTAGCCTACTGGGATACCCCACTCAGACACATTATACTGACTCCGAGCCGACCAGTCCTTGTTGTACCCATTAATGCCGAGCGCCAGGCAGGGACCAACAAGTACCATATTTTAACGTCTTTTGGTATGACGCGGTCGGGGATCGAACCCGCGACCTTCCGCTCTCCGGGCGGACGCTCTAACCACTATCATACATATGGGAGATGATTTCAGTATAAACTGTGTAAGAAAGATGAACACTTGAAATCACATATAATGGAATCAAATACTGTGATAACCTAAAGTTGTAAAGTACCATTGCATGAATGAGCTTCTGCTGTTCCCATGTTTCAGATTTTAGGAGTGCTTCCAGTTAATGTCGTACTGACTCTCATGATCACGAAACTACTATTGCCCTGCATGTCTGTTTGACAACCCACCTGGTGTCGATGTTGACAGCTCCACCATATGTGAGAAAGGCGGAGGCAGTGATACAGTTGGCCAGCAACAGCTCGTTACAGTCATTCTCATTGACATGTTGTCTCCACATTGCCTCCTGGGTCCTCATGCTGAAACATGGCACATATCAAGTAGTAACCTAATTTCGTGGATAACCTTGATTCGTGGATCGTGGTAATTATCATGCTATCTTGTAAATAAAGTCTCATATGACGTCACGAAGCAGTACATTTGATGTACACAGAGTACCACGTCTTGCTGACAAAAATGTTCCGAATCTCTACATTATTATATTATAGGATATTTATATAGCACATTTATTATAGGATATTTATATAGCACAAATATCCACGCACTAGTGCATGCTCAAGGCGCTGGTATTTACAGTGAACTCTCGTTAATCCAACACTTGTGGTTGCAGAGAAATATGTCGGATTAACAAAAATGTCGGATTAATGTATTTGTGTGAAAATGTAAGCACACTCAAATCTAATTGTCCAGATAATAGCCCAAGATCACTAATGCCACTAATACCAAATTTTAGTTTTACAAAACGTCAAATAAAAATGATACCGTTTGCAACAACCTTCTCACATCTCGTTGTCTGCTTTCCTATCTGTCATACATAGGTAGTAATATAATGTCTGCTTTTATCCTAGATGTCGTCACATTTGTGTGCACACAAATGGGTGATGATTAATAAATGGTTTGGTAAACAAACATTTCATTCACGAGTGGAACATTAGGCTCAGTAAATAACTAATCAGACAAGATACCAACAAATATAATGACCTCAATCTACTGATGAAGACAGGAATCTCCCAAAGTCTTATTGGTCTGTTCTCCTGTCATTACATGCACTATCCTACCTCTCCAGACACCATCCAACAAATATCATCCACAGCTGCCTTCAGCCTCTCATTCATAGACTGCAGCTCCATCTCCAGGCTGCCTGTTTCTGGACTGCAGCTCCATCTCCAGGGAATGTTTCTGCACTACCGCCTGATCAAACTGACTCTGAAGCTTGTTGACCACCTCCTGGACCCTGGGCAAGTCCGCTTCAGTGAGGTCCTCATCTGGCTCGGAGGATGTTTCTTGAGCATCCTTGTCCGGCTAAACAACCAAACAACAGATTAGGAAATACACAATCTGACCAATGCATAGTCTAACATCCATGGCTTCCAGGTTACGATGAGGCCATCAGATTTCAGTCTCACTGACATTTAACTTTCTGACTGACTGACTGACTGACCGAGTATGGTTTTACGCCGTTTTTAGCAATATTCCAGCAATATCACGGCGGGGGACACCAGAAATGGGCTTCACACATTGTACCCATGTGGGGAATCGAACCCGGGCCTTCGGCGTGACGAGCGAACGCTTTAACCACTAGGCTACCCCACCGCCCCTTTAACTTTCTGCAAAGTTTTGACAGTCACTTGATAATATCTATGTCAATACATGTTATCCCATAGCCATTGATCAGCATCATTGTACAGTCAGTACACAGTGTAAGCCATGCTGTACAATCTTACTGGCAGCTTTATTACTCACATTACTTATTTAACAAAATACACAGGCAAGAACATCTCATGAGCTCACCATTTTATAAAGGATATTATCTTTTGGTATTAAGCTTTACATGGAACTTTTGAAAGCCTCCAAATATTAAAGTCTAAAATACATAATCTGTTCTACCAACACATGCTAGAGGTGGATCCTGGAGTTACTAAAAAAAGGGGTTGCTATCATCATCAGAGGTGGACAAACATACTGACTGACATGTAAGGTGTGGAAACGAGGGGCACATGGTTCCTCTGCATGACCCATCTCTACATCCCCCAGTGAAAAGCTAGAAGAGCTATCCTATGACCAACACTGACAATGGTATCACACAACACTGAAGTCTACCTACATCCATACACTAAACTAGCAGCTCCATGAGATACAATCTCCTACAAGACTCCACACTAACACAGACGAACATCGGTGATGAGAGTAGAGAGGATGAAGAATGAACACAGCCTGCCTGAATCAGACCACCCAATACACAATGACAGATTGGATTACCATCACAGAAATAAGAAATCTTAGTGCTTAGACTGGATGTTTTCCAACCTTCACACCAACAAGTCTTATTAGCACTAAGACCACTTTGTGCAAGGTTAACCTCATGCTGTATGTGAGCTTGTTTGAAAAATAAGAGACCAGTGAAGCCAGTTTTTCTGTATTTTATGTTCCGTGAGGCCAAGAGTCTCCAAGAATTGGTCTGTCCTCCCAGGACACTGACCAAGGAAGAAGAAAGACAACACAATACTACCTAACACATCAACACCAACCTGCATCTTGTTTAAGGCCTGTTACAACATGTAACATATTCACTAATATCGTGTGATCACACATCATGAAGTATAAATCTTTTCACTGTGCTTACAAATTATTAAATTTACAGAGTTTAAAGTTATGTTGCAAGATTCATGACAATAATTGTATATGTTGAAAGAGTGAATGGACTTTCTGATATAAGAAGATAAAGATTATGTTTAATTGCTTTATACATCGATATACCATCAGCATCACGAAGAGACCAACCTTTTTCAAATGAACCCATTTCTACCAGCAGCAAGAAGACAAAGTACAACCAAATTACATCTTATCTCGGAACCTCTTCTTCATCACTGATTACAATCATAGCAAAGCTGGGAGAGTTCCTTTACCAAGAACTTCTAGAAGGATACTGTAACAAGCATACACACTGTCTTTAAGTAAATAACGATGAAGTATTGTCCGAGAACATCAACAATTAGATCACCACCACGCTAATCTTGACTTGTAAAACTCATGTCTACTGTCAACAAGTACTGCTTAAGTCTACTGTCAACAAGTACTACTTAAGTCCACTGTCAACAAGTTACTTAATCTACTCAACAAGTACTACTTAAGCCTACTTTCAACAAGTACTACTTAAGTCTACTGTCAACAAGTACTACTTAAGTCTACTGCTAACAAGTACTACTTAAGTCTACTGTCAACACGTACTACTTAAGTCTACTGTCAACAAGTACTACTTAAGTCTACTGTCAACAAGTACTACTTAAGTCTACTCTCAACACAGTGATGATCTAATTGATGTAACTGATGGATTTCAAATAAAATCTATTGCCAGATTTGCTTTAATAATTTACAGTGGCAGGAACAATCAACTTGATGGTGATTTTGTCAAGAAGATTACTGTTGATTTATTGAGATGAAAAACAAATACTGATTTTTAGAGCCACAAATCAGATCTGGGTGCAAAAGTATGCTTGCTTATAAAGTTATGTCAACAAATATTAAATAATCCAAACATGCATCTTATCCTTCCATTCCATGAGATAAGGACTTCCTTAATCCAGCAGTTCTGCATCTACTGTCAACATGCATAGTTAGCTAGTTAACACTGACCCCTCTGTTGAGGCTTGTTGGTAGTTAGTACATGCATGTAATCATATCAGGTTAAGCATATTAGAATATTACATGCAGTGTATCGTGACACACGTCACTTGTCAACATTCAGATCAACAAAAAGTGAGTGAGCTGGCCTAACCACTGTTTAAATATTTCAAGTTACAAGGCGTCAGCATCTGAAAATGCAGATTGCAGGCATCTACAACTCAGATGAAACCATCAGGTACGGTACTGACAGACCAAAGACCCAAATTGGGACAAATCTTGGATTCAAACCCATAATTATGCAGCATATCTTACCATAGCTAAGGGAGGCAACTCTGTACTGAAAACTGCAGAATCTTAGATAACAGGACTCCAGGGCCTGCAATATCTGCAGGTGTACAGCTAACAGTGATTCAGTGAACACAATTGTGTCGACACAATGTTATGTAAGACACGTTCTCAACAAATGATTAAGTGCTGTTAGATAAACATTAAAGAATCTCGATGAAATCAATTTGGGTTAAACTAGTCTATATGAAATATACCTGGCTGGCAAGCTGAAATAAACAAATGTAAGTGTTAAGTTGGGTGTTTTAGATGTTAAAACCCATCATTGCTGTTCCCTCAGTTAGTTGTCAAGGTGTTATACAGTGATGATCACAATCATTGATCTCCAACCCTCTTGAAAACACATGCAATAGCTCTAATGCTCATTAAATTCAGACAACCCAAACTTAACTACAGCTGTGCCACTGTAACATCTTCAATAAAGCTTATTAATCCTTTCTTTAGTGAAAAATGTGAAGTTTTAGAAATGGTCATTAACCAAATCTGACCCAGAATAGTCAAAGTAATGATACTGAAATATTTGTTAACAAGTACTTATGATATTTTACAAATGGGAAAAAAGACTATATTTCAAGAATGTTATGGTAGACTATAGCTATGTTTGATAAGCATGAACATATTCATGATCATGAATAGATTCACCTTTAATGAAAGGCATCAAATATGAAATGAGAGAAAGAAAACAGATTTGTTGCTAAAAAAATCACTATTTACAAAGCTGGAGAACAAGGCGAATGATAACTATTGTTTAAAAAAGTTGAAAAAGAATGAGTTCACAGAGACAACTACAAAAATAATGGACAGTCTTCTACAGAGAGTTTGATAAAGATGACAAAAGCACTGAGAAGACGTTATGTTGCTGCAAATGATTTAAAATTAAAATTAAAAAATATATGCAAATTAATAAACTGGTTACATGAGCTTTGTACACATTGAAAGTTACCTCTCGTCTAATCCTTGCCTGGTTTCAGGAAAACATAACAATGTGTGAGTGAAATGATATTCCTTGAAAAAAAGATTCTGTATAAAGTCTTTCTTGTAATGAGAACAAACATATATATTCTTCGTTAATTAATTAGTGCATACATTTAGTCATGAGATGAGCAGTTGGTGATGTTATGGAACAAATTTCTCTTTGTAGACTTCAATGACTACGACTTTGATATCGTTTGTTCCATAACAATTGCATCTGGTGCTTTCTACAAGTACCTAACACTCACAGCAAATCTATCGTTCAAATTTCACAAGGTTTAATCCAGGTTCATTAAAATCAGCTAATAACAAGAGCGTACTCTTTCAATACTGGCTGCCTTTCAACAGTAAACTCTTTTGAATATAGGCAGTCTTTCATGCACTTTTTGTGGACCTCAGTAAGGCAGGTGAGCCTTGGGTTTGTTACAGTGACTGAAATGTGTAAAATGCTGCTTTGATCTGTGCTTCAAAGAGTGTCAGTTTAATATGGGACTGATCCCAAAGCGACTCTATGGGACTGATCCCAAAGCGACTCTATGGGACTGATCCCAAAGCGACTCTATGGACTGATCCCAAAGCAACTCTATGGGACTGATCCCAAAGCGACTCTATGGGACTGATCCCAAAGCAACTCTATGGACTGATCCCAAAGCAACTCTATGGGACTGATCCCAAAGCGACTCTATGGGACTGATCCCAAAGCGACTCAGGTTATAATAATTTTCATTTAGATCAAATCATCATCAGCCTGATGTCAGCATACCAAAAATCAGTTATATAATTCCCTTTAGTTGTATATACAATGGGCCTTGATTAAACCTTGTTTCTCCCATGCCTCCCACTAAGACACTTACTTCTTCCTCCTGCTGCCGCTGCAGTCTTTCATTCTCTTCAATCTCTCGTTCCAGCTCACTCAGCTTCTCCATTGCAGCCCGGAGTGGTCCACAGAGGCGTGTGTACTCGACGATGGCAATGGTGTACTGGACCAGGGTGGCGCAGTCTTCACTGGAGTACTTGGCACCGGAAATGGTAATACCCTTAGTGCCATCAGGGGAGGGGGTCCTTTTCACAGCCATGAAGGTCTTCTCTGTGGAGAGTGGAAAACAGTTTGGAAGTGTTCAAAACGTCAAGTAACATGTACATTAATGTGGGAGGACTGACTGACTGACTGAATTTGGTTTTACGCCGCTTTTAGCAATATTCCAGCAACATCATGGCGGGGGACACCAGAAATGGGCTTCACAAATTGTACCCATGTGGGGATTCGAACCCGGGTCTTCGGCGTAACGAGCCAACGCTTTAATCCACTGGGCTACCCAACCGCCCCTAATGTGGGAGGAACACCCAATAAGTAGGTTATAGATATTTATATCTTCAGTTGAAACCCAGGAGCTCAGATATGTTGCTTATATACCAGCATAGGCGGATCATAGGTGCACACCAACCCTTTTGTCCTGAAAGTTTATTGAATGACCATTGAAACTCGTGAAAATGGGTGAAAATGGAGTGTGCACCCCACCCCACCCCCACCTCAAGAGTTTAATTTGTAAAGATTAGCATGAAGACCAATAAAAGAGTTACCGGTACCTGCAGCATTGTCAAGCAGAGTTCCTTCCCCTGTGACCCCAAGTTGACCTTCCTTGCTGACAGCCAGATAACTCTCAACAGCTGAACAAGGACACAAAACAAGACAAGTTAGTTGTATATGCACTGTTTCAGGATGTATGTTTTTCTGCCCATTGCTCTTTAATGAAAAATACTCAATTGTCTTAAAAACTATCAAGAGTTATATAAATACAATTATTAAATATTTTCCATCCGTAAATGTGACTTTTTAAAAAATAGTTGCACTGCTCCACTGCTCTAGAATGATGTTTATTGAAATATTTCAGTTGTTATAGTTATTCATAAACAAAGAGAGTTCAAAGAGAGCATAGCATTGGCAATGACAGTTTCAATAAAATCATTAAAATTCTAGAATCCACATGCACAAACAATACCAGCTCCTCTAACACCTATAGGAGGACTTATTACAGTCCAGCCTACAATGACAGTATTACCCGTCAGCACATCTTCCGGCAGCCCATCTTCCCAGGACACGTTGTGCAGCATGTCCACAAACTTGGGGGAGTCATTCATGGTCAGCTGCATCTGCTTCCACTGTGTCTTGTCAAACCTTTCCCCATCCTTAATCTTGGCTGCTGAAACACATCACAAGTAACATATGGAATAGATGCAAAATTGACTCCACGAGAGAATGAGTGGCATATGACACCATTTTGAACAGTACTTTAGCAGCCTGCGACATCAGCTTCAGGTAATAATAACACTAAATACTATTGAAAATTATATTAAGAAACAAGTTTCGACTGGAGGTCTTGAAGGAGACTGCTTTAGTTATATCTGTCCCTGTCAGCTCAAAGTGATGCAAGTCTATGTTTCTATACAGTGTCGGTGCATCCAACATGAAAGGTTATGATGCTTATAAACCTCAAGTCTTCAAACATATCATCAGAGTTTGTCAACCCAACCTGTGCACTCCATTAACTCAGGGAATCTGCCACTAATGCTCCTCATCATAAGATGATAAATAGAAAATTAAACTGTAAATAATTTCTCAGCTATGATTATAGTAAATAGATTCCACAACAAACTGTGTGAATGGTTTTTCACAGATTGTTCAGTCTAGAAATCAACACAAACATACTGGCCTGGGTTATGGGTCATATTTTAGAATTACAAGATGTTAAATCCTATCATAAGCCTAATGTTGAAAGTTTTAATTAAGGAGATCCTAGAATAAAAAATTATAGAAGGAAACATCCTGGATCCTTAGATCAACACCTAATTTACAACACTGCAAAAGAATATACAAGCTCTTGATGAAAGTAAAACTGCACACTCTTAAACAATTCAACAAAGAGGACATTACTTATCAATTATATATATCAAACAATACTTAAAGGCAGGTTAACACTTAGCATCACACAACAAGACAGTCACATAGACTGCTGAGGACACTGACTTCAGGTAACAGGCAGGATTTAGGGGAGAGGTTCGTTTTGGACTGTTTTGAGTGATGCGAGTTGTAGATGTTTCCACTTAAATCTTTGCTGGCAGACAATAGGGGGGAATCTGGGCTTCAAATCAGGAAGCCTAAAAGAGTGTAGGTATGCAAAGCTGCACAAAAAATTCAGAATTAGCTCAGATGACGTAGTCAAACAATTTGCAATACTGAAAACTGGTCTGGTATCAAGTCTCATCACACAATTTCACAAACACTGACAACTAGACTGAGTCAGACATAGAAAGACAGACAGTCAGACAGACAGACAGACAGACAGAGACAGACACACAAATGAACAGACACATCAGAAAACAGTCAGATAGACACATAGCATACACTTACTCACCAAGGCAGGTAGTAGTGTTCAATTCACACAAACATGCAGATATTTCACAATATCTTCAGAACACCGACGGACATGTTATAAATAACACAATAAACCAATGCTATATATAGAAGACACAAAGTCATAAGTATATACACATATTAATGTTCACTGCATATCAGTAAACTCAAACCTGATGATGGCTTCTTAGGAATAGGAACTTCAGCAGCTAAATATTTAGGAAAGAACATAATGCTATCTTCAACTTCAAAAATATCCACAACAATATAGTGGAGCAGCTTACCTATATACATTCAAAGCTGGTCTTTTCAGCTTGTTTTTGAGAAATAGAAATTAACTGAAACCTTTGATCACACTTAAAGGTATCGCATTGGAGTAAATGATTTCAAAACATGTGCATCATTTCAAGAAAGGTGTTGAAAAAAATAATAAATCACAGCCATAGTGCCATCCCTACTACAAGCATAACAGAAGTTTATTTTACAATGTAAGTTCGTCTTATGAAACTTTTATCTCATTTTCATGTTTGAACAGGCATTCATTGAAGGTATGGCTATATTTTCTTCTGTATGTCAAGGGACCCTGTGTTTATCCCAAGGACATAATAAGCTTTACATACACTTCTTGATGATGAACTTTGTGCTGGAGGAACTGGTGGACATCCTGCTGGACATGTCCTCCTTCAGGGGAGACAGGTCCTGTATCCTCTGTGATGGCAGTCGCTTCCCGATCAGCATCATCACCATCTCCATCACCTGACCCACCAGCGTTGGTGGGTTGGCAAACGCCCTGAGACGCTCGATACACTGCCGGTCTACCTTCGTCCTCCAGTACACCACCTGCACACAGGATAGGTTTATACTTATCTCGTCTTTCACACACGAACTGAAGAGTAAAATAGCAAGAAGGTTGTCTAACAGTTACATCCGGGTGAACAAATAAATAAAAACACATTTCAGCCACATGAATTGACATAGGACACATATTCTCCCTCGGCTTTACTACTAGTAGAGGGATGTAACCTATATATTAATTTCTCTTAGCCTCATACAACATCAAGCAAAACAAATTGTAGTGGATATTTGCAAAACATTCAGTTACAAATTACAAGTTTGCAATATGAGAGACCTTCAACCAAAAATACTTCTGTCACCTTATTCCTCCTACAGATGCAACAAGACACCAAGTACAAAAGTATAAATACCAGTCATTGACGGGAGATACGTCTCATAAACATTAAACACCTTTACTCTGTTTAAAGAACCTGTCTATCTGTATAATTATATATATACATAGTGATCACCTGTTGTCGGGAGTCCTCCAGACTGCGTCGACACTCCTCCAGCGTCTTCTGGGCCTGGCCATACTCCTCCTTAGCCTGCACCTGCCTCGTCTTCAGTGTTGCCTCTCGCATCTTATCAAACTCCACGTCATAGTCATCCCACTCTTCTGTTAAACAGAATACATACACCTCAAAAATAGATGTCACATCTCTTGAAAGAGAATCCCCAAGTCCCATTGTCCAATATCCTCAAATGTCATAAAACAAAGAGTATGACACATTTCGATCAAAAGTGACCTTGACATTTTGATGTAAATTCAGTTGACATGTGACAAAGTAAGATTTGTACAGATGAACCTAGTTATGTTTGCTGTAAGTAGAAGTGAGCATGACTCAGAAGCTGATAAGGATACAACCTGAATGCTGACCTTGACCTTCGACAAAAATAAAACAAACCAGTCTGGCATGGAGAAAGAAAACACATCATCACCTTGCTTGAGAAGTTCATCTTCTTCCTCTTCATCTTCCTCAAATTCATTGAGATGGAGGTAAGCATCTAGAGACTTGCTGAGACCAACCTTGGCCTTGAGCTTCTCCAGGGTCGTGGCCTTGTATGTGAGTTGGTTCAGAAGGTCAGCAGTCATCTTTTTTGGCTTCCTCAAACTGACTGGTCTTAGTCTTGATGGCCTTCTTCATCTTCTTGGCATCAGATCGAGTCTGGTCCAGTGTGGACAACAGCTTCCTGTGAAGATGAAAGATGCCAAACCATTTTCTATTGCTGACAGTAAAAATGGATGAGAATGGTCCCTTGCCAAGCAAATGATCGTTTTGAACCCATAACAAAGCAAATATCCTTGGCAAATACATCGACAGTGACCACAGTTCAGGTTTCAGTTTGTCTGTTTGGTGATTGTTTTATGTCAGACACTGAAATATTCCATCCATAAATTCATTTTCTGAACAGACAATCCATTGACTGACGAGCATTCCTCTGAGTAATTTTGATGCTATGACAGCTGCCTGACCATCCAATTCTATTTGTTGCCTCACAGAGCAAGCATGGGTATCTGAAGACTATTCCCAACCTGACGTACAAACTCGGGAAACTTTCAAGGACAGATGAGCTAACGTTGTTTAATTATAAATGAACACTACAGCCAATACTACAATTTGTCCCCAGTGGTTTGTCATGGTAATCTACCTTCCACTGACAAGTACACACCATAGTAACCTACCACAGAGATGTACCATCATCCCCAGAGACTTACTTGAGTTTCTCTACCACCTCTGTCCTGTCAGCAGCCTTGTGGGTGTAGAGGTAGTGGAAACAGTCCATGAAGCGCCTGTACGTGGTCGGGCCTACATACACCTCGTTCTTAGCCGGGACACTGGTGTCACGGTGCTGCAGTCTGTTGGCAAACAATATTTTGATGCATTTTTTGTAGGGAGGTTGAAGATAAGGTTACTTGGCAAATTGTTTTATTCACTTCACATCTGACAAGCATGGGTTATTGACGATAATTTTCTCATTCATTCTCTCGGTACAGGTAACGTTTTCGGAGTGAGCATGGACAGGCAGGAAGCTAAGGTTACATGGAAAATTAGGAATCGAAGCATTAAAACTGTAACTGACGAGTAGAAAATGATTCGGTATAAGGAAACGAAATAGGATTGAAAAAAGGAATAATGTCATTCAGAACAGAGGTATTTTATGAATCCAAGGGGAAACTAGTCAGTGAGTCTGACCACTTGTTGTTACAAGAAGCATGGACTGATGTACACCCATTCTATTTTGGATCTTCACGGCAAAGTTTCTACAACATTCAACTCAAGAAATACATCAGAAACACATACATAAGCTATCATGATGAGGATAAATAAGCTTTCTAATTGTCCAAAACAGCTAAAGGGTCTCAAATGGAGTGTTACAGGACCATTTAGGTCCCAATCCAAACCTCACAAGGAGCACAGAAGTATGTTAGAAGTGTGACTGAAGTGTCCTTCAGGAACTGAACCACTCACTTGATTCTCTCGTGTAAGATGGTCTTGGAGTACGGCAGGTTGGGCACCTTGAGTGTCATGACCTTCAGCTGGTCCTTCTTCTTCTCCGTGACCTTCACAGTGTTGAGGCTGATCTCGGGACTCAGCTCCCCAGCCCATGGCATCTGCTTACAGTCTCGCAGCACAAAGCTGTGGATGTTGGCCAGGCAGGTTGTCACGTTGTCGCTGCAGAGGAGGAATTAGTCATTGTGAAAGATGTGACAAAACTGTAGCTGCTAGGGCTGGGATACCTGGATACCCGGGACCGGTGGGTAATGAGTTGGACCCGAATACCCATCTCAATACCCAGACCCGTTATGATGATGGCAGTAATAGATTAAAAAATGTTATATATATTATTCTTTCATGATTAAAAGGTTGTATTGTCTTGGAAGATTGAGACAGAATTTACAGTCACTTCTTTCGAATATAACACATGGTTAAGACATTGAAAATCTCGAAGGTTTAGCCTCCGAGCTGAAGAATATACTGCCATTTCTTGCAAATTTGATGTCAGGAATTAACATAACGGGTATCCGGGTAGGGTAATAGGGGGTAGAGTATTAGGGGGTGGGGTACCTGGGTACAATTTTTTTACCCGTACCAGCCCTAGCAGCTGCACCTCAGTTGTAACAGCAAGACTGGGCTTCACACATTACACACATCGCAAACTCAACTAGGATCATTGATAACTTTGAGAGTTCATCTTGCATACCCACAGTCAAGAAGAGTCCCCAATGCAAGTAGCAGCATCAGCAGCAGACGGTCACTTACCTCAGGTCCTCAAACTCTTCAGTGAGTCTGTGTTTAGTTATGAAGTAGTTAGCATCTCCCAGCAAGGACTCTTGTGGCCAGTCACACATCCAGTTGATCTGACAGCCACTCAGCAGACCTGGGTACTGGCTGCAACACACATGGAGGTGACAGTGTTAGTAAACAGCCTGTACATGATCAAATCTGGACAAACAAGTGACTGAAAGCATTAATAGTCAGGACACATTGACTTGCGACCATTCACGTAGCCTGACCACCCAATCTGTTTTAGTTGGCTCTTACAACAAGCACAGGATACAGGGGACCATTTCTTGGCGTGCACATTGAGGTAAAAAGTGTACCAAGGGGAGATAACACTTCATGTGTTGACAAACCCAAAGAATTACTGGTGAGGTGACAGGACTATGCTTGTTGAAAGTAAGTTTGGATAGCATGGCCAGAATATATTCAGAATGATCACTTGATATCCAAGGAATAGTTTAGACAAATCTTTCACTCCATTAAAATAACTCCAAAGACGTTGCATCAGTTGAATTTGATCAGTGGTGAGATATCTGATTTCTTGGTATAAGTGGGTAAAGGATTCAAACCAGGGTATCAAATTTCTGTGTATTGCTCAGGAGATGCGCTACTCACTGTGAAGCATTCCTGATGAGAGGATGTCCTGGGGGCAGACAGATGATGATGTGAAGGTTGCTCTTAACCCTTGACACAAAGAACTTCATGGGGTCCACGGACATACTGGGGAACTCACGCTTCATGGCAGGGTGGATAGCCTGAGAACAACACAAGACAGATGTAGCTGATAGCTGATCTTGGAAGAAGCCTTTACACTTAGAAACTGTGGGCCAGGATTGTGTGGGCAATTTCATTTATTAATCTTTATTACATGGATTGTGTCATCTAACTGTAGTTATGTTTCTGAACAAACCCTGGAATAAAAACTTGAGCCCTTACAGTGCAGAAGTTGCAAAGGTGTGACAGAAACCTACCTGTAGCAGTCCATCCATTTCATCATTAGAGAAGAGATGAGGGTACTCCCCACTGACCAGGAGACTGTTGATAGCGTCCAGGTACACTGGGTCAGCCAGGTCTCGGGACTGCAACACAACACGATTTATAGTTGTCAAACAACTGTCACAAACTTGGATATACAGTAATGTACAAACTGTCTAACAATGTCCTTACTAGCACAAGAAACAACATATACAGGAGTCAATGTTCTGGTGACATAATTTGCACTGACATTTTCTAACATGTTTGGTTCCCTGAAAGTGCAAAAGGGAGGCAACTCTGGGTGTGAAGGAGCTGCATTCAACAACACTATGACTTAAGCAAAAGATCATGCAGATCAGAGAAGGAACACAACAACATATACAGGATTACACAATGACTGTTTCTTTTTCTTGTGTTGTAATGATCCCCTAGTGTGAGTTCACACCATGAACATGCAATATAACAACTGTTTCTTTCAGCACAAAATGGCACAGAATCCAGGGATCTGGAAGAGTAATTCTTCTTTGGTTCATTACATGAATCATTACATGAAACAGGTCATGTCATGTCATTTCTAAAGAGAAGGGTTGGAGTACAGGGAAACCCCCACTCTAGTTCCACCAGAGGTCCAGCAGCTATCACCAACTACTTACAGTGAACATGAGTGTGATGATCTTGCCCTCTGATCCACTGAGTCTGATAGCAGAACGCAGCCCATCGAAGAAGTTGCTCTGTTTGGCCGTGTCCACCTTGTGTATAGGGATGTCTGCTACATGCAGGGCCAGACGACACAGTGTGGCCAGGTGAGACCCTACAGCTCCGATCAGCAACAGGTTGCCCCTGGACAGATCAACCCAAGGTTCAAACCAGTTGAAATCAAGATGCTAATTTAAACAATAGGAGGACTGCCACTTAAAATATGACATCTAGGCCCTATCCACTAAATGTTCACTCACATACATTAATATAGCCTTATGACAATCATACTGGTAAGGCTGCCTAGCAGACAGGCCCATTAGTTTTAAAGTCTGTTTAAATCTTGTCAGATTTTTGTTTGTTTACAGTGAATGAATGCATAAAACTGATTAGGAATTGCAGGACAATTATAGTATTTATTGTATTTAGAAAATATCAAAGGCACCATATCCAAGGAAATGTCGTGTACATCAATACATCAAGTACATATAGCCTGTATTAAACTTGAACCGATGTTCCATGCTACTGACCCATGATGGAAGCTGATGACTCGATGCATCCTCACAACATGGGAGATGATGAAGTCAGACAGCATGATGTTGAGTCTGACGTTGCCAAACTCCTCGTTGTAGCGGGTCAGATGGGTGTTGAGGCAACTGTGCAGATCTCGAAGGTTCTCAATGGGCTGAAGCATTACCTGTGGTGCAGATTGAAACATCATCATGTCCTAAAATACATGCATCAAGAACCATCAAGAACTCCAGGTTCTCAATGGGCTGAAGCATTACCTGTGGTACAGATTAAAACATCATCATGTCCTGAAATACATGCATCAAGAAACACCAAGAACTCCAGGTTCCCCTTTAAATTTTAAACACTGCTGAATTCACAAGATTCTGAACTATCTAGGTTTGTTGTTTCTCACTCATTGGCTCTTCTGTAGACTGACCTTAATCTGCTTTGTCCCGAGAGATGTGACTGGTCTCTGATACATCCTGGCGTCAACTGGGAAAGTTACAAAGTTTTCATGGAGTGGTCCTTCCAGCTTGGGCCAAGTCTACAAACAAGACAACGTGGTAACATTGAATTACATCACTTCACTATCATCACTCTATCCAAAACAAAATTCTCCTCACTAACAACAGCAATGTTCTCGTCCTACCTCCTGGATAGACTTCTCCAGTGTGTCATCGAACCAGTTCTTGTCAGCTGTGCGACTGATGCGGTCCTTCATGATGCGCTGTATCTCGTGTCTCCATAGCGATACCACCATGCTTTCATCAGCCCTGCTCTCGTCCGGCAGCCGCTTCAGGCACTGAAGTGAGAACAGTTGTAAGTCATATCCACATACATAAAACCATACATAAAAACTAAATAATGGCCAATATTTTAAACAATTATAGTTCAAAACAGCCATCTTGCAAATTGTAGAATGGCTGAATCAGATTTGTCTCATGTGAAGTCAATACTAAACCCACTGGATTACTTTATAAGATTTCTCAATATCACTCTCTGATGCAGCAAAAGACTGTGGATTCTGCTAACAGACAGTCAAATATATTTCAGGATTCATTTCTAGTTATGACAACCCATATGTTTAATGTGCTGGAAATAATGGCCACGTTTGGGAATGGCAGTGGAGGACTGAGAGGAAGTGATCAGGGAACGTGAGAGGTGAGTGCAAGGTAAGAGGATGGAAGGGGAGGACTGAGAGGAAGTTATCAGGTACGTGAGAGGTGAGTGAAAGGTAAGAGGATGGAAGGGGAGGAGTGGGAAGATTAAATGTTTAAATGTTTCGCAGTACAATACTTTGACAAAGTGAATCTTCATCAAGAACTGACACATTCTACCAAGTAACTTGTCAGATAATTCAGTGCCTGCAATATCCCATGTTGACAACATGCTGTCATTATATATATATTTATTTGCAAGGTGTAGCAAAACCCAAACGATTGCACAATGACTTTTACCTGGAAGCACTTAGTGAGGTCCTTGAGGGTAAAGAGGTAGTGGTATCTGCCCGGCATCGGCGTAGGTCGCAGCACACTTTGCAGCGAGGTCAGGAGATCACATGAAGCATGGACAAGGCTGCTATGAAGGTCAAGGTCAAGGCCAGGGGCATCTTGATGAGTCATATTGGCCTGTAGAACACAAATGTATAGATATGAACAAGATAAAGTAGATGTTACAAACATTCAAAACTTGTTTCTTTGTATAGGTTTCAACAACAAATAGTTGCATTTCTGCATGGCATGAGGGTTACCCTGCAGATAAAGATACTCCACATACCTCCAATATGCCATTCACAACAGTCTTGAGACTTTCATCCATAGGTGCAGGCAGGTTAAACACAGCAAAGTGTCTCTGTAAGGACAAGGAAAATGTTTTGTCAAGGATTTATCAGTACATATTATCAGTATCTATATGTAAAACACCAATTCATCGGATCTGCCTAAACAAGCTAACAAATACGTTGTTGCCTTAAGAGCTGTGAAATAGAAAATTTAACATGAAATTACAGCCTGAATCCATACTGAGTACACTGTCTAGAGCTGCACTCAGCAATACTCCATCTATATGGCAGTCTGTAAATAATTGAGTCTGGGCCATACAATCCAGTGATCAACAGCATGAGCATCGATCTATGCAATTGGAATACAATGACATGTTTCAACCAAGTCAGAGAGCATGACCACCCTAGTCGCCTCTTCTGACAAGCATGGGTTGCTGAAGACCAATTCTAACCCGGCATGCCATCACAGCCCATTTTGAAGCCCCCTCTTCTGTCAGAGGACATGTCTATTTCAAATTAGCAACAGAAGCATTATCACATTTACTATTGAATGTATGCAAAAACATTTTCCTATCTGAATGACTTTTGCCGTAACTTCTAAAAGTGGAAATCTGATTTGAAAGTGAAGCTCTGTCCTACCAGCAGTCTCTCCGAGATGGCCCTGTTGCCCACCCCGGGGTAGTCACTGAGTGCCATGGCGGAGGTGACAGTCAGCCCCTCTACTGTCTTCCACTCAAACGGTTTCTGTAGCGTGCACAGGATGCGCTGGTCCAGCAACTGTCGGAGGAGCTGGCAGAGGAAACATCACAATGGAATCAACATTCAGGAACATCCAGATGATTGTACTTTAATCCTGACTGACTTGAATTATGAATATGATAAACCCATTTATTAAAATGCGATTTCAAATCACACCATCAGTCAGTAACATTCAAGAGAGTGAATGTTGTATACCAAAGATAGCAATTGTCCAGATGGATCAAAAGTAGCTTGAGAGGCTAGGCAACCCAGTGGTTGACAGCATGAACACTTATCCATACAGTCAGAGCATAATGACAGTTAGGACCAATCAGCTATTGTCCTTCTTAATCCTAAACTAGTGGCCAGCATTCTGTCCCACACACACTGCATATTGTATCACATAGTCATGACCAACAGATCCAGGGTGCCGTTGTACAAAGCGATCTTACCGCTAAGGTGACCATTACTCCCATACCTTAACATAGACTTAAGGTAGTCTTAGCGCTAAGGTTGTTTTGAACAACGGCACCCTGGTCCATAAGGGACATCACTCCATCAGTGATAGGTATATGGAGCATAGAGTATCAGTATACTGTATCACTGTATCAGTACTACCCAAACTCTTCTCTCACCTCGTTACATCTCTGTACCCCATGTTCATCCGGTACAGGTAAGTTGACGTCATCAATAAACACTTTCAGTTTCTTGTTCTCCTTTGCTCCATAGACAAAACCTACAAACACAAGAAAGTAAAACAGGTTATCATTGTAATTTTCCTTGCAGAAAACTGTTAAGAATTGAATACCATTTACCATGTGAAAGACCACACTGAAACCAATCAACCTGAGATAGCGCAAGTCACTGACCTTGTCTGTGGTAGATGTTGGCCTCTACAAACTGCTGCAGCTGCTTGGCTGTAGATGCACCTGAGAACACTAGTCTCTTGCAGATGGACAACTGGGAATCTGGAAATATGTAGTGAAGATGTGTAGTTGTCAGGGGAATAGTTTCAAGCATTTCAAGAGTTATCTCCATTGAGTCTGTAAGGCTGAGATCACAACTTGGAATAAACCTAGGACAATGAGTAATTTTCACCATATAATTATCAATTATTCATCCAACCAAATTATGGTGAGTAAACCAATGACAGATCCCTTTGTTTCACAGTCAGATATTACAATAATATCAAATGGGACTATCTTGAAAATTATGGACTAACAAAAAAAAAAAAAAGGAATTGTAAGAAAATCTTGCAAGCCTTGATATTCAAGAAACAAGAACTGTATGAAAGCAGAATGAACTTCCAATGAAAACAAATCCAACCACTTCCTGATACAAAAATGCTTATAACAAACCTTGAACATCTATAAAGGAGTTGATGAGAGTTGTCTTCCCTGACCCATGAGGTCCCACCAGGAGGACATTTTGGCCAGACGCTGCTGCAAACTCCATGAGGATGCGTGTGCGCATCTACAAGTGGAAGGAATAATATAATGTCAAATTATGTCTTCTATTTTGTAATATCATGGCATTTCATTCACACATGTATCCTACTTGTTCATAAAGGTTACCACACCTAGAGTAGATCATGCAGTGTCATAGTGTTGCAACTCACCGTATCAACAGTGTCGACAAACATCTCTCCCAGCATATCCTGGTTGTCTGCATAGGCAGACTCAGGAACCCTGGAATGTCACAAATAAAGCATCTTACCCTCTCAAAACAACATCAATAACTTTGAAACAAACCATGACCTGTGGCAAAACAGTTTCCCCAAACCTGTGCCTGATAAAGCAATGTGCATATGTCAAGTGCATACTAAACACAAGAACCAATACAGTATTACATTAAGAAGTAACATCAGTGACATACCTAATATATTGCATACATAACGCATATCCATATCTTATATAAAGAGGATGACACACCAAGACCTGGGAGAATTCAGTACTGTTATAGTATGTTTGGTATAAGAAACGCAATGTATTACAACCCAAAAATCCACAAGGTTCCACTTACCTGGAATGCCATGGGTCCCACTCTCCTGACTCATCCACATAGTAGTCAAACACACAGATGTCCCGGTCATCATCGGGCAGGCTGGACAAGGAAACACAGACATTATAAAAGTATTTCTGATATTTCCATCTTAGGAGTTCATTCCAAGGTTTATGTCAGTTGTATCTTTACCACAACCCCACTACACAGATATGGACAGACCGTGGATCATAATCTGGGCTAATCGGGGACTCTCCAACCTTCACTGCTTTGCTGCATTTATGAAAAACTATTTTAATATGATTAAGGATAAGAATTATTTACTAGTTGCACAATAGAACAATAGAACTCGACTTAACCTCGACCTGTTCAGCAAATGGCAATACAAATTCGCAAATTTGAAAAATATATTTTCGTTTTTGTTCCAACTGATAGCATGGCAGTAGGGGTTACACTGGCAGTAGGGGTTTCACTGGCCAATATGATAAAAGGGCTTTAAGATATATTCTCTTTTAATGCAATGTTAAAATAAATCTGAATAATAGATACTCATAGAAAACCCAATTTAGTGCAAAATAACTAATTACTCCAAAAATGTTTACCAACTGCACTTGTAGGAATCCTTCATAAAACCCTGTGACTTTTAAACACACTCTAACAAAATACAACACCACATAAATATAACGTACGCCGTGGAGAGAGTCTTGAGAAGGTCACTGAAGGCCTTGCGGTCATGCTGGTCAAGCAGACCACCATATGTCCAGATGAGACAAAACAGATAGAGTCTCTCAATGTGTAGTTCCCCACCAATCTCGATGTTGTCTGCCAACATGGCGGACAGTAGGGCCAGGCAAGTCTTGAACATTCCAACCTCACACAGTCGTACTTGAGGTCTAAACAAAAAATGCCTTCTTGAAGTCTTCCATTCATCTTTAGATGAAACTGATGCTTTATCAGTGTTCTAGTGATGAGTGAGTTGGGTTTAACAGAACTCTGAACTGTATATCTGCAATATTACTCCGTGTCAGTATATGTAGGACAAAAGCCCAATAATGCACTTTGGTGAAACCCGGAGTGTGGTGCCAGGGCTCGATTTAAGAGATGTTAACCTACTTGCACCAGGTGCAACTTAAGATAAAAACCTAGTTTCACCAGCCTAATTCCAAATGCACTGCTTTTATGGCAATGTGTAATGAAAGAATATGCTATTGACTTGTTTTATGTTTCATTCAGAAGTTTACCCACTCAAAACTTGACCTGGTGCAAGTTAGACTAATAACTAGGTTGCACTTTGTAATATTGGATTGCACCAATGCAAGTAACAAAGCACTAAATCGAGCCCTGGGTGCTCACAAACCAAGTATCAGGGTGAACCCAAGATTCAAACCACTGATCAGCAGACTAAGGGATGCAACTCTGCATTGCTAATTGACCCGGCATGACAGCCTTAAGTATACAACAGACACTGTGAATGTCAACCATAAACTCTACTAAACTAAATATGATCTTTGTTCAGTTATCTGAAGATAAAAGTGTTTATAAAATAAAATACAATTAGCTGACTGAACAAAATTTTATTAGACACAGGCTTTGGACCAGTGGCTAAAGATGCACACTAAAACCTACTTGTAAGCCGACATTCAACACCAGCATCATCAAGTATATTTAATATAACATTACTTGCTTACATGTTAATCAATAACCCATTCAACAGTCCCCCGGTTCCACTAATATTGGATATTTGGCCCTACAGCTGCACCAAACAGTGTGAGCATACAACCATAAGAGTATGGTTCATGTACCACTCCATTAAACACCATGACACATGACAAGAAGCAGATTTGTTCTGATTGTCAACCAGAGTGGTCTCCCCTGACAACCACCCATTCAATCTCTAGTCACACAGCCATAGCATCAATATGAAAACAGGAAATGCTGTGTGGACATACTTAGCTTCATGCAGGACAAACTGAGAGATAGGGTCGAGGGACTTCTGGAAGGCTCGTTGCAGCACCTGGTATCAAAATATATGTTATAGGCAAAGTTTCAACATGTCATGGTCTCATAACTTAAATCTTTTACATTTGAAGATGACAATATTCATTGGAAACAGAGTGAGTGAAAAGGCTTAATGTCGCATCATCAGTTTTACAGCTATTCACAGGAACTCTTCATATTATAAAAACCTGTAAAAACATGTAGATCAGGATAAAGTGTATAACATATTGATTAGTGTGTGAGTGAGTGAAGTGAGATTGAACACTGATTTACAATATCAAGTATCATGCAACTGCCATCATTTGTTGACAGAGCCCAAAGTGGAGTAGATTGTACATATTTATCACTTTAGTGAAAACCTGTGAGCACATGCTTCGATAACCACAAACACAATTTGGGTAAAAGTGCACTCCAAACCCTAAACCAGTGTCTCCATTCAACAAAGCAACACAACTCTCCCCAGTAAGCTGAAAAAACTGTGTGAGGTCAATGAAGTTTAATGTCGCATTCAGTAATGCACATGCATTTAATGTGCAGATTCAGATAAGTTTTATACATGCATCTTAGATACCATGCTGCAGTTTGACAGATGGTACTCGACACTGTGCACTGACCCTGTCCTTCTTTCATGCCCAAAGTGGCAGTGAGTTTTGGTTTTACGCCGCTTTTAGAATATTCCAGCAACATCACGCTGCACCAGAAATGGGCTTCACACATTGTACCCATGTGGGGATTCGACAGTGCAAGCTGACCCTGTCCTTCTTTCATATGCCCAAAGACAGGGTCCTTAATGTTTTTATTTGTTTGTTGTTTAACGCTGCACTCAGCAATATCCCAGCTATATAGTGATGGTCTGTAAATAATTGAGTCTGGACCACACAATCCAGTGATCAACATCAAGCATCGATCTACGCGACTGGGATATGATGTCAACCAAGTCAGGGAGCCTGACCACCCAATCCTTTCAGTTGCCTCCTACAACAAGAATGGGTTACTGAAGACCAATTCTAACCCCGTAACAACATGAACCATCTAAATATATTTTGGTATAATTGTGGTGGGATCAAGCCATTAACCCTCTGTCCTCCGGGCTCCCTCTATGAACTAGAGTCTGACAATAGAGGCAGTTATCACCCACAGATCCCGAATAATACCTTTAGTATTCTGTTAGTAGCTGTTACACAGGGTTAAACTAGGAGTTTACACACAGAATGAGTGAGTCAGTGCTGGGTGATAGGACTAACGACATACAACATTACAACATAATGTGCTACACCCTGTGCATGGGGACACACCTTTACAATGTGTAGGGAAGTTAATCAACCTGTTAACTGAATGTAATGCTGTGAAAAACACATTCCAACTGAAACTTGCAATAGCCCAGCTCTACACAAACAGCTAGGCTTTTTCACACAGTTAAATATTAAAAAACTATCACACACAATTAAAAAAATGCAAATGCACACATTTTGAAACTTAACTATATGTTTCTAGGAGCTTTATGTTAATATGTACTGCCAAACCAACTGAAATGCTTTTGCCCATGAAACATAGCAGTCATTGTCCAAGCTACAATATTATCACTCTGGCCGTCACATTACATCTAGAAAACAGGCAGCCACTACAGTGCTACATCAGCTCATGTCTACCTCAGCACTCATTGTTTATTGTTGTATTATCATCTTTGATCAACCTGTCGAACTACACCCAATTTGAAACACTTTCTTCTTTTTTGAAATAAACTGAAACAATGTGAAAAAAAACAGCTTCAATTTTCTTCAGAAATAATACACACATTGATCAAATCTTTCATTTAACCAAACAAAAAATCATTATATATCCCATACATTGCTACAGACCATTGTTCATGACGTTCACACAAGAATTTGAACCATTTTGCTATTCTGTTTTGTGAACAGTACCAAAAATCCTCAGTATTATCTAAAAAGTCACAACACAAACTTGCTATTGCAGATTAGAGAATAGAGTTAAGAATACTTCTTTTACAAAATTTGTTTTCATGATGCTTCAACATATTGCAGTATCGTGCTTAAAAAATTACACACAGATCAGCTAAAAAGAGAATGAAAATCCATAACCCATTTAACAGTATCCCAGTCCCAATAATATTGGATATTTGGCCCTACAGCTGCACCAAACAGTGTGAGCATATAACCATAAGAGTATGGTTCATGTACCACTCCATTAAACACCATGACACATGACAAGAAGCAGATTTGCTCTGATTGTCAACCAGAGTGGTCTCCCCTGACAGCCACCCATTCAGTCTCTAGTCACACAGCCATAGCAAAAATGATAAATGCATGTGAACTAAAAATTGGAAATATTTCAAATTCAGCATAGTTAAACATTTGATCAAAAGAATCAACTTCTGCCTTTCTGTAGAAAGGCTGTAAATTAGGACACCCAACAGACCAGATAGCATTCGGACGTTGTCCCAACGTTGGCAATGTTGGCAAAACCATTGTCAACGTTGGGCCAACGTCTGCATGCTATCTGGGAATCCTACAGAGTGCATGGTGTGTGTGCGGAGGTAAACATGAGCTGACTGCGATGGGCCACTATGTATGGAGCTACATCAGACATGGTTACCCCTGTGGGTGTTTTGTCAGTCGGCTCAACATCCTCATCTATCTGTATAAACAAGCCAAACCTACAGTCAATACTTTGTAGCTGTACATCATGTAAATCTGCAAGTCTTGATTAACAACATACATAATCAACCAAACTATCAACATTTTGGTATAAAACAAATTTAAATAATATAAAACAATTTTTGAGAAACATCACTCAAATAATAGAAACGGGGAACCTCAACATAATTCAACCTAAGTGAAATGTCTTCACTTCAAGCTCACCTGATTCTGTAGAAAGCAAACATTAGAAATACGTGAATATTACAACAGAATGTGATTCATAGTCTATATACAATCTGGGATAGAAATACTTTTTTTTCTAAGTGTGCCTTAGGGCACCAGACAAATATTTTAGGTGTGCCTTTCAGAAATCGTGTATGCCCACATGTTTTTAGAATAAATGACAATGATGAAGATCATTTGAAATTTATTGTTAAATAAAGAAATGGGTTAATGAGCATTCAAATATGTATGGTATTATTCAATTTGGAAAAAAATAATTGTTTTGGGGATTAAATGACTAAATGTGAGTTATGTCTCTGAAAAATCAGGCGTGTCAAAAGGGCACCGAGAACATTTTTTAGCCGTGCCATTTCAATATTTACCGTGCCATGGCACGCTAATATATGGGGTATTTCGAACCCTGACAATTAATTCAAAGAGAAAAAGATTTAATTCAAATTTTACGCATGCCTATACCTAGGATCACTGCAAGCAGTATGATGGTATCTGAGCCTCAAATGTAATAGAAGTTATCATTCTCGTGGAAGACCATTGCTAGTGTAGCTAATATGTGCTGAGTGACAAGAGCAAGTGAAGAATGCTTTCTTGTTTACAGTGTGACATGTGAGGCTCTGTGATGCCATGTGACAATATGTGACAATGTGTGAAGCAAGGTGACTGGTGTGACAATGTGACAAGTGAAGGACACTGATGGTGCCAGCTTACATACATACCATTAATGTCCTTATGTATGATGCATTGTATAAGGAAGGAATACCATAACTATACCATTAGACTTAGGACAAGGAGTGAATTCTAAAACTATGCCAGTACTCTTTAGATAAGTGAATTCTATTTCGTTCTGTCAGAGATTGGAAAATGGTGAATAACATAACTATCCAGGTAGACTTTGGGTACAAGTGAATACTGTAACTATACTGGAATACTTTGGATAGTATTGAATACTGAAACTATAAATGTAGACTTTGGGTAGTAGTGGATACTGTAACTATTCTGGAATACTTGGGATAGTATTGAATACTGAAACTATAAATGTAGACTTTGGGTACAAGTGAATACTGTAACTATACTGGAATACTTTGGATAGTACTGAATACTGAAACTATAAATGTAGACTTTGGGTAGTAGTGGATACTGTAACTATACTGGAATACTTTGGATAGTATTGAATACTGAAACTATAAATGTAGACTTTGGGGTAGTAGTGAATACTGTAACTATACTGGAATACTTTGGATAGTATTGAATACTGAAACTATAAATGTAGACTTTGGGTAGTAGTGAATACTGTAACTATACTGGAATACTTTGGATGATAGTTAATACTGTAACTATACTGGAATACTTTGGATAGTATTGAATACTGAAACTATACATGTATACTTTGGGGTAGTAGTGAATACTGTAACTATACTGGAATACTTTGGATAGTATTGAATACTGAAACTATAAATGTAGACTTTGGGTAGTAGTGAATACTGTAACTATACTGGAATACTTTGGATAGTATTGAATACTGAAACTATAAATGTAGACTTTGGGTAGTAGTTGATACTGTAACTATACTGGAATACTTTGGATAGTATTGAATACTGAAACTATACATGTATACTTTGGGGTAGTAGTGAATACTGTAACTATACTGGAATACTTTGGATAGTATTGAATACTGAAACTATAAATGTAGACTTTGGGTAGTAGTGAATACTGTAACTATACTGGAATACTTTGGATAGTATTGAATACTGAAACTATAAATGTAGACTTTGGGTAGTAGTGAATACTGTAACTATACTGGAATACTTTGGATAGTATTGAATACTGAAACTATAAATGTAGACTTTGGGTAGTAGTGAATACTGTAACTATACTGGAATACTTTGGATAGTATTGAATACTGAAACTATAAATGTAGACTTTGGGTAGTAGTGAATACTGTAACTATACTGGAATACTTTGGATAGTATTGAATACTGAAACTATACATGTATACTTTGGGGTAGTAGTGAATACTGTAACCATACTGGAATACTTTGGATAGTATTGAATACTGAAACTATAAATGTAGACTTTGGGTAGTAGTGAATACTGTAACTATACTGGAATACTTTGGATAGTATTGAATACTGAAACTATAAATGTAGACTTTGGGTAGTAGTGAATACTGTAACTATACTGGAATACTTTGGATAGTATTGAATACTGAAACTATAAATGTAGACTTTGGGGTAGTAGTGAATACTGTAACTATACTGGAATACTTTGGATAGTATTGAATACTGAAACTATAAATGTAGACTTTGGGTAGTAGTGAATACTGTAACTATACTGGAATACTTTGGATGATAGTTAATACTGTAACTATACTGGAATACTTCGGTAGAAAGTAAGTACTATAACTGTGTTGGTAGACTTGGGATAGTAAGCGAAAATCACAACAGTAGATTTTCAACTCCATAACACTGCCCGAAGAGCTTGATGATGAAATCCCCTCCCATACAATGTCTAATGGTTGAAGCCATGACCACATGTTTTAAGTAGTGTCTCCTCACAACAACCAGCCTTGTTTCATGCTGGAAAATGATCCACAATACTTGTATCGCAGAGTGATACATGTGGAAATTCATTATCACAAGATTAGTTAGATGAAATTATTTTGGTAGACTGAAAACCCACACGTCTGTTAATATTTGATAGTGCTGATTCTGTCACGATGTTACCAAATTCATACATTTAGTAAAACAGTGACTCATGTGAACATCGGACGATGAAGGATGTCAACTTACGTGAACCTCCTGCTGGGACCTGCTCTCCAGCCATGCCTTGGCGATGGGCTTCCAGCCGACAACATCCCGGTCCAGATACAAGATGCCCTACACAGGAGACAACATGTACAGCATGTAACTTACATCTCAATGCTTCAACTGTTGCAGGTGGATACAGTGACTTTGTCAAAGCATATGCTTTCATTCCAAGGGACTGCAATGCTTTCATGAAATATTATTCCATTATGGTTGCCTGTTAATAGGCAAACCAATGGTGAACATGGTTAGGGACCGTTCATAATTTATGGGTGTTTTTTTTTTTTATTTGATGATGATGATTTTAAGGGGGTCACCCATTTTGTTCTGGGGAGCTTGGGGTGGGGGGTGGGGTGTCAGCAATCTTGTACACACACGTTCTGGGGAGCAGCAACTTTGTACATAAAAATATGATTAAAATTATGCTTAGAAATTATGGGGAGGGGAGGGGGGTCATTGATTTTGTACATGACATGCTGGGGGGTCACTTATTTTGTACATAAATGTTGGGGTGTCATCCACATTGTACATGCTTCTCCATAAAAATCATCATCACCCCCCCTAGCCATAAATTATGAACTGTCCCTTAATGACACGCAGCCCAGTCAAAAACTGTAAGGATATGATCTTAACTTTAGTTGATTCTTTTATGAACATCAGGATTGCTGGAGGCCTACTTAATCCTGGAATAGTTACAGACATAACACCATCTGTACCTTACTGTATGTTTAAGCAAATACTTGTATTTGGACAGTGCTTGGCAAAGAATATATAAATAACAGCAATAACGACTCTGATTAATAATGATGATAATTGACATTACTACCAAAATTCTGCGGAATGTGAAATGAACAAATGTAAGATAATCATGATCACAATCCAAAAATACATTCAAGTGATGAGGTCCTGAGTTGTAATAATTACAAAAACACAAAGATAAGTACGACTTACAGATCTGGCGACAGTGGCAGGTGAAGCAATGTTGAGGTCATCAGTCTCAAACAGAAGGATGACATTTTCAGACAGGAACAACTTGTCTCCATTCTTCAGATGCAGCACCTGTGAAGACAAACCAGACAAATACAGAGGCGCCATCAGGACACATAACATCACAGACAAACATTAGCAAACCCAGTAGTGTTGAATGTCTCTTAGCACTCCAGCAACAGCCTCACTGAAGGACTGACTGACTGACTGAGTTTGGTTTTACGCCGCTTTTAGCAATATTCTAGCAACATCACGGCGGGGGACACCAGAAATGGGCTTCACACATTGTACCCATGTGGGGATTCGAACCCGGGTCTTCCGCGCGACGAGCCAATGCTTTAACCATTAGGCTACCCCACCGCCCTCACTGAAGGAAATACCACTGGTGTCACATCACGTACACTACGGAGAAACTGCCACAAACCATGTGTCTAACAAGCATCTGATTTCAATTGGCTGTCTCACAACTTCAGAACAGAAATAAACCTTGTAAAACATTAACCTGCACCCACTGAAGTTAATCTTGTTGATACTGTCTACAGCAAAACTTTGTTAATCTGAACAGTACAGTTCCGGATTAACAAACCCAACCTTCCTATTAATGTCCATGAAGAATGTATCACCATTCCCACCAGTAATCATCCGTGAGTTAGATTCCAGGCAATCAGGATTATTAGCAATTTCTACCCTGAAATGGCTGTATCAAACTTGAGAAGATACTGACCCTGTCGCCGGAGAGTATGCTGTTGAAGTTGTCTGCCCAGCCCGAGTTGAGTGGTCCATCCAGACAGAGCCAGGTGGTGCTGATGTTCTAGAGTTGATAATACACAGAGCATCAATATAACAGTCTTATACAATATTGGGTAAATTGTAGACATTTGTCTTCTCTCACTTACCCATTATCTTAATGTTAAACTCAGCCTGAATTAAACATAAACCAAAACAACAAATAGGTGAGGTGAGGTGAAATTGGGTTTAACGTCGTGCTTGAGAATATTTCGCTCATATGACGACGTGCATGTGTGTGTATGTGTATGTGCGGCTGCTTGTACTAGCCCAGACTTAAGCTGGTTTTATAGTGCTAGCCCACTGAGATACTCAAATAAAGTTGCAGTGAAGCATGAATAAGCATGAATATCCCACTCAGACACATTATACTGACTCCACTTTCGTGAGCCGATAAACAATGTCCTTTGTTGTACCCATTAATGCTGAGTGTATGCCAGGCAGGGACCAACAAGTACCATATTTTAATGTCTTTTGGTATGGCGCAGTCGGGGATCGAACTTCAGCGACCTTCCACTCTCGAAAACGCAGGCGCTCTAACTGAGCTACACCTTGTTGTACGGGCAGGGTCAAAACAACAAATAACAGAAACTAATGAGAAAAGACTTAAAACTGATTATTTTCACTTTTTAAACAATAATTAGTATATGGTTGAGAAAAATTAACCAAAATGTTCAAGCCATTCATGAGGCAGCACCCACGTTTTGGTTTTAGTGCGAAAAACTAAAAATAGACACCACTACAAGCATGCAGAACTACTGACATCAGGCACAAGAGTAACTGTAAGTGACTGCCTTCAATCTCCTGTGCATGTTCCAAAACAAACTTGTGACACCTACCCTGTTGGCCTTCCTGCAGGCTGTGGTGAGGATTCCATCCAAAACAAAAATATTTCAAGACTATAAAAGTGACGCCTACCCTGTTGGCCTTTCTGCAGGCCGTTGTGAAGATTCCGTCCACCCAGTCGTGGTTCTGGTTGAGGGAGCCAAACATGATGGAACTGTCATCCACCACTAGGGGGTTGATACGCAGCAGCTTGTGTATGGTGTCTCCAGGAGTGGAACTCTTGCTGGTGTGGGAACTACGCGAGACATGCCTCGAGGGGTCACACACAGAGCATCCACCAGGGTCTGGATGCAGGTGGACTTGCCACTGCCTGGTGGACCTGCTACGATGATACCTGGAAACACATGGATGGGACATCAGGTGACATCTGTTCTTTTATCCAGATGTCAAAATCTGAGTGAGTGAGTGAGTGGGTGGGTGACTCTGATTGAGAGGGTGGCATTTGGGTGAGTGAGTAAGTGGGTGGGTGGGTGGGTTTGAGTGAGTGAGTGAGTGAGTGTTTTATGCCGGACTCTACAATATTCCAGCTAAATGGCGACGGCCTGTAAATAACCAAGTCTGGATTAAACAATCCAGTGATCAACAGCATGAGCATCGATCTAATCAATTGGGATATGATGACATGTGCCAGTCAAAATCATAGAGTACTTGGTTAACATATATTATAAATGAATTTATACTTTCAAGAAACATATATTGCAAAGGAGTCACCTAACTAGTTTCATCTCTGGTGTAAGAAAATGACTGACTGAGTTTAGTTTTACGCCGCTTTTAGCAATATTCCAGCAATATCGCGGCAGGGGACACCAGAAATGGGCTTCACACATTGTGCCCATGTGGGGAATCGAACCCGGGTCTTCGGCGTGACGAGCCAACGCTTTGACCACTAGGCTACCCCACCAGCCCTGTAAGAAAATGCAAATCTATGACCAATTCTACATCTGTAAAAGCAAAATAATCCAGAACCAATAAGAAATGTTAACACTCATTACGTACACATTTTCTTTCATACCTTTTAATGGGTCTTGAAAATGCCCATCTAAATATAACACTGAATATAATTGAATATCAAACAATAAACTTTGAACATAATACAATGTTTTTGAGAGAAAAGAAAAATGGATCAAGGGCAGATCCAAGATATTGTACCCCAGTAATAGCAATATGAGGGAATGACTTGGCTGAGGGTACAGATAATATTGTAAGTTGTCTGTGGATGCAGTGAAAGTAACTGTCCTTGAAGCTTATCCACATTTCTCAAAGTAAGGGTTGACAGATCTGTTACCAAGACACAAAAGAAACAAATACACACTGCTATATATAGTTGAAACTGTTACCTGGGTATGCCTGTGACAGGCTGTAGAGTTGGGTACACTTGTTGAGCCAGGGTTTGTGTGCGATAAGACCAGTATCCATAGCCTTGCTCTCCAGAGCTGCCTCTATGTCCATTCCCCGAGATCTGGCCGAGCCAATGGGCTGACCGGGTGGGGCATCAGGAAGACCCGCAAAACAGTCTTTCACAATAGTTTTAAACAACGCCATGTTCTGAAACACATCAGACACAAACCCACTGTCAGCTATACATTCTCCAAGACATACAAAATGTACACAACTTGAAGAGATAACATATAAATAAAGGTGTATGCTGGAAGTTTTCATGACTGAAAACTGAACCTTGTTTGATGAAAATATCTCAAACAAGAAGGTTTTATGATAGTGTACAGTCTCTGCCAAAATTGTTTAGTCTTCAAGCCAAAGCCCATCACTTGACATGATTTTCAGTAGATCCTCATGCTGTGACTTTTAAAGCAAACTTTACTATACCAGCTGTGAACTAGAGGTTGAAGTAATACTGTCAGACAATACCTCAGCAGTCAGACGAGGTCCAATGATTTCCTCCAGTGTCTGACACACCATGCTGTGCTCCTGTTTCCCAGCAGACGTCATCGGGTTGGGAGTTCCTCCTTTCCTTTGGCCCAGCCCACCACCCATCTTGACCGTGCTTGGCGACACTGAAATAATATAGGCTGTGTTAGGACTGGGTTTATCTACTACAGACCAACTGAATCACATTGTATAAATGATACAAGCCTGAGAAATGCTACTTCTATCTGCATAAAATTTACTAACATCATCAAAATTTGTGAAGCTGTGAATTTATCTTGTTGAATATTTTGTAACCCCTTATCATGGTTAGGATGTTTGTTGTCTAACGCTGCCCAAGCATTCAGTGTTCACGAATGGTGTTTCAAAGTAACAGGACATTGCGTCCTGTAAGTTTCAGATGTCTGTCTGACCCTCTGAAAATTCACAGGACCCATAGAATAAAATTATACACACATTTCAGATTTAACATTTCTTATAATTGGCATTGAAATTATTAACACACAAAAGATTCATAAACAGCAAACAAGTGTCACATGTCACACATAAAAACTTCAGTCAAAGTCATTGTGAAATATACAGTCAGACACTGGGGCCGGCGGGTTGTAGACTTCTTTCGGACCGTTGGTGAGGGTCAGACGCTAATCATGATCACTGAGCATTAGGTGATTCCTCACAGTGATATCCCCCAAAGTGCCATTAAACCATTCTCATTTACTCACCATTCATGTTTGTAGGTGCCATCAGGAGAGGTCTTATTGATGTCGCTTCTGATGCCTGACTTTCTGACCTCGACGTCTCATCCTTCTTGTCTAGCCTGTCTGCAGTTTTCTCCTCTCGGATGAACTTACGCTTCTGCATGGCCCGTTTCAACACACCAACCAGTGCTGAGATGGTGAAGTGGTGGTGGAACTGGCTAGGTCTGTAACAAACAGTGACACATAAAATGATGATGAGGATGAGGATGAGGATGAAGCTGTCACACACACAAACCTGTTCATGCATGTCACTTTAGTTACAGAACCCTGAATATGATATGAAACCCCATTTCAACTCACTTCAACAAAAGATACCAATGACATGCTTCACCAGCAAATCTTTGACTAAACCAATATAGCATCCCATAGATGACTCTTTTACCTTGTATGAACTAGCAGGAAGAACATTGATAACTCAGGCAAGTTGTGACTCCTGATATCATGAATCCCATATCAACTGACCGATACTTTTAATATGGTCACTACAATGTTGAATTCACAAATACATGCATGTTACACTAATGGTTATCCTGTAAGAGGCATTTTACACCAGGGGTGGAAATAACTTTTAAATTGCTAGTGTACTCCGGTACAGTGGCACATGTAAAATCACTTGCCCTGATAATTTTTCCACAATACCGGCCGTTTTCTTGTTGATTTTATAAATAAACAACATAATTAACATTGGAATATCAACTGGACACCGGTACAGTGTGATATACAAATTTGCTTGCCCGACAGAAAAAAACACTGGACTCGGGCGTCGGACAATGGGTTATTTCCACCCCTGTACACATGTTCCACTTACAGCTGATCCTTGACAAGCTCTGTGAGAACCTTGAGTCTGGAAGCCAGGATTCCTGGTCCCCGGAATCCCATGGCAGAACACTTAGCCTTCAGGATCTGGCCTGTGTCTGGTTTGATGAGAGCGACGGTACGGAAGGAAGCCCGCACATCATGTGGTATAGAGCTAGCTGGAGACCGAGAGCCAGGGTTCACTGTCATGAACACACCCACGGTCCTCCTCACAGGAATCTGGCAAGGAAGGATGAATGGACAATCATAAAAGTCTTCAGATATCAGATGGTGACATATCTATCAAAACATTACTTTGTGTAGCTTGTTTAATAATTACATGTGTTCCCCTACACAATCCTGCCACTCCCTGATCTGCTAGGAGTCAGTACTGAAGCTACTCACCTCTTGTCCATCCAACAGTGATGTGAAGGGTTGTCTGGCCTTGAGAGGCCTGCAGCACACACTGGACATGGTCCAGCAGGACAGCCATTGCTTCACGATTCAGACTCTGGGCTTCATCGAAACATCCCCAGCAACCATCCTGTATCAGCCACCAGAGAAGGTTAGGGGGGTTTCCAAACATCAGTATGTCAAAACATGGCAAGGTTTAATAGATAAAAACTCTCCAATGAATTAGAAAAAGTGAGTGAGTTTGGTCTACAGTATTTGTTTCATATCATGATATGGCATGTCAGGGTTCTGTTCCACAATATTAAGCCTCAGTTAGAGTATGGGAGTTCTCATCACCTTAGTTCTGAGGTCGCTTTGTGGAATGGGGCCAAGGATAATGTGGGTGGAAGGCCCAAAGTGATGTAGGACTGACTGACTGACTGAGTTTGGTTTTACGCCGCTTTTAGCAATATTCCAGCAACATCACGGTGGGGACACCAGAAATGGGCTTCACACATTGTACCCATGTGGGGATTCGAACCCGGGTCTAGTGATGTAGGACACAGATTTTACCACTTGCTGAAATCCACAAGCATGGGTTTGATGCTGACAGACCAAGGGTCATAAATGGGGAGGAACCAGGATTTGAACCCACAGTCAGTAAATCCTGGTAATGCTAAGGAATCCTTAGGTGCTGATCACTATTTCTTAAATGTATTTACTTCAGTCATGGAATATTTGCCGTTTCATCACAGAAAGAGAAGTTGACAAGTTCAAACAATAATACACAATGATCTACACTTGGTGTTGTTTCCCATTGGTTTTAACAACTCTTTACCATGGCTATTCCTTGGGTGATCTTTCCAATACTGCTTGGGTCGAAATGTGTTGAGCAGTGGAACAGTCCCAAGAAGGTGCCCAGGATGTTAGCCAGTCCCTGTAGACAGAGGAGAACAGGAAGAAACCATGAAACTGTGGACCATGTAAAGAATGAACTTCAGATACTGTCAAGATATTGTTACTTGGTCTCTTTACTAATGCTGAACTAAGCACTGGCCATCTGCAAAGAGTCAAGTATAGAATGGACAATCTAGTGATTGATAATGTGAACACAATCAAAACCTGACCACTTGATCATATTAAGTAGCCTCTTATGACCAGCATAGCTTGCTGGGGATCTATTCCAGTTTGGAATATTGTTACAAGGACCTATTCCAACCTGGAATGTTGTTCAGAAGTAGTGTGAGTGAGTGAGTTTAGTTTTACGCCGCTTTTAGCAATATTCCAGCAATATCACGGCAGGGGACACCAGAAATGGGCTTCACACATTGTACCCATGTGGGGAATTGAACCCGGGTCTTCGGCGTGATGAGCAAATGTTTTAACCACTAGGTTACCCACCACCCCAAGAAGTAGAGTATTGTTAAGATAATTGCCTGACACAATTGATGATCAGAATGTGGGATTGCTCTACCTTCACTGTCTCTGTCTTGCCCACACCAACTGGCCCTGTTATACATGTTCCCTGGCTCTGGTTCAGGGCCTGGGACATAGTCAAGAAGCAGCGTTCAGTCACAGGGGTCAAGGCCACACCCACATTGGTTCCATGGAACTCGTTGCCGTACTGATAAGAGTTGTCCAGTATCCAGATCAAAGGCTCCAGCTTCTCATCTGTCACAGAAAGTCCATACCTTAACATCAGACTCTATAACCTTCCTAACATGTCCAGCATCAAGGTCAACTCAGAACTAACTGCAATGCACTAAGACATGGTGAACACAGTATACCATCAGTTTAAATTTGTTTCCTTGCTCCATTCAGCAATATTCCAGCTACATGCATCTCTAAATACTCGTTCCTGGACTTGATAATCCTGTGATTGATTTGTATGATCCACGCCATCAGGGAACAATGACCTGCAATTAACCAGGGTGCCGTTGTACAAAACAACCTTAACGCTAAGACTACCTTAAGTCTATGTTAAGGTATGTGAGTTACGGTTACCTTAACGCTAAGATCGCTTTGTACAACGGCACCCAGGTCCCCAAGCCTGACCACTGACCCATCTGGTAGCCTCTTACAACCTGCATAGGTTCTGGGGACAATATATCCCCAATAATTATCTGTTAAAATATCCTTCAACTGCCTTTGTTTCCATTCTATCCTCCAAAATTGACAATGTAATATGTATTCCAGCGCTTCATGTAAAACAAGCTGTTATCCTTAGAAGCATTTTCTTATTTGAACTGTAATTTGTTTTGTGAAATGTGTGTAACATGTGCTGTATGTATACTTGTACTACTTGTATATGGGCCGGAGGCCTTAAGTACAATACACATCTTTGACTTGACTTGACTTGGGACTGATTCTAACCCCGAATCCCCAGATGGTATCAGTTTTGGTTAGAGTGGCTTAATTTCTGTCTACTCCAACATACCAATTGGCTGCATGTAGCATCGTATACTTCTCCTCCACTCAAAGTCAGTCGGCTCCCGCAGCTTCCGGGAACACATGTTCTCCAGGATGTCACGCAGGAAGAGAGATTGCTGCAAAGAAAGAATGTTTGGTCAATACATCCGTACACATCACCAGCATCTTCATTGGCATCTCGGACCGGAGAGCGGAAGGTCGCGGGTTCGATCCCCGACCACGTCATACCAAAAGACGTTAAAATATGGTACTTGTTGGTTCCTGCCTGGCGTTCGGCATTAATGGGTACAACAAGGACTGGTCGGATCGGAGTCAGTATAGTGTGTCTGAGTGGGGTATTCATGCTTCACTGCAGCATGGTATCTCAGTGGGCTAGCACTATAAAACCAGCTTAAGTCTGGGCTAGTACAAGCAGCCGCACATACACATACACACGCATGCACGTGGTCATATGATGGAAATACTCTCAAGCACGACGTTAAACCCAATCTCACCTCACCTCACCTCACCTCACCTCTGTGAGTAATGACAATTGTTCTAGGCATACAAATATGCATCTTAAGTTCATCTTTGAGGAAGCAATTGTCACTTCCTGATTCAGTTCAACGAGTTTATCAAAAACACCCATAAAATTGCAGCAATATCACACATTGTACCACATAACGGTGAAATGAACCCAACATGCACCACCCCTCCCTTGGAACAATATCAAAGCCTGTGGACTCAATATTGTCAGCTTCACAAGTAAACATCAGGTACAATACTGGGTGAAATCCTAAAGATTGAGCAGCTAGTGGGAAGATCATATCCACATATCATTGCATCCACCACCTGACATAATAACATCACTCCAAACATTTGACTATACTTACAGCAATCATGCTCTCCAGACGTCCTTTATGTACAGGTAACATGGGGTCATCGATGGTCCTCCAGGCTCCGCGGACAAGGACAGAGGACAGTTTGCCGGTGGTGGCCACATACTTCCTCAGTGTCCCCTGCAGGGCCTTGCGGTCATACTTGACCTCAGGCTATACCCAGCTCACACTCCCGTGTCCAGTGATACAGCATGCCCATACGACACACTTGGGATGGATACTGAAGGAAAACACCAAGACAGATCAGGCCCGTGTACAGTTCATGCTTGGAACCTCAATGATTACACAGATCAGGCACGTGTACAATTCATGCTTGGAACCTCAATGATTACACAGTGCCATTTAGAAGGTGGGCAAATGTAACATATGTTATATTTGGGACTACACTTTCTTAGTTGTCCGACTTCCATTTTTGTGGAAGTCGCAGTGGCTGGGCAGGTTTTTGCTGGCAATTAGGTGCCTGCCTGGTGTGGGTTTGAATCCAGGATGGGACTCAACCCATAAAAGTACTAGAATCTGTTCTTTACTAAGAAAGTTAATCCATTACAATATTTGTAATATTTATTCATTTTTAAATGAATGGGACTAGACATGAGACATATGAATTAAAACTTATAGTTTGACAAAACATTTAATATAGTGGTAAACAGAACATATTACAGGATGCTTATGGCCGATTGTTTGTTTACTTTTTGTGTAATGTAGCAATTAGCAATATTGCAGCTATATGATGGTGACTGATATTCTGAGGAATTCTAAGCATAGCTTCTCGGGGTTCCGAATCTCCACAAGGGTATCACTTTTGAAAATGAACTAAGAAGTTTCTAGTTCGCTGAACAGCATCGCTTGACGTACACTGGACTGATGAAGAAGTAATGTCACTCTCAAACAAACCTTGAGCATCTCATGGCATATTTAGATTTATACAACAGAAAACAAGAATTGTATATACATGTACTGTGGAACAGTTAAAAACGGTGCAACATATGAGCCCCAAATAGTTTCAGATCATATGTCCCGAGTGAATACATTTTGTATCCAACCTAAGCGAGATGCAAATCAAAACAGATTAGACAATCAGTAAGCATGAAAAATAAAACTCAGTGGGAATTACTGGAAAATAATTGCACCACTATCTTCATCCCAGTGGGTAACAAGTCCTGATCACCACTCACCTTAGATGCAAACTCATCCAGAACAACACTGTTGTTGCAGTCCTGAATAACACTGGCGTTCATCTCATGTAGAGTCTTCCCCACGGAGTCCCGCAGCTTGCCGAGCCACACCTCCACACCATCACTGAGGGTCACCTGTATACAGGAGATTACATTATACACAGATTACATTATACACTGAATACTGTATCTACCTGTGAACAGTGCACACAAATGATATGCCGATATGAAGCTCAGCTGCTCAAAGGCGCTTTGTTTTTCCCTCGATCACTGGATGTCAATCTCAACGGCACGTTGTATTATCAATCTCAACTCCCTGGGGATCATACAACTCTTGCAGCCACTAGGCGCACCAAGTTAATGTGGCTTTCCCATCCCTACGAGGTACCCATTCACAGCTGGGTGGACTGGGGCACATACTCACAGTACTTTGTCCAAGTGATCACACATTTTGAGATAAAACAGCTGTGATACACCAGAACTTATTGTGAAACATATTTGAGACATTATGTCACTTCATAAACAAATACTACAGGTACGGTATGTGTGAAACTTTGTGACATAACAGTCGTGCCATCCTCTTCTTCTTCAGAGACCTTCTGGTTTCAGAGGGGCGGTGGGGTAGCCTAGTGGTTAAAGCGTTGGCTCGTCACGCCAAAGACCCGGGTTCGAATCCCCACATGGGTGCAATATGTGAAGCCCATTTCTGGTGTCCCCCGCCGTGATGTTGCTGGAATATTGCTAAAATCGGCATCAAACCAAACTCAGTCAGTCAGTCTAGTTTCAGAGTCGAAATAAAATATGTAAATTACAGCTCACAAACAGATGGCATCAACACAAGAGACCAACTTGAACTGAAGAGACAAAAGTCTTAAGAAATATTAACTGTATAATACAGTCCTGCTAAATAGCCCCATACAGTTGCTCTTCTCTTCTTCTCTTTATACAAAGTGGTCAGTTTGGAAGGGATAAATTGAATACAACAAATCTAACTTAGTGTGAGTCCCAACCTTATCAGTAAGAGTGAGAGTCTCTCCATCTGCACTCTGTACAGCCACAGCATCCATGACGATGACGTCATCCACCAGACCTTCAGACGGCAACATCGTCGGCACATGCTGGGACAAGCTTGGGTTCAAACTCTGTATAACATAGGGGACACTACTACATCCACTGGCCTAAATACAATGTAACACCAATTCAATTCAAACATGAATACAGATATACATGATGTTTTGCTGACACAGATCTGTTTGATGTTTCAGGTGATTCCAAATTTACCAAAGTGAAAATGTATTAACATTATGATCATTATCAGTGATAGATTATAATGATAACCAAAAAAAATTTACTTTAAAAATGATTAAATTTATCCTTAAACACTTGGCTTTTTTGGCCTGAAAATGTTGCCATTAAATACAATTATTCACCACACATGATATACTTTTAATAACATTTCATTCACTATAAGGACAGAATGTTAAATAAGATGTAAAATGAACTAAACACTCCAAACTAAAGTTGCATACAGAGACAAAAACTGGTTGGTTAATAAGTAGCCATGCTGCTCTACCTGCTGGAACAAGAAGTGAAAAACTGGGTTAGTTTGATTGCACTTCATTGCCAAGTCAAATCAAATTCTGTTGCCTTTCGTTCTTGAGACAAATATAAATGCTTGTCAACATTTATAATATACACCCTAAATGCTTAAAGTATTAAAGCACAAGTCAACATTTATAATATATACCCTCAATGCTTAAAGTATCAAAGCACAAGTTAACATTTATAGAACATGCTCTGAACATGACTTGACTGTTTATGAACTGGCAATCAAAACATACTCAAGAATGTTGTGTCACATCCAAACATCAGGCTTCTTCAAGGACTAAGGTCATACAAGTTCCATCGATTATCAAGCATCTGACTTAGTTGGGAATGGATTGTCTCAGTTCTTCAAGACACAGCGCTGTTTATGAGAAAGGCTTTCAAATTAAGCCATTGTTTCATGTGTTCATAGAGATCTATTCATGTATGTAGAAACTTTGAAATGATCAAAACTGTTTGCATAAAAAAATCTTTATGAAACATCACAAAACAATATCAATTTTCATAGATCTTTCTGGATAGCTGTATTATCTTGTATCGAAACATGACCTGGAGATATGCAGTATCGCAATGCCATCTAAGCTTCATATAACACATAATACTGCAGTGTTCACGAATAGCATCTGACTCTCTGACAATTCCGGTAGATTTGCCAACGGTCCAATAGAAGTCTACAACCCACCGGCCCCAGTGTCCCGACTGTATATTTCACTATGACTTTTGACTGAAGTTGTTATATGTGACATGTGACATTTGTTTGCTGTTTATTGCTGTTTATAAATCTTATGTTTGTTAATAATTTCAATGCTAACTATAAGAAATGTTAAATCTGAAGTGTGAGTTTAATTTTATTCTATGGGTCCTGTGAATTTTCAATGGGTCAGATACACATCTGAAACTTACAGGACCCAATGTCCTGTTACTTTGAAACACCTTTCGTGAACACTGAATACTGTATGCAGATTCACTAATGCTATAAATAGATCTTTCATTGTTTGTTAATCACAAACAAATAATATATTTTGCAATAATTAATTGTGTTTTGAATATGCATACAAATCATCAAGCTTATGAAATGCACAGGACAGCAATCATCTCGACCCAATGTTTACCCTTGAGACATGTTTTAATATAGAAGCCTGATGTGACACAACTTCATACAACATGGGCATGCAGTGACTGAGCTTACAAAGCTAGATCTGGAAGTACGATTATGTGACTCCCGCGATCTCTGGCGGCAGCCCGATGGTTTCCCAGATGGGACCAGGGCTACCTTCTTCCGGTCATGACGTGATGGCTTCTCTGCAACCCTGCCCTTGCTAGGCACCTGGCCCTTCTCCTGATAAAAACCCATATGTCAAGCTAGATCTACGTTAGATGAAACCTGCCATCTACTCTCAGTAATGGTGAGAAGGTCTACACAGTATACTACAAAAGTGCTCCAAAACATTTTAGACTAAAATAATTAAGCCCTGTTAATTCCGAAAGTCAGTTCTGGACTAGGCATCACACTGTATATATGGATGAAAATAGAATCAGCTTCACAAAGATCGGCTTCCTGGATAAGTTTTAATGTGCTATTCTCAGTGATTTGCTGAAAGAGACAAATCTGTAAAAGATTCGTTTCTACAAAGATTTGTCCACTCTTCTAAAGTCTACATTACTAATCAAAGTGTAATCATCATCACTTCTACACAATGACCACAAGTCAGTACAAGCAGCGCCGAGGTATTTGGAATCAGTAAAAGTACAGAATAAGATTTTAGACTAAAATTGTGGAATTATTTTCCTGGCAAGCATAGAGTGTTTAATTACACTACCAAAATATGCAAACATATTTGATCTTCTTACTGAATCTTCTTCTTCTTCCTAAATGAATAACAAATATTTTAAAACTTACAAAATACAAAAAAAACGTTCTTTTGCAGCCTGATCGGTATGAAGTAAAGATGCTATATAAACTAAATGCTTAATATTTTTGGGGTGTATCTTTCTGTGATTTCATTATTGGAATAAGGCTTTCATGAATTATCTTTCGATAGTTGTAGTGGGGCTACTAATGATTTCTGGTCTTTTCTAAATCAGTTAACTCTTTTTCCACTTTTTCAGAAGTATTTGGACATTACATAATTTATCTTGCTACTAACTGAATATTGTGAAACCATGAGTAAATGATTTAATTTCAATCTGTGGAAACTATTTGAGTAATTTCAGTTTGACCATGAAGTGAAGGAATCAGAAGTGTGGTAATGGCGTAAGTTTCTCACTGCACCATTTGTCTCCATCATCAACATCACATGATCATGTGATCCTCTTCATTTCAACAGCATTTTATTCATTTTTTTCATGATAACCAGAAAGGTTCTAATCATTTTGACACTTCCCAATGAATGCAAGTCAGTATCTCACATATGTGATTACACATGCTTACCCTTTAATCTATTTGCTTAGAATTCTGTGGCATATTCAGATCATGCATGATATGGTCAAGTTCGATTATATTTCAGGAAGAAATTACAGACATATTGTAAGCAATGTCTGAGCAGTAAGTGCATCACTTTGTTTGAGTATTGTTTACATGAACTGTTCATGAGACAACAATGTGTGTCTTTTGTAAAGTGATATTTCAGCAAGAAGCTTCTCTGAGACATTTCAAATATTTCACAACAAGAGTCAAATTTGCTTGTTATTTTCAGATAAATATTTTCCCCTTCTAATGACAATGGACACAAGTAAAAGCTACACTTAGGTGTTGGTCCTCAGCAATGAGTGGTTTCACCTACAAGTACTTAAGTAGTACCACCCATATGTTTGATTACATATAACCTAATTTAGACTAAAGTTTGTTCAATAAGAATCTGAAAACTGTATAGTAGCCATTTTTAGTGATCACTAAACTGGAAAACATAAGCAACTATCCCATTATGACAGCAAGTTTTCATTTTTTTCAATGACACCTCTGATGTATCCAAGGTGGCAATGTGCTGCCATTGTAAAATCTATCCTATCACAATACATCTTAAGCATAAGTCCTTTTCATGACATATTTTTCTTCATGTTTTTATCCTCTTGAAACTGTCCCCAATGCACACACACAAAAAGCAATATCAAAATATTCAATCAACCCTGGTGATAAATAAAACAACACACTTGAGAAGCCAGTTTTCTTTAAAAAGAAAAATCATACTTCGCAAATTAAACCAATCACGCATGAATATAAAATAGCAAAACCAATTAATTCAAATTCATTCCACTTTCCATCCAAGGATAATATATACACCATGCACATTGATGCAATGTTCAAAAATTCATATTTCAATGACTGTGCTGTGACGAATTGATGCAATCCATGCAAAAGGGAGACAACTCTTGTGCAGAGTGCATGAACAGTGTTCGATTTCAAAAGCACTCCACTACTTACACGACGTTTGTGTTTATTTACACTCATATATGAGATTGAATCGTCACTCCCCTAGTGAGCGAGAGCAAGGTGTTAATTACATTCATAAACCATAGACAACTTACACAAACGGAAGCGAGATACACATGTGTATTGAAGTAATATAATATGTGAAAATAGTAATTCGTGAAAGACTTATGAAGATGAAGTTCCACCACCAATTTGCATAATGATTTGTACATGACATGAAAAGCTGATATCAAGTAATGAAACAGATATATTGCAGTGCCATTCTTTTGAAAAATATATTGAAAATCCAGAAATAAAAGTCTTAAACTGTTAATGAAAATATTTATTACACCATCCTTTTATCTGAATCCAAATGACAGAAACTAATAACATTGCTGAAAGGTTATTTTGGTTTCTTTCATAACGTTTACCATTTATCATTAATCTACAAAAGAATCTATTTATCCAAAACCAGTACCAGAGCAAGTTCTTGTCCCCGATGTCAGTGAGGAATCTTTTGTCTTATGGTACAAAAATTGTTTGAAGACTGCAATGAGTTATCAGTCACTGATAATTTCTGTCATGTTAGATGAATACATTTTCAATAAATATCAACTCAAGGGAAAAGGAAATGTTTTTCAGGATTGTATACCTGAACAGTTTTAGTCACTGAAATCCAGTGTTACACTGAAAGAACTGGAACAGGACCTATTTCACTAGTTAAACCTATTCACACAACAGAAGTCAACTGCAAATAACATATCTTCAACATAACCTAAGTGGGTTCTTGAGAGGGATTCCAAGGATCATCTCCACTTGTTATATACACTTTACTTGTCACTTTAACCTCTTTTACAAATAAAATATACATCTCTGATACCTTTATCTTTGTTTAAATGCTATCAATTTCTTAAATTATAAACTAAGTCAGAATGACTCTGCAGTACATCATTGCAGTGTTTGAAATTATTTCAGAATGAAAATACAGCTAATTTGCATATGGAAAGATTATACATACATTTTGTCATTGTGGAACAGTTGAAGCGAAACACTGATTTTCACAATGTTCAAAGAAGTCATTACCATTAAACTGGCCTAAAATTTTGATAAATTGTGTCTTCATTTATGGTTCCTTTTAATTTCAAACACTAACATAAGTGCGACCCCACCACCAACAGAACACAGTGGTACTCACATAGATCTGGGTAAGACGTTTGTCGATCTTGGGTGGGGTGTTGGACCTGTGTGGGGATGTGGTGGAGCGGGTGCGGTCATGAGGGGTTCTTCTCCCCGTGGTGCCACCCCCCCCGCTGTACGCTTCCTCCCCGTCTTCCTCTACCATATCTTCCTGTCCCTTCTCCAGTCGGACATCATGAATCTGACTGAAGATGGATCTGCGACACAGATGAAAACAATTAATGCACATGTGTTGTTGTGGACAATCAATCATGAAGGGCTACAGTGATTCTCACAAAACATTTTCTCAAGCTCAACATCGAGAAGCAACTTTACTTAGCTTTTCATTGTTATCTTTCAAACAGACATAGTACAGGCTGACATTTAGTTGTAACTGGACATTTTGTGCTACAATCAGCACTATTCAAAATAGCTAACAACTGCCTGTAAATAATCAGAGGCAGACATTGACAGCAGGCGCAGTTGTCTATATCTCCAGGGTATGAACACTCAGTATCACATTTAAAATTCACACACTCACTATTCAATAACTGTATGAAACACATATGATAAGACGTTTCCATTTATCTCAAAAGGATTCCACATATAAATCTATACTCGCTGAGCATAAACTTTCACTATGACATAAATAATATGAAACAAATATAAGAAGAATGTGGCTTACTTGAGATGAGGTCTGACAGAGTCCAAGTCATTAGGTCGGCTCAACATTGCCAGCAGGATGGGATCAGACACGAAATAGAAGCGAGGGAATGTCCTGCGCTTGTTGTCCAGGTAACCAACAAGAGACTTGAAGCAGATCTCCAGTTCCTCATGGATGTGACGCAGCACAACAGCTTTTGGCACCTCTCCACCATAACAACACTGCAACAAAACACAGGACAAACACATTAAGGCAGGTACAAGTTGAACTGGAAAGACTTTGACAATGGCATTGACCAGTATTCAGTGTTTCTGTTTCTGTTTTCAGGACTAGATGATGGGAGGAAAGTATGGCATCTCACCTGAAGGACATTCCTGGTGTCAAAAGCTCTCTTCATCATCTTGGTCCAGCCCTTATCGATTCGGGCAAATCTCTTGGCCTCCTGCGGTAGTTCCTGTAAATGCAGTATTGCCTCATGATCACTCAATCATCCAGGAATAACTCACCAGCACTGATTTAGCAACAAAAACAAATCTCTCTACCTGAACACTGTAGCTCTCAACAAATCCAACCTAAAATGCAAATTACCCAAACCAGCAATGGATTGACAGAACCCAAACTCATTGAACCACCAAACATCTTACTTACCCTAACTGCTATGGAGTTACTGAAGACTGCCTCAAGGTACTGCCACAAGTCCTGCACCTCCAGCCACAACTCCAGCACCTGAGCGACCTCCTTCAGCTTCTCAGCCCAGGATGCTGCCTCATCCCGCAGAGGGCCAATGTATCTGGAGGTCAACATGCTGGCCAGAAGGGCCTGGGCATCCTCCAGCTGTTCCAGCAGACGCTCTGTGAATGCCTTGTCCAGGTACATGGGGCCACGCTTCTTGTAGTGCTCGAAATTCAGCACCTGCTCTGTCCACTCTTCTTCTGTCATCCTCATCTTGATCTCCAGTTCCAGTTCTCGACTGGCTCCTCGGCAGATCTCCTCTATCTCTGTCTTGTGTCTGGAGTCACAGGGTGTATGTGTCATTATCTTTAATAATAAGCCTATCTGTGCATCATAGTTTCCTTATTTGTAGTAATTGACATAGTTTATTTGTTGTATTAATGCTGCACTCAGCAATATTCCAGCTATACCGCAGCGGTCAGTAAATGATTGAGTCTGGACTAGACAATACAGTGATCAACATCATAAACATCGATCTACGCAATCAGGATACCATGCCATGTGTCAACCAAGTCAGCAAGCCATACAACCTGGTACCTTGGTCACCTCTTACGACAAGCATAGGTTGCAAAAAACCAATTCTATCCCAGGTTTCTGTCACGGGTAGTAATTGTCCTTGAGCTCTATGTGTTTTGCAACAAGACTGGCTATTCCTGACAGTTGTTCCAATATTTTTTCAGTTTGAAAGCTGCCTCAGTATAATGATGCATTGGAGTATTGTCCTAAATGATCAAAAGTTGTGACACCCTTTGTTAATGACTCTGTACGCACAAAAAGATGGCTTCAAGACATGTATGGTAATCTCAAAGAGACAAAGGTGAGGTTTAATTGGGTTTTTACGTCATACTTTGAGAATATTTCTCTCATATGACGATGTGCATCCGTGAAGCATGAAGATCCCACTCAGACACATTATACTGACTCCGAGCCGACCAGTCCTTGTTGTACCCATTAATGCCGAGTGCCAGGCAGGGACCAACAAGTACCATATTTTAACGTCTTTTGGTATGACGCGGTCGGGGATCGAACCCGCGACCTTCCGCTCTCCGGGCGGACGCTCTAACCACTACACCACGGAGGTAATCTCCAAAGAGACAAAAGTAGTACACGACTGTCACTCACTTGATCAGCCCAATATCAAGCAGGTGTGTCAGCTTGAAGACATTGGCCTCCAGTTGGAAGGTGCTGCCAGTCACCTGCATCACCTGCAGCCAGTGGCGGTTCCGGATTTCCTGGAGATCATCATCGTCATCATCATCATCACAATAATACATCTCTGAATACTGTGAAGCAAAGTTTGGCAGTCTAAGATACCACAGTAATTTTGTGCTTTTTTCTTACTATTAAAAACTAAAATAGCAAGGTGAATTGAGTGAATGTTATTCAAATTTCATCATGTCTGAAGCTGCAGATATTTCACTTTTCATTTTTATTCCTTTCCCAAAAATGTTCCTATGTTACATTATCGTACGGTCTTAACAAGAATGCTTTTAATTCACAAAGACTGTGGTATGACAGAACTGCAAGACTTAGCTCCTGTCATTAGTTGTGTTCTACAAAATCAAGATTTGTTTGTAAAATAAAGCCATTAGTGTAAAAAGCGTTAAGTTTCATTGTTAGTCTTTAATAAAAAACATTATGGCAACAAAAACTAAAAGTAAGTTTAGGTAACTACAAAACATGTTTGTTAATTTTATTTAATAAAGATTAATGGAACTAATAGCATGCCGAGGACAGATAAAATTTCAAACTGAATTTTAGTATTTATGAAATAAATGATGAAAATACAAGGGAGAAATACAACATGCACATCCATTATACATTAAAGTTGACACACAGCTGTGAAATAAACACGATCACCATTGATTACATAGGGAGGGAGGGGGATTGTGTTAATCAGGGAGTTAGTGTTGACTGAACAACCTTTTTCCATTGTATATAGATGGGGCACAAGAAATTGTCCTACAAACTGCACTTTTTCTCAAACCCAGTAAAAGTCCTCTCAAGTCATCAGTGACTCCGACTCTGGTACAGCCTTCAGCTATTTTCACTTGTGGAATTTGGCGAATGTAATGCTCAAGAGATGTATCAAAATTAGATGTCATTTGTAGTTTCTTTCCAAACACCACGTGGTCAACTGAAAACAAGGGGTGACGCTCAACTTTTCCCCAGGTCTCAAAGACCTGCACACATGACAAACTGAAGTAATGAATACACTGCAACATATGCCACATCACTGATATATAATAAAATTTACTCCTGCCATGCTACAGGTGGTTTAAGGAAATAATCAACACTTTGTTCTTTAACACAACCTGTGAAATCTGAAATGCTTGAAGAATCTATTTCAGATGAAGAAGCTATATCAATTGACGTACTTCATTCCACAGAACTATCTACCACTGATCCCATATCCATCTAATACAGAATAACTAACTGACTGACTGACTGACTGAGTTTGTTTTTACGCCGCTTTTAGCAATATTCCAGCAACATCACGGCAGGGGACACCAGAAATGGGCTTCACACATTGTACCCATGTGGGGATTGAACCCGGGTCTTCGGCATGACGAGCCAACGCTTTAACCATTAGGCTACCCCACCGACCCCAATAACTAACTGCTTCAGAGACTGACTGACTGACTGAGTTTAGTTTTACGCCGCTTTTAGCAATATTCCAGCAATATCACCGCGGGGGACACCAGAAATGGGCTTCACACATTGTGCCCATGTGGGGAATCGAACCCGGGTCTTCGGCGTGACGAGCCAACGCTTTAACCACTAGACTACCCCACCGCCCCCTGCTTCAGAGAGAACAAAAATGTAATTTTTAGAGTAAAATTGATATTTTATACTTATCCTGACTCATGCTCTTTTGCTTGTCTTCTTCTTCTTGCGAACATAGTGGAACACTTGTATCTCCTTATTTGAAGCTCCCTTCAAAATAAAATCACTAATTGGTACTCACCACGAGTTGCTCCCCTTTGTCTCCCCTGGCGGGAAAAGGTGTCGCCACCCTCTGGCCATGTGCTCCACTCTCTCCTGATTTAGCGAGCCCAACACTTGAATTTACAGGGAAATCCAAAGTGTTATGTGGGGAGGATGGGAGGGCTAACCTCATGAGTCAGGATAAGTATAAAATATCAATTTTACTCTAAAAATTACATATTTTTCCTTATCCTGACTCATGCTCTTTGCTTGTAGCATCCTCACGAACAGTGGGTAACAGAATACTTTGGATTTATAATTAGTGATTTTGTATAGATATGCTGTAATATCCCTACGGGAACTTCATGAAGCCTTAGATTTAGGATGTTTCCTGTATAAAAACCATAGGTTATATAAAGCCATTAAAGGGAATTACATTATGAATATATTGAACAATACATATAAATTATATATATATATATATAGGTGACTCTGATAGAGGCACTGAAATTGACTATATCCAAGTATATGCTTAAGGTTGAATACTTAAGCTGAACATATATACATAGCCCTAAAACTCCTTAGAGTTATAAGCTAGATGAGTGTGTATAAAATACATATTAATCTTGTGAGGCTAATATTTTAGCGCCTCTGAGGGACTGTCAGTTGCTGGCGAGGACCAGTGGTCGAAATGGTGAATGCCAGAGACATCTTCTGTAGTGATGTCTCTTAGGTAGTGATTAGCAAATACCATGTTAGATTTCCAATAGCATCCTTCCATAATCGTGTTCAAGGAACAGTTACCGTGTAGAGGCGAGGGTAGAGGCCAGTGCCCTGATCTCATGTGGATTTGATGCTGTTGGTGGGTCCAAGCTTGCTGCCTTGTAGAGCACGGAGAATGACAGTCCTTATCCAAATAGATATTGTGGTCCATTGACACTTCTGTTTGATTCGTTAGGCGATAATGGGATGAATAAGCGTTTGAGAAATCTTCTCCTTGTTTTGGATAAATCGTAAATAAACTTTGGCTCTTACGGACACAGTGATAGGTCTTGTGTATCTTGTGATCCGAGAATAGAGGATAAGCGCCGAATGTGGAATAATCTGTCTGGTTGACCTGGCAGTTGATTTTTGCAATGAAATCCCATCTTAATCCGAGTGTGCTGTGTTATGATTGTCATCAAACTGTATCCTCTCGTAATCCAGGCGTGAATTTCAGACATTCTTGCTGCTGTGGCTAGCGATAGCAGAAACAATGTTTTCTGTGAGAGAAATTCAAAGTTTGTCGATTCAAAGGTTCATAGACCTCACTCGTGTGGTGTTGTAACACTACATTCAGATCCCAAGCTGGGGTGGAACTTCCGCTTTTGGTCCTCAATCGGGCATTTCGTAGTAAAGCCAGTAACTCTGGAGATCTTGTCAATTTGACACCCGTTCTCATGGTGATTACAGAGCTAAAGCGGCGGCAAGATATGTTGATATCGTTGAACCTTTTAAATGTTTGTTTTAGGTAGGTAACACAAATAGTCTGCCACTTGAGGTTGTGAAGCCTCTCTTGCTGTAAACCCTTTCTTTGTTGCATAATTTTGAAACTGTGCCACTTGTGCCGTCGTACAAGTTCACGAGTTGAAATAACGTAAAGCAAGCGTGACTGCTTTTGCCGCCCTGGCAGAATATCCTCTCTTGTTTAAACACATTTGTATACAGTCCATACGTGTAGTTGGAACATTGCTGGGTTTCCGTGCACTTGTTTGGTGTGAGGATGAATTAACAGGTTTGCTTGGCTTGGGTAGCTCCAGTGTTGGTTGACCCGATTTCTTGAATTAGTATGGGAAACCACGTTCTGGCCGGCCAGTAGAGCGACCAAAGTGAGTTGTAGGCTCTGTGTTTGTCTGATTTTCTGTAATACTTGAGGTATTATTGCTGGCGGCGGAAGCGCTGCACGCATTGAGGCCTTCCATGATAGACTTAGGCGTCCGTTGCCCAAGCTTGGGGTCTGGGACTGGTGACACGAATGTCGGTAGCTGATTGTTGAATCGCGTGGCGAATAGGTCTATTAGCGGCGCTCTAATTGCTTGATTATCTGTGCAAAATTTCCCTGTTGATCATCCACTCTGTATGGGTGATGGTAGATGAGGCCGAGAGAGCGTCTGCTAGTATATTTCTGGCTCGGGAATGTGCACTGCTCTGACATGTAGATTTAGATCTTGTATTAAATCGAACAGTTGAAAGCTTAGGTTCAAAAGGTTCATCGATCTCGTTGAGCCTTGCTTGTTTATGTAGAACGCCACTGTCGAATTGTCTGTATGGATCATTAGGCGCATTTTGTAGAAATGTGCTCCAATGTAGAATGGCGTTGATTACAGCTTTCATTTCTAGACTGTTTATATGGAGTTTGCATTCTTGCTGATTCCATAACCCTGATATCGTGTGGTTGGTGAGATGAGCTCCCCAACCTTGGAGTGATAGCGTCTACATACAGATGGGTTTTGTATTCCTGCTCTGCTAAACAAATCCCTTCATGAGACATTCGATTCTTGGTCCACCATAGTAGATGTGGTCTGAGATGTTTCGGTGAGACTGAATGGTTGTACATCGTTGAGATGTGCGTTGATGAGACCTGTAGGGGACGTAACTGTAATCTGCCTGTGACAGTCATGTCTTGGGCTGATGTGAGAAGACCTAGTAGGCTCTGCCATTGACGAAAGTGGTAACGGAGAGAGTAGAGCTGGTGGAATGGTCTGTTGTATCTTGAGCCAACGGTCTTCTGGTACCATAATACGGTTTACGATTTGTGATGAATCGAATACCTAGGAACTGTAGGTCTTGCGATGGTACTAGGTCCGACTTAGCGTAAGTTTACTAACCAACCTAGTTGTGTTAGTAGCTTTATGATGTAATTTAACTGTAGTTTGAGACGCAGTGGATCTTGATCTACTTGTATCCCGTCGTCGAGGTAAAACGCACTGCGTAGCCCTTGACGATGTAGAAATTTGATAATCGGTTTTAGTTATCCTCGTGAATAGCCAGGGGCTGATGATATTCGAATGGGAGTACTTTCCACTGGTAATGTAGCCCTTCTAGAGTAAATCGTAGGTATTTCCTGGAATCGGGATGAATGGGGATGTGCAAGTAGGCATCCTGTAGATCTATGCTGCCCATGTAGTCCATAGGATCGAATCATCTGGCGTTAACTGAGGTAAATGTATCATCTTGAAACTTGGTGGTTTCGCGTGAGATAGTTCTTGTTGAAAAAGCTCATGTTGTAGATGAGTCTGTATTTCTCCGTGGAGTTTTCTTGGGAACTAGGAAAACTGGGGAGTAGAAACCTGGTTCGACGTTTGCTTGATCTATTACTTCTATGGCCTGCTTGGATAGGAGTGATGAAACAGCCTCTTTTATCTTTGGTAGTTGTTTAGCTTGTAAATCGAACTTGGGGGTTTGATTGTCAGCCGGAGGCTTGGCCTGTAGAGGGATCTGAAATCCGTGTTGAATAATGTTGGAGACATAAGGATCTTGCAGTATTCCCCAGTTTTCCCAGTGTAGTTGGGCGTCCACCCACTTGAGCTGGTTGTACTGGAGCGGCTGGGGGTGGAAGACTCCAGTGGATCGAACCTGTGTTTCAGCGTCTATAATTGCGGGAACCTCTGGGTGTCCTGCCTCTTCCTGATCCTCCTCTATAGTTGCCATATGGGCTTAATTTAAAAGAATCTTTACCTCTAGAGCTGGCTATCTTCCTGTCTCTTGCTCTTTGTAGGCCCGTGAACTTAGATCTGCCTGAGTATCTTTGTGAAGTCTGGACGAATGACGCTGGCTAGTGTGTCCATCGATCTAATCATAAGGACTTCCCTGGAATCCTTAGAGACTTCCTTGGCGACCTTGTCGATTTCTCCGTCAAAGATGGATGTTGTCGACCACGGGGCTGTATAAAGTGGGAGCTGTAAAGTTCTCCCCAATTACAGGAGGCTGAGGAGGCCTTGACGACGAGCTAATGTCGAATGCTGCTGAAAACAGATGTAAGATGATCCGTTAAAAACTGCTGATCTTTCTTTTGCATAAGTAAGGCAGAATAAATCATTCTATCATCTTCCGTCGTGGAATCCCGGAATCTAGTAATAAGAGTCTCATTGATCGTCCTAGATCTATTTAACCCAAAGAACATCGTCTCGTCATGGTTTCTATATGAGCCAACTTGCGATCATCCATCTTGTAAATCTTGTTCTTTACATGCCGCTGATGATCTTATAGTTCTCATCGATGTCCTGGGCCTTGTAGAAGGAGTCCATGTTATCGTGGAGAACTTCTTGGCTTGAAAGTTGGGCAGATGTGGTATCTGAACTTTAAGCTTTCTGGAAAGCTGCATCTAGATTCTGTGGCACTGCCTAATAATCGGTCGTCGGGGTAGAGTGATTGCATCTGGATCATCTTCCTTCATCAAATCGTCTGAGCTGTATTGCCACTTTTAGATGGTGATGTGAGATCTAGGTTATTGACCATCAAATACCGTATCTCTGCATCAGAAAATATGATTCCTCCATCATCCTCAAAACCATCATCATTAATAAATTGTAGATGCTCTTGGACTGCGTGTAGCTGTCTGTATATCTGATGAGGTTTGTGGCGATCTAGTTGACTTGTCGCCCGCTCTATGTGGAGATCTGATGGGTGATCGACCTGGTGATGAGCGGTGGAGATGCGTCTATGGGATGATCTTCTCGGAGACTTGTGAGGTGAATGTTGATAGCTTCACGAAGCTCTTGGCAGTCCCTCGATGTTCTTCTAGATGATGAAGATCTGGAATCATATGTCGCCAGCGAATGCCTTCAGCGAAGCTTCATTTAACGTCCGGTCGAGGGATGCGATGATATGACCTTAGCCGAAGGCTTCCGTGATGTCTGATGGTCTGAGTCCATATCTAGAGATGAAATCGAAGATGGTGATGATCTCTCCGCTTCGCGAAGGCCTTAGCGAAGGCTGTACATCTAGGTCGCCGTCAAGGTGGTGCGAAGGGGACTTCCTTCGCGAAGGTGACATCGTCTTGGCTGTTACGTTGGCGGGGGTGCCTCTGGGGTGCTGTCACGTTGGAGCCTTCAGCGAAGGCTTTCGGACCCTACTAGCGCAGTTTGTAGTGGTCCTCCATGATGTTCATAATCTGCCGCATCATGTCTTCTGGGATGATCTGTAGACGAAGTCGTCAAATCTTTTCTCGCGATGGGGTTCACATCAATGGCGTCTGGCGTCGGTGTAGAGACATCAGGCTGCATGGAGATCTCTGCAGAAGTCACAGTCGCTGACACCGGTCGCTTCTTCTGCCGTAAGTCGGGGATGATTATCGGCTGATCATCGTAGAGGCCCAACTCTGCTGCTGGAGCGATCTCGGCTGAGAAAGTTCTTGCTGTCTTCGTGAATTTCCCTTTGGATGTCTGCGCTGCCCTGGGTGTCCTCAATCTGCGTTGAGACGACGATGAGAGCCCTCTTAGACTTAGTCTGCAATGATGGGATGTCTGGGGAGGCGGTCGTTTCTTGAGAGGTAACGGACTGCGTCCCACGTTCCTCTGCCGCAGGGTCTCTAGCAGAACACCAGGCGGAGAGGGTCGATAAGCTAGCAGCTGACTGGAAGGAATATCTGGACTCTCTGCCATGTTTTGCCCTTGTTTAGTGATCTATCTGCAGCACGTCTTAAAGACGCATAAAGATGATATTTATTAAATGCAGAATGAGATAAATTAATGCAGTAACTGCAACGTGAATTAAACGCACACGCGTAGAACAACTAGGGCATATTACATGTGGATCGGAGGCAGAAAAGCGTAATCTACAAATCGTGCAGATTTTCATGAGCGTAAAGCTAGCTGAACAATCCGCGAATACCGCGTGAATAAACAGTAGAAATACGATAATTAATCAATACAAATAATAAAGGATACTAGCTATACCTCTATAGTAACCTATGAGAGGTAAAACTAAGAGATTATCAAAGGATATGTGTGTAAGGAGACACAAGGCTCTCACATCCTGCTCACTGGGCTAAGAAGGAGAGAGAGTGGATAAGGAAAAATTACCATCTTCCACATATTGTAGAGCTATGACTGTCATAAACATCACATTTGCAGAATGCTACACAAAGTGCTTATAGAACACAGATCAAAGTACCATCTTCCACAGGTTCCAGAGCTATGCCTCTCAGAGACATCACATTTGCAGCATGACACAAAGGTCCTAACAATTCTAGGGCAGACTGTGATGGGCTGTGGTGAACTGGTGACAAATGCTGTGAGACTACGTGACATTATTCAGCTACCATCTGAAGAGTGAGTTGTGTAAATCTATCTACTTGCACCTATAACAACATATCTCATTTTCTTACAATTTAATAAATATGCAAATGACTACTCTAAATTCTCCATAAAATGATGAGTTAATCTACACATTTACAGTTTACCATACAAATGCCAAATACAAGATTTAAACCCAAGTTCTCTTCAGTTTGGAAAATACACATGTTAGAAGGACATAATACAAAACCCAAAGACATGTAAAGATGAGGATTGCACATTAATGTTAAATAACAGACATCTTGTTACAACAGACATACAGGACAACATACTGAGGTTACATCGCATGCATATATATATATCTATGTTTCCAGATAGAGAGTCCATTCAAAACATCAAGACAAAGCCCGTTTGTGAATACTTGACAAGAATGTTTTCCTGAAACTCCCAGAATTAAGACATGCAAAGTGACTAAGTGACTTAAGCTGCAGCTGAAAGAAGTGCCATGCCGCCAGGACCAACAAGGACCGACCAGCATGCAGGACGAGGCGCTAGGAAAACATACTCTACCAAAACAGTCATACTCACTGGCAAGCCATACTTATTTTGTGCCTGCATTGTCACGAGTATAACAGGGTCAATATAATACACATTTCCATCTGACAAAGGGTTCAGTGTTTCCAGAAATATACTTCTTTAAACTGGTACTTATACCTTTGTTTAGATGCTGCACTCAGCAAAATTCCAGCTGTATGATGGCAGTGTTGTTGTATATATAGTATAGATTGGAATAGACAATCCAGTGAATGTTAATCAATCACGCGATTGAGATACGATGACATGCCATCAACACGTCAGCGAAACCATGACACACTGAAACATTTTGTTATCTCAACCAGAAGACATTGCATGGAACATTTATTCTGACTGGGATCCACATGGGTGAAATCTAGTCTCTACCATGTCTATCACAAATTCAACATTGAGTTGTGAAACTAGTATCCAGCATGTTTGGCAAACATCAAAAATGTAATCTTTCAAGTAAAATTGATATTTTCATACTTATCCTGACTCATGATCTTTTGCTTATCTCCCTTTCCCTTGCGAATGGTAGTGGAACACTTGAATCCCTTGAAGTTCCCGAAGCGGACGTAAAAATACACTCTCCCACAAGTTACCTCCCTTTTCCCGCGTAAACAGTCATGTGACCAGCCTTACTTGTCACTCTCTCCTGATTTTTCTGCCCAAGCACTTGGATCTGCTGTGAAATCCGAAGTGTTTCCAGCGGGGAGGTCATGAGGGCTTGACCTCATGAGTCAGGATAAGTATAAAAATATCAATTTTACTTGAAAAATTACATATTTTTACTTATCCTAACTCATGATCTTTTGCTTATAGAATCCTGACGATTGGTGGTGGGTCAGGCCACTTTATGGATTTATCAGCTGTCCTTTAAATACGTCCTGTATCCCCCATGGGAACTGCATAGCGGCATTTCCGAGATCCTTTTCTTCCAACTTCCGTTATAACTCGGGGGGACCACTTCTTGTATTACTTCCATCTCAGAAAAGTTGAATCATCTTGATTCATGTGGCTTCAGATAAACTAGTATCTTCTTATTACTAGATATCTTATAACAACTCATAGATTATGATAAGATCTCTATCATAAGTGAGTTGTGACCCCTTCACGTACAGGTAAGATCTTTACCCGTACATGATCTTTAATCACTCATGCTAGTCTGTCCTAGACTGTGTGCATGGACTTTCAAACTAATACTTTTCCTTAGTAAAAGTTATCAACAAGTCAACGTGATAAAGGGTGAGATTTTCCAACTCAGCGCCTTTGAGGAACCGTTAGTTGCTGTGCTACAACGAGAGGCCCAAATTGGTGAATGCCTGAGATGTCTTCAGTGGCTATGTCTCGGAGGTAGTGGTTGGCAAACACCCTGTCCGACTTCCAAAAGCAGCCCTTCATAATTGCTGATAGAGAGCAATTTCCGTGCAGAGCCAATGTTGACGCCAGTGCTCTGACTGTGTGTGGGTTGGAAGCTCTAGGAGGTTCTAGTCCTGCTGCTTTATAGGCTCTCAATATGACGTCCCTCATCCAGAATGATATCGTCATTCTTGAGACTTCTACTGATGTCTCTGTGGATAATAGGATGAACAGGCTCTTGAATTTTCGTCTCCTTGTCTCAGTCTTTTAAAGATATATCTTCAGGGCTCTGACCGGACACAAGGATAGGTCCTCTATATCCTCTAGTCCGAGGATTGTAGATAACGCTGGTACGTGGAACTGTCTATCTTGCTGACCAGGTAGTTGGTTCTTGGCAATGAAGTCCCTAAGTCCTAGATGAACTGCAGCATGTTGCCCCGTGTCGAATCTGGTTCGACCAAAGTCCAGCGTATATATCTCTGATATCCGAGCTGCCGTGGCTAGCACAAGCAGGAACAGAGTCTTCTGTGTCAGCAGCTTGAAGGTAGTCTGATCTAGAGGTTCGTAGGCATCACTCGTGAGATGACATAGAATTACATTCAGATCCCAGGCCGGAGCTCTGAACTTCTTTTGCTGGTCCTCCAGTTTAAAAGATCTCAGCAGAGCAAGTAATTCTGGTACTTTCGTCAACTTGATGCCTGTTTTCATGGTAATCACTGTACTGATGGCAGCGAGGTATGTAGATAATGTCGAACCTTTCAGATGTCTGGTCTGTCTAAGATGACACAGGTATTCCGCCACTTGAGGATGAGTAGCTTTCATAGCAATGAAGCCTTTCCGCCTTGCATAAGTCTCAAACACGCCTTTGTCCAGATGTTTGCCTCCTCCGTGATGTCAAACAACTGGAATGTGAGCTGTAGTAGGCTTGGTGATCTTGTATATCCTTGCCGATATATGGAGAATGCCACTGTAGAGTTGTCCGTGTGGACAAGGCATTCTGTTGATCAGCAAGCTTGACCATAGTTGTAAGGCGTTGATCACAGCTTTCATCTCCAGCAGATTGATGTGAAGATGCTGCTCTATTTTGGACCACTTCCTTGATGCAACTTGATTGTTGAGATGTGCACCCCAACCTTGTATCGATGCGTCTACGTAGAGATGTGTGTCGAAGGCCGGCTCTTGTAAATAGGTCCCTCCGCAGACGTTCGACCTGTGGGTCCATCAAAGTAGGTACCTCTTGAAATTGTCTCGCAGCAAGATAGGGTCGACGCTGACCAGATGTTTTGTCAGCAACCCTTGCAGCGGCCTTAGTTGTAACCTTCCTGTGCGAGTCAAGTCCTGCGCCGAGGTTAGTAGACAGAGTAGACATTGCCATGTTCGTAGTGTTAACAGACAGATGACTGCTTGTGGAATCATGGCTTGTATCTTGACCAAATGATCTTCTGGGACCACAATTCGATTCTGTGTTGTGATAATTCTTATTCCCAGCAATTGAAGATCTTGTTTGATTCTAACTCCACCTTCATCAGGTTCACTAGCCATCCTAGTTGCGTGAGCAACTTAATTGTGAAGTTCAGCTGCTGTCTGAGTTGATTGGCACTTTGAAGAACCTGTATGCCGTCGCCCAGATAACAGGCACTGCGTAGACCTCGATGCTGCAGATAGGTGCCGATAGGCTTGGTTATTAGTATGAATAATCATAGAGCCGACGATATTCCAACCGGTAGGACGTTCCATTGGAAGTGCTAACCTCTGATTGCAGTGATGATACATCATTCTTCCCCTTATATACGCAGGCGATCTGTGTTGATCAGCATACATGGAAGCGTTGTCTATTTATAGCAAGGCTGGCTCCAGTGTAGCATCGCAGGGGACAGGTACTCATACCGACTTTTATCAGCGACAACTTCCAAATAAACATCGTTTATGCTGCTGTCAAGGCTAGACATCTATTAGATTCCCATGATGATAACAGGCCGTAGTTGTATACTGTTTCCAAGGCTGCTGATGAAGTATTCCCCCGTACCACGGGTTTGTTTACAAGTCAGTAAACATGCTGGAGCCTGCTCTGTCAGTGGGAGGCGTTGTCGGACATGTCCAAGCATGATGTCACCGGTGTTGTAGCAAGTTGGCCTCCATAAAATCTGATGCAATTAGTTGGTTGAGTAAAAGCGTGCGTAATTCTATGCCGCTCATATAAATCTCTTGAATAAGGGTTGCTCCAAGTGTAAAATCTTGTTCAGTGATATAAATCACGTATTCCCATTGTGGATAATATAAGCCAGCATGACGAAGGAGGCTGTCGAGACGTCCGCTGTATGGATCTTGAAGAAATAACCGATGTTGAATCTAGTTGATAGGATATAAAATCTTAATCCCCACACTGAGTGACGAGTGTTAATAATATCATCTGTACATCCGTTCAAGGATTCCTGAAGGCGTTGTTAACCTTAAGCCCTTTACAAAGGTCGCCTTGAGGTTCTCCAGTACTTGAGATATCGGCTTCATAGGTGATATCATATTGGAGTCGAAGTCATCAGCATATGCAGTATACGTCTCTGTTGGGTTGGAGTGAGTGAGTGAACTACAATATCCGCAGGCCATCTGCTACCCAGTATAAGACCTCAGCATCCGTAGAGATGAAGGGATTCCTTTCATCAAGTAGGTTGTCGTCCGAAACTGAACCTATACAGGTATAAGGTTTGTGCAGGTTGTAGAGTTGTGGAGGCTGTAAACTGTAGAGATTGCACATGTTGTAGATCTTTTTGTTGAGTTTTAAACTCTGACAAAACCATCAGTTTTCATCATTGCTTCGTTTTATTCAGCCGTATGGTAATAGAGTCAACGTCAACATCCTGCCTGTTGATGTAAGGGTTTGTTAACCCTAGGGTTCGGGAACCCTGTAGATGTCTGCGTTGCTGTTATCTGCCTGTAGATCTGAGAGTTCTCGAACCTTGTAGATGTCTGCAGCTTTCTCAAAGCTGTGCGTAGGCTAGAGGTACCTTGGATATAGGTTCAATCGGAGGAATAGTTACCGAGTCAAAGTCGTCATTACACATCTTATAAGTGTAGACTTCATCTATATCCTTAGAAGGAGACTCCAAGTTCAAACCAGTGGCTATCCAAGCTGTAACCTCTGAGTCTGGGAAGACGAAGTCTGGTTATTCATCAGTTATCTCCTGATCGGTAGAGCTATGCCTCCATGAATCATCCTTCTGTGAACCTGTATCCCTTCTCGAACCTCCATCATCCTTTCGCGAAATGAAGATTCCTCCCTTCGCGAACCTCTATCTGTGGATTCATCTCTTCGCGAACCTCTGTGACGTGAGCCTACTCTTTGCGAATCTCTGTAGCTAGATGTATCCCTTCGCGAACATCTGTGATGTGAGCCTTCTCTTTGCGAACCTCTGTCTCATGATGAGTGACTTTGCGAACGTCTGTGAGAGATATCAGAGGTCTCGATCTAGAACGGCTAGATATAGGAGATGGATCCTTCGATGTTCTCGAACGATGAGGGTTCGCAGATGTAGAACGGTGAGTAGGCATCTCATCTCTTCTATCTTCCTCCAAGATGTGTGAAGCCCATTTCTGGTGTCCCCCGCCGTGATGTTGCTGGAATATTGCTAAAAGCGGTGTAAAACCAAACTCAGTCAGTCAGTCAGTCCTCCAAGATGACAGAGTCGTCAGACTGTGGAGGCCTTCGCAAAGGTGTATGTTCGCCAACGTAGTCTTGAGATGTAGTTCTATGAGGAGTAGGTTCGCGCAGGTCCATGGGTTCGCGCAGGTCCGTAGGTTTGCTCACGATGTCAGTGGATGAGAGACTTTGCGAGCCTTCGCTTCTTCCTCGAACCTACGTTCCATCATGGCCATCATCTGGTTGGTGAATTGTCTCATAATTTCACCCGGATCAAGTTCTGCGTTGATTGAAGATGCTGCGGTGTAGAAGTTTTGCGAACGCTGATGAGTTCTGTGCCTCGACTTCACTCCATTGAGAAGTTGGTGGTAGTCCGTCAAACAGCTGGCCTGCTGTGACTGTTGCAGGAGACGATCTAGTAGTCGTCGTGGAAGTCGATTGAGTCGCCGATCTCATAGGTACTTTTTTATGTCCGCTTCGGGAACTTCAAGGGATTCAAGTGTTCCACTACCATTCGCAAAGGAAAGGGAGATAAGCAAATGATCATGAGTCAGGATAAGAAAAAATTTAAATGTTGAAGATTTCATACAGTCATTGGCTTCATTTAAGTAAATGTATGAGGATCTTTCTACAAGTAGTCCTTTACAATGAAATTATTATGTTTGATTTGCTGACCGGGAATTGGCCTATAACACTTAAGTCAACACATAAGCGATCATTAGAAATTGTATGACTCTTGTGTATGTTCTCACCTTTGATGCAAGGTTGTGCAGCAGAGGGAAGACCTCAAGGTATGTCTGGAGCTGTGTCTTGAGGTCATTGTAAGCATCCCAGTCCTTCAACTTGCTGGGCAGAGCAAGACACTCATCCCAGTAGAGCTCCACCTGGACAGGAGGAAAGATGGACTCTCAATTTCAATTTCAGTTATAGTCCGTTTGGCTCAAAAGCGGACTGATGAATTGCAATCTAACTCGAAAACTAATAAACATATAATACTCAATGAAACGCTGATCATAATCAAAACATCAGACCAACTCTGTGATTTGTTTGCAGAATTTATGTTCTAAAATTACAAAAGTTGTTTAACAAACTATCATTAAAATTTTGACACAGTTCACCATTTGTTACGAGGGAGGAGTGCAGAGAAAGGGACAGCCAGGTGTTAGAAAGCACGTGCACAAGTGCCGACAACGTTATTGATTTATTAACTTGTGCTGTGCCATCTCCATATCCTTTCTCGCACACCTGGCTGTCCCTTTCTCTGCACTCGTCCCTTGTAACATATAGTGAATTGTGTCAATATTTTAATGATAGTTTGTTAAACAACTTTTTTATTTTTAGGACATAAATTCTGCAAAAACCTCACAGAGTTGGTCTGAGGTTTTGATTATGATCAGTGTTTCATTGAGTATTTCATGTTTATTAGTTTTTGAGTTAGATTGCAATTCATCGGTCCGCTTTTGAGCCAAACGGACTATAGATGACTACTACTACAACAACTGGTTCCAATTAAACAGTATCATTAAGTGATTCATAAAATTATATCTGAACCTCAGAGTGAGAAACTGGAGACATTTTCCTTTAAAACATATGATCCTTTATTGAGACAGTAATGTGCATGTGTGAATGAACTGCTTGTTTTGTGATATTTCAGTCTCTTTGACAGGGTATTGAAGGCCTTGGAATCAGGTCTTTGTGTATGGCTGACACCAGTGGAAAGAGGGTCACATCCAAGCTAGGATCATGTCTCATTTAATAACATACAAACATGCGTGAATAACACACCACAATAGGTATTTGGCCCCACAAGGCCCACTGCTTCTACAGGAAAACCTTTTGGCCAGCCATGTCTGTTTCTCACCTCATGGGATGCTGCCTCTAGATCTGCCTCCGCCCACAGTGTGTCCTGGAACTTGTTGTCAAATCGGATAAACTTCTGGAAGAGTCCATACAGCTGACTCAGCAAATCCAGTTCCTGTGGAAACAGAGAGGCCATCATATTTGATACACATACACTAGAGTGAACACAGACCTTAGTTCATGCACTTACATAAACCTGTAAGGACAGGGCAGTAAATACTTCACATGTTACCAGTTCACCCTTCAGTGTTCCCTACTCAGTTCCATGTCTTAAGTTCATGTTCTGAAGAGTTCAATCTGGATCACTGCAGCATTACTAAGACAAAAGCACAGTCACATCAGGAATATTGGTGCATAAACGGCCACACCACTGTCTGTTACCTTGAGTTTCTTCTTTAATACATGCTAGGGAATTCCCCAGGGTTTCCTGAGAAATGTGAAAGTTAGTGTTTAGCATAAAGATTGTTGTTGCTGTGAGCCCTGTAAATCTTTCCATCAAGGTGACTGAGAGTGTAAGCAGTGGATACAAGACAAGTGCCTACCTCTCCAGTGCGGTCCAACTCAGGGAAGGGTTTACAAGCAATACCAAACAGCTTGGACACCGAGTCAAGAGTCCTGCGTTTAGCATCATACTGTGTGTATCTGTGCTGGAAGTCCTGTAGACGAGACACAGCCTCTGAGGGAGGGATACCCGGCACTGCAGGACCCTGGGCGTCAAAGGCATTGCGGAACTGGATCACTTCCACAACGAAAGTCTGGAGGAGAACATGTTCAGTATCATGAAGATTAACAGCTGTGTTTCAGTTTCACAAAATAGTTAATCTACTCCAGTTCATTCTAACAAAAAAATTCATTCACTATTGAAGCAAACATGACACATATACACACAACTTATATCAAAATTCATTGCAATTGCAAGAGAATATGAAGAGACATTAAATGCTTTCATGATTATGCTCCAGTATTGTAATCAATGAAAAAAGTCTTGAAAAGAATGGATTCTCAGTTTCATTTCTAATGCATTCCAAAATATGTCTATGTTGTATGATTATTTACTCACTAATTCACAGCATGCAGTGCATGTAGACCCTGTACTGAAATCATCCACTACAGGAAGTGAACAAGAGTTACCTACCTTAACCTGCTTGTCCAGCTCTTGTTCAAAGGCTCCACCTCTCTCCTTGAGCAGGACTTCCCGCACCTCATCAGCCAGATCAACCATCTCCTGCCACTTGATTCTCAGCTGGTCAACCTCCTCAACCTCACCTCTTGGCAACCTCAGCTCAAACTCCCTGATGATATGACAATATAAGTGTTCAGTTATAAACAGGTCACCTCTTCAGAGATATATGTTTCTAAAAGCAAATCAAGGTTGCAAGAGAGGATGGTTTTACAATGCTTCAAACACTATTTCAGCTACATCATGTACTTTCTTCTTAACACTAGAGGAAAGCTCAAAGTGATATAGGTCATAAATTATTTTGCGAAGCCTACATGAGGGGTGCTTACAACAAACATAACCATCCAGGGGTGGAAATAACCCATTGCCCGACGCCCGAGTCCAGTGTTTTTTTCTGTCGGGCAAGCAAATTTGTATATCACACTGTACCAATGTCCAGTTGATATTCCAATGTTAATAATGTTGTTTATTTAAAAAATCAACAAGAAAACGGACAGTACAGTGGAAAAATTATCAGGGCAAGTGACTTTACATGTGCCACTGTACCGGAGTACACTAGCAATCATTAAAGTTATTTCCACCCCTGCCATCTATTTGGTTTTGAACAAACAATAGTGGATCTTGGCACTTCTAAGGGATCATGGACAAAGACAACTGTTTTAAACAAAGACTGTGTAAAGATTTACCCATGTGACCCTTTTATTTGTTCATTAGTCTACTCTCTGTGTAGCCTTGCAACAATAAAATGGCTGAAACAGCTTTAAGCATTTGTAAGAACCTACCTGAGTTTGGCATACATGGTCTCTATTGGGAGGTAGATGCCATCAATCTTGTTCTCCATGTCTCGCAGCTCCTCCAGGAGAACTAGAGCACCGTTGAGCTGGTCCAGACTCTGTACATGATTCTCCAGTCTGCCCTTCACGTTCAGCCGGTAACTCACAGCTGCATCCAGCTTTTTCTGAATCACACATACCCTTACTAAACACTACCATCAATCTCAAGACATCTTATGGATGTTCCTAGGATCATCCTGATCCATCATAACTGTGCAATTCATTTGAAAAGACTCAATATAAATTCCTTAATCAGAGTCAAAAACAACAGCAGGTCAAATGAAAGATATTAATTATGATATGGTAACAGCTGTCTTCACAACCAGTTTTTAACTTTTTTAATCAGAATCTTAGTCTCAGTGGGGTTGTTATTTTCACAAGTTACACTCTGTTCTTCAAGTAACAATCTCTCCCATGGAATGAGTGAGTGAGTGAGTGAGTGAGTGAGGTTGGTTTTACGCCGCTTTTAGCAATATTCCAGCAATACGGCATGACGAGCGAACCCTTTCTCCCATGGAATGAATTATGCATGTTTTCTACACATTCTCTGCTTCCACAGATATTATCAAGCCAGTGCTACAAGGATGGTCATAGTTTGCTGATGTTTAATTTTTGCTTTACTGAACAATATAAGTGTTGCCTTGAATATTCAAGTGATATTATGATTAAAATCCCAAACTGTCTCATTACGATGGCACTATCAACCAAGTGATAGTTTCAGACTATTTGACCCATCCTCGTAAGAAAAGCAGGCGGTGGGGTAGCCTTGTGGATAAAGTGTTCGCACATCATGCCAAAGACTAAGGTTTGATTCCCCACATGGGTACAATGTGTTAAGCCCATTTCTGGTGTCCCCGACATGATATTGCTGGAATATTGCTAAAAGCAGCATAAAACCCAAAATCACTCACGTACTCACTCAGGGCGGTGGGGTAGCCTAATGGTTAAAGCGTTGGCTCGTCACGCCGAAGACCCGGGTTCGAATCCCCACATGGGCACAATGTGTGAGGCCCATTTCTGGTGTCCCCAGCCGTGATATTGCTGTAATATTGCTAAAGGCGGCGTAAAACTAAACTCATTCATTCATTCACGTACTCACTCACTCACTCACACATAAGACAAACATTAGAGGCTAGGGATCTATTCTATTTTTTTCTGATAACGTAACATAAATTAACGTCATTGGTCATGTTTACCTTGGCCTCTTCATGCAACACAGAAGCAAACTTTGTCTTCCACGCCATCGCAAACCCATGTAAAGCATCCTTGATGGGATCTGTATGTAGACAGATTGGCCCTATTGGCAGACTGTTGGGGATCCCAAGGACCTTCTTCTCCACATACAGGAACCTCTCCACCTCCCGCTTGATGGCCAACATGCCAGGGTCAGCCGAGATGAACTCGTGGAAGTTGCCATGCATATCGTCTTTCCACAGGAAGTTGTAATAACTGAAGTGGAACAGGTGTTTGTTGATCTGGGTCTGCATCTCTGGAAGAAAGGATTACAGTAAGATGAACAGCTTGAATACATCTCCACTCTTTAAGGTGTTATAAAAGAACATTTGAATCCTTCATGCTTTGGGCAGATTTGTATATGAGCACCCAGACTATTATTACCTGAGCTTTAAATTTATACAAACCTGTAGAGGTTATGAATTCTTTGAAGAAAGTCCTCCTTGGGGTACATATAAGCATTAAAATGTCCATTTTAAATCCCACGACAGTTGTAACTATATTTTTCAATAAAATATTTACAAAACAAAAAACTTGTTTTGTCTTGTGAGACCACCCCTACATGGCCCCACCGGATCCCCTACAGCCAAGAGCAGGTAACTCTCGCCGTCTACCTCGCACCAAACGTATCAGACAGAATGAGGGGAGGTTGGTGGCCGTACCCCAAGGAGGACTTCTTCAAAGAATTCATAACCTCTACAGGTTTGTATAATTCTTTTTCAGAAGAAGTCCTCCTTGGGGTACATATAAGCATAAGACAGACTCCCAAAGATATTTGAGATGTGAGTGGCATTCTGTCTGGCAACAACTAAACCCGTGGTGGAGTGAAATCTACAACCGATACGGAAATAGAAAAAAAACACTTACCGAGCCACCTGACCGCTGAGGGGTGTGTGTCAATTAGTGTGGTTGGTGTGGTGGCTAGGGCGGGAAATAGAGAGCCCAAGCTTATACATCAATTGGCTCAAATCAATTATGACATAAAACCCCACCCCCAACCATTATAATGGAAAGGAATGTATGGGGACATGCCGAAACAACTCCCAACCTTAATAGTCCGAACCAGAGAAGCGTGGCGAGAGGTATAAGGGTAGAGAAAGCATAAAAAATTTAAAAGCCAATAACCCAGGAGTCGAGCTAATAAATACTGCAAACTAATGCTCGAATGCACCCCTCCCGTTTGGAAGAGGGCTTGCCGGGACCTCGATAAAACCCAGAGAAATTATTAGCCTCGCTAAAAACTTTCGGAGAAAATCGAACAAGTACAAACGCCATGCATTGTAAGAGTGAAAAGCAGGATAAAACACCCCCACCAAACGCTCTCGGCATGAGGAGGGTAAGTGTAAACCACAATCACCCAAAGTGCTGATTAACACAGACTCCCAATTACCGAAGTCTCGGGAAGAGGGAAAATACTGTTAGCGTACACAAATCCCCTGAATAGCAAAAAGCGTAGCCGAACATGTGTTACTCACTATTACACTAATCTGGTCACGTGACATGCGGCTCGAAGAGAGGCATACCAAACAGTGACCTGTAGGGGGTTCATACCCAATTCCGTTGCAAGACGGGTTAATAGCATATGACTGGTTATAGCGTTCAAAATCGGCCCTGCCCTCTCTTGCCTTTAAGTGAAGAGGACGTAAGGGACGTATGTACACCCAAACCAGACCCAACCCAAAAGGGTGGTAAGGCTTATACGATGTAGTGATATGAACCATATCGACATTGAACACAGAACCGATACCAATGACCAGTTACTAACTTGGTCAGGGTGGCAGGACACTCTCCACTGGAGAGTACCGAAAGACCGAACCAAGGACGATCCTTAGAATGCGTGTTAAGTCGGTAATGGCGAATGAAGGCGTTCTGCCGGCTCCAAAGAGCCGAGGCGGTCAAACCCTGTTCATGTCAACTACGAAGCGCTGTACGAGAGGGTGCTGCCTAGGCAGAGCACCATTGAACGAGGTGTGAAATGTGGAAATAGCCATGGAGTACCCGGGAATGGTGGAGGTCATAAGGCTCTCAACCAAAACGAGGTTATAGTAACTCCAATATCCGAACTAAATCCGCAGAATAGGGATTATGAAATCCCCCTATCTGCACACCAGCACGCCCCACCTATCAACACACTGAACGGTCGTCGAATCCCGCCTCGAAGCCAGAATTGTGTCTGCAACGGCTGCAGGAATTCCGCGTGTCTGGGGGTTAGACCTGACAGAGACCAAGCCACCCAGTGAATCCGAGGATTCGGGTGTGGCCCCCCGTTCAGAGTGGGAATATCTGTCCGAAAAGGTAATTCGAATCCCGGCGTGCGAGATCGAACACCAACCCGACTGCTGTCAATTCCAGCACATTGATGTGCAGGTTGTGACTTCTTCGTCAAGAGACCGCAGGTTGCACAGAATATCGCCCCAACCCGGCAGGGATGTATCTGGCTGGACTGAGGGCGACAGTGTCTCCATCTGACTGCCTGTCCATCTGACTGCGTGCGGTTGACAATTCGGCCCAGTTTCGTAAGAGTGAGTGAGTGAGTGAGTTATTATTTAACGTCACATCGGCAATATTTCAGCCATATCGTGACGAAAACAATTTATACAATAAAAAGTCAAATGAGAACATTTGACATTGAAATGGAATATATGTACGTTATAAAACCCTGTCGACAAACGACAGTAAAACAACTAGAATATCACAATTACAACTAAAACTAGTGTGGAGAGTTAAAACTAATATAGCACTATTTGGACAATACAATATAAAAACGGGCTATAGATCGCCAACACCAGAAGGTAGATCACCATACCAGGGACCATGGCGACTTACAGTACCTTGGCTACCTGCATGGACCCTAAGTGGATTTACACCATCCCTTCAGCTGCTGGCGATTGTAAGAAATGTTAGCCAAAATTAAAATGACAAGAATGCTACGTTTAAAAAATCCTGGCAAGTTTAAATTGACTCGTAAGAGTGACCAAAACTGATCGTGAGGTTCCCAGACTCAACTGCTATTCTAAAACCCCGATGAGCCAGTCACCTAGGTACGGGTGTCAACACCGGCACTGTGATCTGGCTATCTGGGCTGTAGGAAACCTCAATTTGGTGAACACCCTTGGCGCCGTAATGTAGCCTAAGGGGAGCACACGAAACTGGTAGCACGTCCTGTCGAAGAAGAACCGAAGGTAAATCTTGAAATCAGGGTGCAATGGATCAAGGAGGTACACGACCTTGAGGTCGATTGACGTGCGCCAATCCCCTGCCTCGACAGATGAGATCACTGAGCGCGGTGTCTCCATCTTGAAGGACAGTACCTCTATTAACTTGTTGAGCTCTCAAATGAGAATGGGTCTGAACATTCCGTTCTTAATGGCAACAAGGAAATAAATGGAGTCAAACCCCACATTTTTCTTGACCATTGGAAACCACCTCGATGGTTGCCTTGCCCAGCAGAGACTGGATCTCGGCACGGAGTATTTTCGCCGTCTCCCGGGAAGCCAACACTGGCGTGTGTCACACTTCTACCGGGGTTTGTGGCAGAATATAGTAAACCCCTGCAGTCGGCAACATAACGTTTGCCTGTGCCTGGGCACCTGAGGGATTAATGAGAAGCTCGACAGACTTCCGTATTCCTCGAAACAGTGCCAGGCGCCATAGGCCCATAACCGCACTCATCGTTTGGCTGGCACAGCTACAATGCAGTCCCTAGCCAGATGAGAGTTGACCTCCGTCAGATGCCGCCCAGAGTCGCCGATGAAAAATCACCGGCGCTCTTTCCCCTTTCCACCAGCTCCCTCAGCAGAGCTGAGAGATGCGCCGAGTGGAGCATACAGCGTTGAGCTGTTAAGGGGAAAGAACGGCAGACTGACGGTAGAGTGTGAGGCCTTGTCCCGGATGCCTTGCTGGAAGCAGGCTTCCCTCCGGGAGGTGAACTCCAACGGTTCAGGTACTCGACGTGGACAACACCTGAGGCAACACAGCAGCGACTCTATCTCGCACTTGCCTCAGGGACGAATCTACTTAGTGTTAAGTTCAAAGTAGCGAAAAGAGCCGAAGCTCAAATCGACTTGTCCACTGTACGAGCCTGAAGCCCGGTTCCGAGGCACATGGAAGAAGCCTGATAAATCAAGGTATCCCAAGCACTCAGACAGACCTCAGAGCGTCGAGGTGACCGACACACCCGGCACACTCGATAGCTTCTTAGTCAAGGCGTCGATAGACATCAGGCCAAGACCTGAACTACCAGCGCCGGCAATCTGCGCCCTACCAGTGCTGAAGCCCAGGTCGGTGCTACTCACGGGGTTCATAGCATCCGCAGAGCTGAAGCTCGGTGGTTCTAGACCGAACCCTGATCCCGAGACCCGTAGGAGTAGCCTATAATATAGTTACAACTGTCGTGGGATTTAAAATGGACATTTTAATGCTTATATTGACCCCAAGGAGGACTTCTGAAAAAGAACTACATGTCTGACATCAGTTTGATTACATTTGAACCAACATTCAGCTCTATTCTACAAATCAAGGGAAGAAGTTGCCTACCTTCGATGACGTTGGAGAGCTGAGCCTGCAGAACCACCTGGATGATCTCATCCCCATCATCACCATGTTGAAGAAGGATTCCTCTGATGGCGAACACTACACAGCCATGCGATGTCTACAAACACAAGGCAGCAGTTACATCCTGACTCCCAAAAGATGAATGAGAATATCAACATATGATCGCCCTTCACAAAACATCTTCAGTCTCATATTGATGTCTAAGGCACCTTCCTGGCTAGAGGTGTATTAACAGTAGTGGTGGTCCTACCTTCTCGATTAATTGAAATAATTCACCATATGAAGATTGGTCGCAGTGACTAAAAACATCTTCAGTCGACCAAGCAATCGATCATGTTTTTTCATAATCGAACACAAACAATTCTAGAACACTTGTTTTCATCAACAATATTTTCCACATGGCTGGTTTTGTCTGTTACATTTCATAAGCATTACAAGCTCGTTCCAAGTCATGATTAAATTTATCTTAAAGACACCAAGAAATTTATGTTCCTAACAAACTAGTCATCCTTTAAAGATGTGACATTTAGCCAAAACACCCAAAAATAACTACGGGTTTTTTCCTTATTTTTTTGTGTATTAACAAATTTCATAAATGACGCTAGCCAATTATTTTCGATGATTGATCTGTGGTAATGAACTAATCATCAATTATGAGATTTTAACCAATTCCCAACACTAATTAACAGGTCTACCTTACCAACAGTACCCTATAACAGGCATGATCTACAGGTATTATAGATCTCCCCAATTAATCTTCATATACAGTGTAAGAAATACATTACAGGCAGGCCTCTACCAGATGGTAAAAGTGGAGGCCCTCAAGCAAACGTTCAATAATTGTCCTGAACCTTACAAATCTTCCACTCACGTGATCCTGTTCCATCTTATAACCTAATCACATTGAATATCTGGTGCTTGTACTAGATATGGCCCTCCACACTTATGAATTGTGGCACTACAGAACACTGATCTATCTACTGACCACTGTTGGCCTCTGTGATGGCTGATGACACATCCTGGATGGCCTTCTGCACCACGTCCAGTGTGGGCTCCACGATGATGTTGGGGATACTGAACTTGATGAGAACCTGGAACCTGCAACACACGTCACCATTCCAGTACCCCCCTTACTTCAACAGATTCATCAAAAATAGATGAACCTGATGCACACATAGCACATGTGAGAAATCATGAATACAGGCTAACTAACATTTGACTATTTCACTGATAATAAACACAAAAAGAATAAGTACTACAAATACCATATAGTTTTATGTTATAATCATATAACATAAAAACAAATGCTCATAATTCAGGTTAAGAGTATCTGTGTTAGATGTAAATGCTGCAGCCATACCAGACAACACATTGGTCAATACTGTTTGGAGCAATCCATGCAACAATCAACAATGTCATTGAGCCTGACTACCCAATCCATCTAGTCGCCTCTTAGACAAGTACTAACCCTGAAAAGTACACAGGAGAATTATAGTTAAGGAAACACATGCCTAGCATGTAACTTGTCCTGTATAGTCTGTAGTCCTTTATAAACACATATTGGCTCATTACGCATAGGCGGATCCAGTGTGTGTATGTGTGTGTGTGTGTGTGTGTGTGTGCACAGGGGTAGAAACGCACGCACCCGCACACAAACACACACAGAGAAAGTTTGTTCAATGACCTTTGAAACTCGGGTGAAAATGAAGCATGCACTCCCCCTTTTCTCAATAGTGTGCACCCGCCTTTCTCAAAAGGCTGCATCCGTCCCTTGCTATGCTGTTGCCCAATGAAGTTTTTGAAAGGCATTTAGAAGTTTGACGAACATGAATACAATATGAACATGAATAAAGAAAAAAAGGAAGTTGCTATCCATAAAACGTGTCATCAAGGGTGGAAATAACCCATTGCCCGACGTCTGAGTCCAGTGTTTTTTTCTGTCAGGCAAGCAAATTTGTATATCACACTGTACCGGTGTCCAGTTGACTTTCCCATGTTAATTATGTTGTTTATTTTATAAATCAGCAAGAATAACGGTCGGTATAGTGGAAAATTATCAGGGCAAGTGACATTACATGTGCCACTGTACCGGAGTACACTATCAATTTTAAAGTTATTTCCACCCCACCCCGGTCATGTATGTTGTTGCCCATTCTGCAAAGTGCCTGGTTTGATTCCCACCTAGGAACAATGTGTGGAGCCCATTTCTGGTGTCCCGTTCTGAATATTGCTAAAATCAATTTAAAACCATAAAACAGATGGTCAGGCTCGCTGGCTTGGTTGACACATGTCATCGGTTCCGAATTGTGCAGACCGATGCTCATGCTGTTGATCACTGGACTGTCTGGTCCAGATTCGATTATTTCCAGACCGCCGCCATATAGCTGGAATAATGCTGAGTGTGGCGTAAAACTAAACTCACTCACTCACTCATGTGGTCAGACTTGCTCATGATATCAATCACTGGACTGTGTAGTCAAGACTCGATTATTTTCAGATTGATTTCAATAGCAGGAATATTGCTGAGTGTGGTGTAAAATAACAGAGAAAAACACGGTGAGGGTGTCCCATGGATGCCCTAACAAGGATGACATTTGGTTGGGAGGATAGTACAAATGCTAGTTGACAGTGCTGTTTATGTTTATGCATGTAACATGTGTGCTAAAACTGAAACACCACAACTGAAATCTTACTGCAGATGTGTGACATCACTTGCTGATTCTCCACTCCAGGACATGTTAGACAACATGGACATAGTGGTGATTGGACGGTCCGAGACGGCCGACAATGCTCTGCTCCTGGGTGTCTGAGGACCGCTGTGTAGCCTGGGGGAGGGGCTCCGTACCCCCTCACTAGAGTACTGGGACATGGGAGACAGAGCTCGCACTACTTCTCCAGTGCAGCCCGATGCCTCGGCCAACATAGCCAGGGATTTAGTTGTTGCAGTGAGGACAGACCTGAACACCATGTCTCTGTAGTGACCTGAAGGAGGACGGTGAGAGTCAGCGACATATAAACCTGAAGGCTGCTTCTCACTATATATTAGACATGGCATCTTTTCCCAGAATTACCGCATTTGAGGTTTTTGTTTGCTCCCAGGTTTTACTTTTTGTAAGTAAGACCTATTTCCCAGTTTTACTTTTTGTAAGTAAGACCTCTTCCCAGATTTTACTTTTTCCTAACTCTATATTCACATCAACATTCAAATTCAGATGATATGTTAGTGTTTGAAATCAATTGAAAAATATCATCAAAGATCAACTTAAATGTGCAAATTTAGCAGGATTGGAACCGTATATTTCAGATTCATAATCGGACGCTCTACCTCACAGCCACCGTGCTGACAAAGAACGAAGGTTGAATTATCTATTTATAGTTAGGCCTACTGTCATTCAATTGATTTTACTAGGGCTTCAGTTACTGTTATGTAGCTTCATTACATGATCATCTAAGTATCCATCATTGAAGGTTTATATGTATAATAAAGCACTCCTCCTCGGTTATGGTTGGGAAAGTAAGCCCTCGACCATAACCTCGGAGTCGTGCTTTATCCTACACATAATCACCATAAAAGTTACCATGATTGGTTAGTGACTCTTCCAACAGCAAACAATCACCATCAACATTTTTGCATCCCAAATGTTCTGTTTGTTTTAGCCAAAAGCATAGCCCTACATGATGACCAAATTGATCTCCAAATGTCCCAGATAATTACCCAGCAGTGATCTACACAAGGAGTACACGAAACACCATCAGACAGGTAAGTAATGTTATGACCTTCAGTACACATTTTAGTCAGTTTCATGAAAAGCATTGGGAACTGGGGACCACATTTTGCCTATTAGTTCTGTGAATAGACCCTTTAAATTCTATGACAAGCCTCATACCTATTAGTTCTATGACAAGCCTCATACCTATTAGTTCTAGGACAAGCCTCATACCTATTAGTTCTATGACAAGCGCCTCCTCCTCCAAAGCCTTCTGTTTGTCTCTCTGAATCTCACCATCGTCCACCATCAGGGTCAGTTTTCTATCCTTGACCGACTTGTGGTCCGACTGCACATAGAACAGATGCATCATGCACTCAACTCAGTCTCAGAACAAAATCATCATTATCATCATGTTCATTTATATTACACAAATCAAAACTAATGTCAATTCGGCAGTTTTCAATTCCTGTGCCAGAGAACATGAATTCAAAATCTCTTACATGAATTATCACATACATTGTATTTGTGTTTACAGATTATCAATATTTGTCAGAAGATATATAAAGATATATATTTACACATGTAAAGCTGATTTAATATAGATATGAATATTTTCATATTTGACATGCTTCATGTTCAAGTGAAATGTCAAAATAAGAACAGCCTGTTCACACCACTCGTTTGTTAATCACTCAACAAAACATGTATGGACAAGAAATACAGGTTAATAACAAAAAAAACAAAATATTATGGACACATTAATGAGATTGGTGGCAATACAAGTGACAGTTTTCATCACCATGACAACCATCAAGAGAGGAAGACATACAGACACTAAATGCCATGGAACTATGAGAGACATGATGATCTGAAGGTAGCACAATGTCAAATATTTAAGATGAGTACAAATTTGTAAAATTAAATTGGAGTAATAAAATAGTAATCTTTCTTTCTTTTAGACTTCTGGTGATGCAAATGTACATAGGAATGGCTAAAATGTCCAAAAAGCCAGATTCAAGATAATATGTGACCCTGGTGACACTGTCACCTGAGACAACTTTGTTGCCATGTATTTTCACTATAATCACCTTCTGCTCCAAAGAAATTCAATTGCAGTCTAAAATTGCCTCTATTCAGTCAACAAAATATGATTCCTGAGAATCTGTGGACTTTGCTGCCTTTTTGACAGGTATTGTCATCATGTCTCTCGAACTGAACAGGAACATATCACAGAAAAACTTGTTTGTTAGTAAAACAGTGAAAACACAAACGTTGCCTACAGTCTTATGTAAGTTCTTGTCGACTGTCTTAGGTTTCACTGTCCGAAGTTTAGACTGGATGGCCGCCTTGGCCAAGGCAATGGTTTTCATATTAAAACTATATTCCTGAAACAATAAATACTCTTGGTTCTAATGGCTGTTTCACAAGATTTCATATTGTATTCTTCTACTGTTATTATAATAAATTGGCATTTTGAAGTATACTGAAGATTCAGGGTTTCTTTCCTTTAATCTTCAATTATCACAATACACAATGTGGTGGTGTGTGGCCCTGTCCATAGAGCTCAGGTCACAAATCAATTGAAATCAAGCAACATTGGGCGGAGAGTCCTTGGATGGGTGACCGTGTTTGGCAGCTTGACTCCTGAGAGTTTCTAGGACTTCAGTCCTGGGCCCGTTCCTCAAAGCGATCGTGGCCTCACGATAGTCGTAAGTCTATGTTAAAGTATGGGAGTTCACGATCATCTTAAAGCGCTTCACGATCCGCTTTGAAACGAAACCTACAACAAGGCACATGTGATACATATGGTCCCATCTTAGGCAAGTGAGTTTGTTAAAAAATTGCCTCTGTTCACCCAGCAGAAAATCGGTGCCTCACTGGTGGGTTGTCATGTGACTATGAACCTTCTAGCACTTATCATTAATACCCCAACATAAACTTAAAGGAATTTGTGCACAAAAACAAAGGTACAAGAAATACCTACATGCAGCACACAATACACATTATCTGCTTGAATGATACTAATTTAATGTACCTCAATATTATACACCTTGAAGCAACAATAACATCTCTTCACAGGCTGACAAGGGTCTCCTATTCCAACTGTATTCACTCACATGAATGAGATCAAGCAACACTTTTCAAAATAACTCTATAGTTAGAACTTACTTCCCAACAGGCATTCTAAGCTTCGTATGGGTATTATATACTGAACTACAAAAGTAAGGGAGCATGAATATTTTGGGGGATATCCTTTTGTTGTATTCATGATTCCCATGATCAAAATAAAAAATTGTACTTCGCACCTAGACTGACTGACTGAGTTTGGGTTTAGGCCGCTTTTAGCAATATTCCTGCAACATCACGGCCGGGGACACCAGAAATGGGCTTCACACATTGTACCCATGTGGGGATTCGAACCTGGGTTTTCGGCGTGAAGAGCCAACGCTTTAACCACTAGGCTACCCCCACCGCCCCCTTCGCATCTAGAGCCAGCATGACACACTTATTGAGTTCTCCATCCATTCATAAAATCATAATGTCAGTCTTTCAAGCTAACCACTCTTAAGCATTACACAATTGTTAAAAATGCAAATTCCCCATAGTCTGAACTATAAAAAATGTGATGATAAAACAGTTATCAACTGAAAAGGAACCTCTATCAAACATGATGCAATGACCTTTGACCCAAAAATTAACATATGATGTCCATCACCAAAGTCACAAAGTCGACCTTTACCTTGCGTGTTGTGAGAAGGTTGGCTACATTCTGTAGGCCCTCCAATACAGTGGACACGTAGCTCTGGAGTTGCTGGGACCGCTCGTCAATACTGTCCAGCATGGCACTGCGGAACTCTTCCGGTGGCTGAAACATACAGAACATATAGGGCTGAAACATACAGAACATATGTACGGCTGAAACATACAGAACATATGTATGGCTGAAACATACAGAACATATGTAGGGCTGAAACATACAGAACATGTGTAGGGCATGAAACATATGTAAGAAACATACAGAACATATGTACAGCTGAAACATACAGAACATATCTAGGGCTGAAACATTCAGAACATGTATAGGCTGAAACATACAGAACATATGTAGGGGTATAGACTGAAACATACAGAACATATGTACCTGAAACATACAGAACATATGTATGCCTGAAACATACAGAGCATATGTAGGGGCTGAAACATACAGAACATATGGGGCCTGGAAACATACAGAGCGTGTATGTAGAACATATGGGGCTGGGCTAAAACATACAGAACACATGTAGGGTAGTTTTATGTAAAATTGAAACATACAGAACATATGTATGCATGGAATGCATGGAAGCCTTATACAGAGCATATGTAGGGGCTGAAACATTGTGTGTAGGGTTGAAACATTCACATAATAACATATCTAGGGCTGAAACATATAACATGTATAGGGGCTGGTATGGGGCTGAAACATACAGAACATATATAGGGACAAAACATGAAACAAAAGTGCTGAACCACTCAGAACATAGGGCTGACTGACCAAACAAATCGCTTAACCTCCTCTACCCAGTCAGCTCATATCTTCAGCAATAGAACTAGTATTGTACTGGAATTCTCTGAAAGAAGAAAAGTGAACTCACCCATGTCCTTGAGAAGGCCATGTCCACATCAAACAGGTAGAAGTCATTGATGGTGCTGATGATGCCGGTGACCTTTGTGTCCATCAGCTCATTGACCTTCTCACCCAAGGTCTTCAGTTTCAAGGTTGCTGCATGGATCTGGTGCAGGAACGCATCTGGAACAGATCAGTGCATGTTTGAAAGACTGCTGCAAAACTGAATCATGGAAGTCATTGTCTTCAAAGTGTCAATATCTCCACAACCAGTAGGTTAAAAACATCATTCATTTGTTTGGCACTGGTAAGGATTTCAATAATTGGTATATATATTTGCACTGATCACCAATCATAATCCCTCAAAGGGCAGTCCACAAGAACATAACAATTGTTGCATAAGCTCTGTCTAGTCAAAATGCTTCAATCATGAAACCTATAACACTACAGAAATCAGTTATCCTGGACCTT